CCCCGCCCCCCAACCCGATGATTCCAGGATTGAGCAACATACATATATGTGATGCTCGAAATGATCTTTCTGTACATTTGAGGTTTAGGCTATGTCCAAACTGATGCAACATGATTGACGTGGTGCGTCTGGTTAGGCCAAAGCAGAGGTGGGGAAGGGAGTGGGAGGATTTCTCGAAAATAGTCCCGTCTGGTCACTTGCTTATCCGGATTATGATCTCGAGATCTACCACCATATTTTTGTTTGTTTGTTGTTGTTGTTTTTGAAAATCTAGACGGCACCGCAAAATGAAGCAATCCAGCTAAATCGGCACCAACACGCGCCTATTACTAGGCCGGCGCTATATGGTAGCCAGGATAAAAACACCCTAGGTTGTTTTATTATCATTTTTTGTGTTTTTTTTAGAACACAAGCAGAGAAATTAGTTGCAAATCATGATCAGTCGCTTCTATCCAGGCCCAGCTCCTGATAACCCCTTATGCTACAGCCACGCGATACCGAGCGCTGTACCTTACCTTACTACACTCCTTTCGTGTGCCATAACGACATATCTTTCTGGGCATAACTCATCATTAGGATAACAGGGTACATTGTTCTTTTTGCACGTCACCTGCTATAATTATACTTAAACATCTTCCATAATCATTTCCTAAAAATATAAATATGTATTTTCCCACAGTTTTATGTCTTTTTTGGTGTTATTAATGTATTTAATCGTCTGTGATTCACAACCGTATATGGCAATTATAGAAAATACATTACAAATAATTAAACTTGAGATTCTTTTGATCTTTGTTTATATTAGACTCAGCCAATGATCTTTCAACGTTCGTTTTGGCATTACAAAAAAGATCGTGCAGTAGAGAATCTTTGATTGCAAGACATCTTTAGATCTACATTGTATTTATTCTTTGTTGACATAGCCGTTCATGATCCCTGCTTGTGACCCCTTCCGTAAAAAAAAAAAATTTTGTTTGTTTGTTCGGTCTTCTTAGATTTGAGATATAGATTAACTTGGATTTTCTCTATGTACGGTAAGTGTCTTCATGACAAAGTGTAGAGCAGGACAACATACCATTTGCATAGGCCCTATTTCAGTTTTGGATTATATGCAATTCTTTTTCTCCCCTTTGAGGCAATAGACTGTCTCGCCCTGGGTCGTCCCACACATTTTTCAAGGTGTTGTTATTCCCAACAATAGCAGAACACATTAATGTTATCGATCAGTCAGCATCCCTAACAGTCTATCCAAATAAAAACTAGGCTGAAGGATATTATAGCTATTCAGATTTTCGTTCCTCCGATTCTTCTTCTTCGACGTGCGGACGTCCACCGGCGGTCAGACATTCTGGTCCATAATTCCATGCATCCATACGGTAAAAAACCGAAAGTAGTCTGGTCTAATTATTGCCAATGGCAAGGGAAATAATTCTTTCTTACTTAATTTCTGAGCAGTGAACTGAGCGAGCCAACAATAATGGCGTCTTCGGAGGAAGAAGTGAAATTGTTGTTTTTTGATACATTTTACCACGACCAAAATAAAGAGGTATATGCATCTATAATGTAATATTAATAATTATTGGTGCTGGTAATATAAGCTCAATGCACTAGATTCTAGATTTAGATCTAGATTCTAGATCTAGATTTAGATCTATTTGATTTTAATTAGCAAGAATAGTTTTTCGAGGTTTTTTTCCCCACGGCACGGTTTCAAGGCAGTCATGGTTTGTTGGTGTAGTGTATGGATGGTCCATGGTGGCTTTGGGAGGACTTCCGTAAGGAGCGACCACTATGAGACAGAGCAGAATTGAGGTCTAGGTCTCTTCTTTATTGTGTTTGATGGGGTGGTCGCTCGTTACGGCACGGAAGTGGAAAGACACAGCGGTAGCCGAGATACAGATATATCTAGATCTGGATATCGGGAAGATTGAACAATACCGGACCACTTGTATTGTTGCGCCTTGCGTGAGCCAGATTACTTCCATAACAACACCGCTCGGTGCTTTTTCGGTAGTTCCCACCCCGCAATTGTTATTCACGGGTTTTGGCCCCAAGAGTAGGGGGTTTCAGGGGGGCTTCCTAACAAAAATAGGAATGGGGGTTTCAGGGGGGCATGCCCCCCTGAATTTTACCACAATTTAATGTTTTGCTGTTGTTAGGTTTGATATCTTAGCTCACCGCGAATCAAACGTGTATAGATCTAGATCTAGAAATAGGTCAGGCTCAAATAAGGGGGGGTGGGAATTACCGAAAAAGCACCCACCGCTCTGCCGCACGCGCTTCAATTCGCGAGAGGAGGAAGGCTAGCATTGGATGGTCCGACATTTTTTCATTCACACACACATCTTGGAAGGGGGTCTCCCCCTGACAATTCAAATCTTGGAGGGGTGGGGGGGGGTTCTGGGGGGGTCTCCCCCCCTGACAAACCACTAACGAACAGATATATATATATCGGTCCGAAATTCTTCATTCCGGTTGTAAGAAGAGGGAAGTTGTTTGGGGGGTTTCCCCCCTGACAACGGTCCGGGATTCTTCATTGAGAGATATTAAAATCGATGTTAGAACGAAGAATGCTGGACCGCGCGGGGAAGGGAGAGGCGGTGGCTCGCGCGCTCGGTCTCACAATGTTCCACACGCTGTGTTCTTTAGGCCCCGCCCTGCAGGCACATGATCCGTGGTCCGGAATGCTTCGCCGTGAATGCACGCTCTTGGTTTAGCCTTAGGTGAAGTTTCCCGGACTAGGTAGGCCTACGTTGTTGTCTAATGAAGTATCCCGGACCACGGTACGGTTGAGAGAAGGATGCTGTACTACACAAATTAGTTCCTGCTAAATTCCAGTAAAAGTAAAAATGATTTTGTAATTGTTTTTCATCTCAATTTCCCTTCCATACATTATAAAAATAGCATTACTACTATAAAAAAAGCCATTAACTGCTCTTTTAACTGTGCTGAACTCCTAAAATACCAGCGGTTGAGACATATAGGCAAAAGTAGTCCCAGTCCGCTGGTCCGGTATTCTTCAATCTTACCTAGATAGATTTTTAGATGTAATCTAGGCTCTCCTGTACAATTGCGGTCATCACGACCATGCCACTGTGCCCTTTGACCCTCGAACCTGACACCTTGAGGCTAATTGGCCAATCTAATCACTCGGTCCACTATTCTTATTTGCCCGCGACTCTGCTGGCTTGGCCTACTTCTGGTCCGGCAAAGTACAATGGAGGGCTAGAGATGTGTACGAGAGCTCATTTGCATAATTGCAACCCCCTCGGCCCTGCTCGCGACTTGGCGAGTATCTACCCCGATTGTCCGCTCATGCTATTGTTTATAATATGTGTACGTGTGTGAGTGTCTTTAAATTATTGTTGCCAGGCCCCTGAAGCCCCCCCTCCCCCCACTGTTGTTACATTGATATGTAAACACGACTGTCCGCTCATGTTATTGTCTTTAAAATATAGTTTCCAGGGGGCAAGCAGAGTACTATGAGTGCGTAGTTAGGCTAGGCTTGCGTAGTAATCACGGGCCGAGACGGGTGGTCCGGTAAAGTACAATCCAGCCAAAGTCCAAAGCTGAACACCAAAATCCCTGAATTGCCAGGTAATCGATGAGGAGAAAATCAAAATTCAAGCAAAGAATGGCCGATTTTCGGCAGTTCCTACCCCCAATTATTATTTGCCGGTTTGGGCCCAAAGAATCAAGAGTAGGGGGGTTTCAGGGGGGCTCGTGGTTCTAAACGATTAGGCCGACTTACTTTTTGATGCGCGTGCCGATATAGCGGAGAGATAGCCGGCACTACTTGGATATGGTGGTCCCGACTTTTGTGACAAGGAAATATAACCCAGAGAAAATCTAGAATTTCATTTTGACCCCAACGATGATTACTTCTGGTTCTAGATCTAGAGTAATCGTACCGGGTCGGGCAGCAATTTTTTTTCTAGCTGTCGGGCACTGGAGTACAAAAAGATCGTTTAAAACTTTGTTTTTAAATCTAGCCCCAAAAGAGTGGCACACAAACCTAAAGCAACCTCCCTTACTTTCGTTGAAACTAGTTACGGCGATATTTTGCTAAAAATAGTCCTTAAGACAGCTTTTTCTTCATCAACTGAGCAAAACAGCATGAAGCTGTTTCCCCGGAAGAGTTAACATTGGTTGTGGATGAAGGAGCCTGTGGCCTAGATTCTACGTTTTGGTAAACTCTGAAAGCTGGAGAGTTATTTGCATATGAGGCCCCATCAAGGATGAAAGAGAATTTGCTGTTCAGCCTCGCCGTTTTTGCCCAAAGGGGGGGGTGCCCGGATTGTAACATAAAATCCATAGTTTCTCATCCTTCGGGCACATAAGATAATACAGTGCCAATGGTTATAATATAATAAAGAATCAAGAATTTGTGCATAATTTAAATAATAGTAGAGTCAGATACAGCATATTAGCTCAGTCAGACACCAGGGTAGTAGAGTCAGATACCAGTGTGTAATACAGTCGGATATCAGTGTAGGAGAGTCAGAATCTAGTGTAGTTGAGTGAGCCAGATGCTGGTGTGGTAGAGTCAGATACCACGTAGTAGAGTGGGTCAGATACATACTCATCAAAATAGCTGTAAATGGTGAAAACCACTTTAGACAAACTATCATTGTGTCCAAGTGTTGATAACAAGCATTAAAAATCATGTTATTAAGCTTGCAAAGAAACAAATGTGATAATAATTGAAAATGACCGAATGTCAAAATACTGCCCGAATCCTTGAGAAAACAAAAAAATTGTGACCGAACACGTAAATAAATCGGGCGTCACTTTTGCACCCAGTAAGGGCCTCAAATATGAGTACAAGCTGAAACAGCTCATTCCTGGGGTCATCCAATCACAGGGCTTCCTGTAGCTGGTTTCGGTTTGTCTCTAGGGCAAGGCAGATAGGAGATATTTATAAAGCTTTAAAGTCGACGTGCCTGTTTTCGTCCTTATTTTGACCGAACCGGTAATTTTACTCTAGATTTAAGTCTAAACGGTTATAAACTTTTTGATTTGCGTGCCAATATGGAGAGATAGCCTTTCAAACCTAATTTGCAAAACATCAAATCGTGGTCAAATTCAGGAACACCCAATGTTTTGTTTTTTTAAAGTCAGGGGGGGGCAACCCCCCTTGCCTTGTGAAAAACTTACAAGTGAAATTTTACTGCTCATTTTGTAGGCTAGATTTAGATCTAGGCTACTGATAAAACATTAACATTGATACTGACTATTTAAATCAGTATCAATATTTCATTAGGCCTACACACAAGTCGGGACCACCATATCCAAGTAGTGCCAGATAGCCTTTAAAACATGGATGATGGAGCTAATGAGAGCACACTACACTGGCTTTTTTGGGCTAAAATATATCAATGAAACGACGTCATGAGGACGATAGCCTGCACCGGCTTCTGATTGGCTAAAATGTTACTAGATCTAGATCTAGAGTCATTTAGACTACGCGTAGCGCGCTCATGACCTTATGCAGTTAGTTGCGAGCGCCGTAAAACCCCGTACTAAACTAAAACTAAACTAGACTACACATATCTATTTTACAATGACTTGATTAACAAGGACAAGGCACTAGAACAATATGTCCTTCATAGTTAACACAGGGGGTAGCAACTAGTGAACTACTCATTGCAGTTTTTATCTGGACTGATCTTTGCCTGGCATTTGCTCTACAATTGAGATCACCAGCAGACACTCGCTCGCTCAATGATGACCTAGATTTCCGACTACATTCCCCTTGGCCTAAGGCCATAGTAATATAATTACCAAATTTGCTATGTCATGGGTACATACGTCACTATGTACAGCCAATCAGACGCCGGTGTAGTGTTTTCTCGTTACCTCCATGTCCTTTCAAACCTAATTAAATTGCAGAACATCAAATCATGGTCAAGCCCCCTTACCCCCCCGTGTTTAAAATATGTGAAATATTATTACTGAAAAATAGCAGCGCATATCTCTCTCTTTCAGATAAAAGATCGATACCGAGTATTTAGGTCAGTATTGATGTCCGGTACAACTTAATAATCTTGGTCCTGTTTGGGGATACTAGTTTTGACCCCACCAACAATTACTTCTAGTTCTAAGCGATTACTTTTTAATGCACGTGCCGATATGGAGAGATAGCCTATCAAACCTAATTGCAGAACATCAAATTATGGTCAAATTCAGGGGGGCATGGACCAGGGTTATATCTGAACAATTACTTCTGGTTTAAAATGAGGCGATTCTTTTGCGCTGTGCATGCTGATACGATGTTTGACGGGCGGAGAGAAAAATATCAAACCTAATTGAAAAACATCAAATGTTAACGTATAAAAAAATCCCCCCTCCACATATTTATAATTTTTATTAGGTCATTGGGACATGCCTCCCTGAAACCCCCATGGCCCTTTGTTTTTAAATGGAATATTATTGCTCATTTTGTACAATTAAAAAGTAGCAGACTAGGCCACCCCGGCCTCTCTTCCACTTCCAGTTCTGCCCCCCCCGTCCGAGTTTGGCCCCAATTTTTATTGATCGCCTGCATTGTGGCAAAGAACTGTGCACAAACAGCGCATCCCTCTCTCATTTGGATAAACATCGATACCGAGTATTAAAGTCAGGTATCTTGGGGCTAAAACTGGAGATTGCCTTGCATTGTCTTGTTCACATTCTCGTCTGTCTCGTTTGTTCGTGTTAAAAAAATTCTAGCTCTCATTTATTAATTTGCCACTTTGTGCACAACTCTGCATGACACAGCACTATAGTGCTTGTACTGTAGGCTAGTGACTAAACAAAACTTTGGGATGTCATGTTTAGTTTAAGCGTACAATTTACCCAGGAAAGTATTACTGGAGCAAGGATGGCAGTCCCGTTCTTGAACTGGACACCTGTTGGTTGACCTTGATCTAGTGGTGAAAGAAGGATTTAGATGAGATGTTGTTGGTATACTATACTGTGCAAGTTTTGCATTGTGTTTCCCTTTTGCTTGCTGTGATCTTATTTGAGATATCTGCAGTCTTTTATCTTGTGTCATGCATGTTTTCAGCTTTGTTTCTACTCTTTAAACATATTATTTGTTTTTCATTCTATTTTAGGAGCTTAATATTGACCTGATACAGTTCTCACAACCAGTCGTGGTGTATGAAGTACGTGTAATTCCATTGAAGACTCAAGTTGAAACAAACCTTGGAAAAGGATTTCGACTTGGGTAAGTCGATTATTTTATCAGTAGTGTGTTTTGAAGGAAATCTTAGCTTCTAGAAATTATCCATGCTTTTTCATTCTTTTTTTTGCCAGTTTGCCTTAATAAAAAACAGTTAGCTGTGTTTTATGTTTAGATTCAATAGAACTGATCTGTGTACCACTGTCTATTCTTTAATTGGTAGTTTCAAGTAAATCTGACTCTCTGCATCTCCAGCCATGTTTTAAGGATTTCCAAAATCTTCTTTTGTCTGTATAGACTCTGCTTCTTTTTCCATCCATCAATTCTATTTGATTAATTTGTTTGCAGATTTTCCTTTTGAGCAATAGAATAGTGAGGGCAGTAGCAGCACAGCCATCTATATAGATCTGTATCTGATTTTACTCATTTGGTCTCTTTTTGTTTGATTTTTTATACATAACAGTTCTCTTGCTTTTTTGTTGTTGTCCAAGGAACTCTTGAAACCCTTAAACTTTTATCTAAGATTAGTCACACTAGAACTCATACTATCTCCATACACTGATACCTGAAATATTCATGCTAAAAAGATTACATGAGAGTGCACACTAATTATCATGACCAGCAAATTATAAGATAGATTGTTTCTGATAAATATGCGTTTTGCTATTTGGACATTGTCATTGGTATTTATATTTGAGTGAATCAGAAGTTTAAGTCTTTGTTGTATTTCCTTGGGGTCTCACATAAAAAAGGTCATCCCAATGGGTAGTATTTCTCTTCAGGCCGTAGATCACCATTTAGTGGGCCATGTATATCCATGTCATGTTTTTATCCTTGATGTTTCTTTTTTATTCATGGGGCGTGAAGTCCTTGGCATGTCTTTAAGTTTGAGGGCAGTCTTAAGTTAACTTTAATATGGAAAAATTCTCTACTTTCCCATTCCTCTGCTTCATTGTTTTGAGTTTTAATTTTTGGAAGAATCTTTTGTCTTGTCTTCATGGCTTCTAGTTTGAAGATGTCATTTTGATTTTATTTTCCTGATATTTTCGTCAAGAAAGATTCATGTATTTTTAGTAAATATATTCTTTATATGAGTTGCTGTGGCTTGTATTCATGCTTGTTCTATTTGATTCAGATCATGAATTTTATATGACTGTTTGCAGAGGAACCCTCCCATCTGAGTTCAAGCTTGATATATTTGTGAACAACCTGAACAAGCCCACTGCTTCTACATTTGAAAAACTTGGCAGGTGAGTGCTAGAAAGAAATAACTTGCCTTCTGTTAAGGGGAAAAAAAAAGGATTAAAAATATTCTTTGAGATGTGTGAAGGGAATAATACGGTGGTTGGAGAGTACCGCAAGTGAGTCATTCATCTTTGCTTCTTTTCTTTCTGTTGCTTTTGTCTCTTTCTTACCCCCCCCCCCCCCTTTCCCGAAACTAAAATGGCTTTTATTGTGTTTATGTGCTTCTCTTTATTCACAGGGGGATAATGTAAGAATTAGGTCTTAAGATGTTTTTTATTTGTGAAAAGAATATGGACCATGTGGTATGTAACCTCTTGGGGCATTAATATTTGCATGCTCATCGGGTTCACCTTTTTAAGAATGATATTGACACCCTCATTTTGAGCCAGTGGTTCGCATTGATAGGCTCTACTTCATTTCTTTTCTTCCTGTTGTTTCATTTTGCTTTTTTCCTTCACTTAATGACTGTTATTGTGTCGATGTGCTGCTCTTTCCTCAAACACATATTTGGGTCAAGTTAAATGGATGAACTTTTTTTTCAAATTAGCAAACTGACAAACATTTCAGGGAAATGTGGAAAGCTTAGCTTTGTGCCATCTCGTTAACTGGGCTGCAGCTAGCATGTGTAGGTATAAAAATAAGAATTGAAACAGATATACTTACTGTCAAAAGCATCCCTCACCCTTCTTCCATTTGCACATTTGTATAGCTTCCGTTCAAGATCTAGGGAAAGGAGGTGTCTGTAATTACTTTTTTCTTTTTTCAGGCTAGACTATAAAGAAAATACCAACATCCAGTTGAAGCCGGAGAAGGAAGTAAGTTGTATACTTCAGTGTCTGTGAAATTCAAGGACATTTTTAAAATTCCTTTCTTATTTTGAGTTAGTACAGTCTTCTGTTTCTCAAATGACAGAGACAGAAATTGAGTTTTACAAAAATTGTTGAATAATAGCCCTCCTGGATCTTTTGTGATTCTATTTCGGAATGGTCATGGAAAATTTTACATTTACCTGTAGTTCTTAGATGTTTTGATTATTCCATGAAAATAATATTGTTGCAGTTTTTTATTCTTTTGGATTATATTAGCTTCCATTCAAGGTTAGAAAATATGATGTGGCAATCCTGCTGAATTTGTCAAATTTAGTTCACATTTTCTCTCGCAACTTTTATTTTGTTGGATAGTGTCCATATTGGATTAGTTTGGTTTATGAAAAGGTGTGGTAAAGCTTTCTATGCATTCAGTTTAAATGTCTACTTCTCTCCCTGTACTATCCCACCACCCTTGAAAAATTGCTTCAGGTTCCCACTGATGGTCTCATCCTAAAAGGATGGTACCGCATTGTGACCTTTGCAGTCTACGGCCGGGTCACAGTGGTAAAGCCCCCCCAGGACTCACCACCTCCCCCCCCTCCTCCATTGCCTGCACACCAAGGTATGTTGATGTTATTACGAGAAAAGTTGTTGTTTATGTCCTATAAATAGGCGTGGAGTACCTGTGAATTTTTTGATCGGTTTTGGTGTCAAATGGTTGTTTATCTTTTTAGTTTGGAGTACAGTCGAACCTGCCTTAACGGAAACCTGTGTAAAACGGAAACCTGTCTTAACGGAATCTCCCCGCTCCCCTCTTGATATATTCCTCTTTAATTACCTGTATAAAACGGAAACCTGTCCAACGCGGAAATGGAAAGAAAAATCCGCTCCCTTCCGAGGGTTTCACCTGTCTAAGACGGAAAATGCTTTGCCCGCTCAGCCCTGATTTGAAACAAAACTCGCAAGTTTGATTCCGCCGGCTCTAAACTTAACGCCATGGCCATGCCACTGGGCGAGGAAGGGGAGTAGGGGTGCAATGGGGATAGAGTAGAAGTTACCCTATGTTTCCCCGTCATGTGAGCACTGAGCGCTACAGCAGATAATCAGTGTAGTGTGGGTGAGATATCTCACGACTGCCCGTGAGAGTGCTCGAGTAGCCAGCCACTACGGAAACTTTCCTGGGTAGCCAGAAGCCAGAGGTGTGAAATTAGATTGACCAATGCCTGCTGCCCTGATCGTATGGCCTGCTGAGAAAAGAGTTCCTCGAATCTTTGTTACAATGTAGCAATGCCAATGAAAATTTAAATTTTCACTTTTACCCCCTTTTTTTTGGTACCTAAGAAAGAATTTTCAATTCTAATAATCATGCTTCTTGAATTTTGAGAATCGGTTCATAAATAAAAAAGTTATGGGGTTGTAAAGGTCGGCAAAATATGGATGACCCACATATAGGAAAATACTCCTAAAAAGTGGACCACGCAGTAGCAGATTCTGTAAGAAAATCGACGATATCTCGGTAACTAATCCGAGTGTTCGAGAGAAACTTGGCTACCCGATGTGTTTTTGAGTGTAGAAATCATTTCTGCAGTCAGATTTACTACCAATTTCGTAGTTATTTTGTTATAATTAAAATTGTGGTGTACATATTACGATTTTGCGAAAAAGGGGTGTCGGGATGAGTCCATTTTATTTATAGCATCGTATCACAACATGGGATCTTTCAGAATATATGTCGGCAGCGTGACTAAATAATTGCAAAGCTTTTTATGATGACTTTAGACCATGCCAACCGTAAAAGATAAGTTAATTCAATCTAGCATGCCGTACAATTAAAAATTCTTTTTCCCCGTTGAGACGCGGACACCCCGAGACGAGATAACCTCGCCTCGGAATACCCCCATTGCGATGTTACAGGGGAATAGAGAGAAAAACAACCGGATGCGCGCGCCCGCCATTGCCCTATTTCAAGTGACCAATGAACGGGTCCGGAAAATCGCCCGTAAACGGGGACCAAATTTTCGCCTCGCGGGAAAGCCCGATTGGCATTGCTGTACAATGATGACAGTGAGGGGTGGCATTGGTGGGTGGGACTAAGGGTGGAAGCAAAGGAGGTGTTCAAACATTTCTGTTTTAATAGGTCAAACAGTGGTCCTATGAAAGGCAAGCACTGGTGGTAATTGGATAAGTAAGACTGACGCATGTCACTATCAGATAGGATAGCAGCTGAGAGGTGTGAAGTTTTGACCACTGCTTGCCGATCGGACAAGCGATCCTTGATCTCACCGGCTGGGCCTTTGAACCCCCCCACCCCCATCCCCCCCTAAATTCCCCTGTCTAAGACTGAATTTTTTTCCCGCTCCCTTGCGATTCCGTCTTACACAGGTTCGACTGTAGTTACTTATATTTTGAAAGCGTGGTTTTGTACCCACCTCAAAGGGTGGGTAAGTTTGTTGAATTTTAAGGGCATTACTTGCACTAATGAAGCAGTGCTTCCAATCTTTTTTATTAGTATGGAAAAGCGTATTTTCTGAAAGTTCTGTACATGCTGCCTCATCATATCAACTCAATCCATTAAAAAAAATTTCAATAGCTGTGGTCTATTGGTATTCCATAGCAAAGGATCTGTAGCTGCCTCCCTATCTTCTTGGTTAAGTTTGAATGTTAACGGTAACTCTCGATAAGTTGTTAGCATATTTTAAACCTGCTAGTTGTGCATTTCATACACTCTGCCATTGCCCCTCTGTGTATCCTTTGGGGGGTTGGTTGGCAATACATTTTCTCTCTCAAATCGTCTAATATCTGGCTAGTCCCGATAATGCTATTTTTGTGCGGCATTCTCCTTTCTTTCAGTTACTCATTCTTTCTGTCTCTCTTTCGAATCCTTATTGGGCTAGAAAATATGTATGTTTATCAAGAAGATTGAAATGTGATTTTAGAGAAAAAATTGTTGTCAGAAAGGTACTCTCTCAAATCTTTCTAGACTTAGAAAAATTGTCAGTTGGAGGATTCTACAGGAGCAGGATAATTCCGTGGACAGTGAAAAACTTGATAAAATTACTAAAATCTAAAATAAGTGGAAGTGATACAATAAGGTTGTGGCATTCGACATTCTGATGCAAAAATGGAGGAAATTACAGACTTAATGACTACCTTGTCAAGATTAATGTTCCTGGCTGTACGTACACTACTGTCAATGGCGCAATGACAAATTAAATTACAATGGCAGTGGAAAGAGGAATTTGGTTTAGATATTGCCAGCAAGATAGCATGGGTATATGTAGATGAAGAAATCAGATAAAACAAGACAAACTCTTGGTGAAAAAAGAAAGTACCACATTATGGGTTTGCACCCTGAATCTCCTCTGAGTTGCTGTTCTTGAACCCTGTATTGGTTGGGGGGGGGAGGGGGTGTTGTCTATGCTATGCTGCCCCTAAAACCCCAGTGTATAATTTTCCTTTCGTTTCTGCTTTATCTGTCTGAAATTCTGCTAAAAATTGAAAGTGGGTGGTTGGCAGGTGCTCTGGTGTGGTTTGTTCCTTCTTTCCTATCAAACATTTATCACCTCTAATCTTCGGCACTTATATGACCTAACTGTGTTGCAAGTGCCGTTAAAATCTTACAAAAAAACCAAAGAAAAAAAAAAAAATTGCTAAGTGTATTCGAACCTGTTCAAGACGGAATCACCGTCTTGGATGGAGGGGGTTTCAATGGGCCAGCCTGTAAGCGGTGGGATTAAGGGTCATCTGTCTAGTCTGCAAGCGGTCAAAATTTCATACCTCCCAAGTGCTGTCCTAGCCTCCCTGTAAATGGCATGCATTTTATCTTTTTTAGCCATTGCCACCAGTGCTTTCATATCATAGGACCATTTTTTGACCAATTAAAAACGGAAATGATTGTTTTCATCCTTAGCTCCACCATCAATGTAATTAATCAATGCCACCTCTCCCCTGTTGTAACAACTATTCAAGGAACTTTTTCCTCGCCTGATCATATGATCAGGGCAGCAGGCAGTGGTGAAATTAATTTCACACTTCTGGCTACCCAGGAAAGTTTCCGTGCTGGCGCGCCACTTGAGCACTTTCACAAGCAGTTGAGATTTTACACCTCTGCCTCCCTGGCCATCTGCACTGTTCAGATCTCACATGAAAGAGGTAACAGCCACCCCTTAACAACCCCCCCCAAAAAAAATTTGCATACCACAGAAAGATAACATGTATTTATTTTTAAATCTTCTTTCAGGAATGGATGTTGGAGAAGAAGAGAGCCACAAACAACAGCATCCTTTGGATTACATAAATGCACAGCTGCAACAGCAGAGGCAGAAACAACAGCTAGTATCCACGGCTCAGACCTCCCCCTCCCCCACAGGCTTAGCCCGGGCTGCTCCTATAGAGGAAGCCTTCTCGGAGGTGCTGAGAAAACCGTCACCTCACAGGGACCGGGGTCACCCCAGCAGTCATGATAGGGATCGTCCTAGTAGTCGTGATCGGGATCGTCCAAGCAGTCGTGATCGGGACCATGCCAACAGCAGAGAGCGTGATCGCCCGGCCAGTCGAGACCGGGACCGTCCGGGCAGTCGTGATCGAGATCGCCCCAGCCATGATCGAGAACGTCCCTCCAGCCGTGAGCAGGACCATCCCATGAGTCGAGACCGTGATCATCCTTCCAGTCGGGATCGGGGCTCTAGTGGGGACCGTGTCCGTGCCTCCAGTCAAGACTCTCATGACTTAGAGCTCCGACGTGATTACACCTTTCCTCCGGAACCCAAGGAACCATATGACTCCAGTAGGGAAAAAGATTTCAGTGATTTTGAGAGGTCAGTGTCTCGAGAAAGAGACACGAGAGACAGAGACTTTGCTTTCAGATCTAGCAGAGATGAGGAAGTTCCAGGGTCTCGTGAGAGAGACAGAGAGTTTAGTGGGCGAGAAAGTAGAGAAGATGATCGACCACGTTCCAAGGAACGGGACAGGGAAATAGGACGGAGAGATAAGTCGTTGCGTCACAGTTCGCGGGAAAATGAAGGGCATGACGTTCGAATGGTTTCAGATTCTCTTGACAGCTCTAGAGAGTCAAGAGCACACAAAGACAAAGACATTTTAGACAGAGACCTTGGGAGGGATGAACTGCACAGGGAGAAAGAGAGGGAGAGAGATGCTGAGAAAGAACGAGAGAGACAGAGAGAGAAGGAGGAAAGAGAACAGCGTGAATATGATGCTAAGGAAAAGTTAAAGAGGGAGCAGGAACTGAAAGAGAGAGAGATCAAAGAGCGGGAGAAAGAGCTGCAGAGAGAGCATGAACGGGAGAGAGAAAAAGAAATTCAGAGGGATAGAGAAAGAGACAGGGAGCGTGAAATGGAGATAGAAAAGGAGAGAGAGAGGGAACGAGATCATGAGCTTCGAGAAAAAGAGCAGGAAAGAGAGAGGGAAAAAGAAAGGGACAGAGACAGGGATTTATTGAAAGAAAAAGAGAAGAAAACTCGGCCTGAGCATGAAAGGCGTGGCAGACCCAAAACTTCCCCTCGTAGGTCTAGTGTGGATCGTTCTCGCTCTCGATCAGGATCAAGGTCACGGAAGAGATCACGTTCTAGACAGAGGTCAAGGTCTAGATCTGCTCCACGGAACCAGCCAGCACTACCATCAGAGGAGGTGGACCATCCTCCAGAACTACATCTAAGTACGTACCAGAGAAAGTGGGAAAATATTTTTCTGTGATTGACATAATTGCTTTAACAGTACAATTACGAAAGAAGGTAGGCTGGAAAAGTGAACTTGAGTGATGATAATAAAATTGTAACAAAAGCTATAATATTGATAATGAAAAACACGATAATATGATAATAGAAAAATAATAATCATCTAATAATAGTAATAATCAACTTCGTTGTCTTCAAAATAATAATGATTATAATGACAAGAACAATAATAATAATGATAAAAATAATAATGATGGTGATAAAAAGAGGTGAGGAAGGGGGGCTGAGGGAGGTGAGAGTGGTCTAGTAACATTCTGTAGTTACTTTCCTGACTGCCATAACAAACTGGAAGGTTGTGTTCGTAGTGAAGGTCTGGTTCATCCTCTTTTTAATGAAAAACGAAATTAAAAATTTACCTAAGTAAAAACTTTCTTCCTCATTATTGTTTGTTCATATGATCCTCAAAATTTTTGTTAACAAACTTTTGGTTTATTCATCATAAGTCTCTGTGACTATCTGTTGAAACTGTCTATTCTGAAAGACTTTATATAATTTTACCTGAAGGCTCGGACAGATTTTTAGAAATATGTAGAAATACAGACGGAAGCCTTTAGACAAAAGTATCTTTTTTAGATACTTTGATATCTCATTGAATTTTCAGCCCAATGAAGGGAGTAAGCATAGAAGGCCTTGTTTTAAATAATGTTTGTGTTTATGACTTTTTAGACTTTTATTTCAAATTTGGACTGCTTCTAAATTAATTGCTACCTGCAGGTGATGAGGCTGACTTGGAAGAGGTTGGAATTGAGGAGGAAGAGGACATGGAGGATGTGATGTCAGATCGTTCAAACTCTCGGCGACCCCGGGGGCAAGTAGACGATGCTGAGGCTCAGGTAAAGCAGACTTTGTTCTGTTGAAGCTAGAGAGGTAAGCAGAGTAAGTCTGATTCCTGTAAAGACTTCTCTGTTGACACCCACCCCTTGGCGCTCATATGACCTTATGCAATTGCAAGCGCCGTAAAACCCTCTACTATTAAAAAAAAAAATATTCTTGTACGAGTCTAGAGGCCAAAATTGGGTTTCAAGAAATATCAGGTCTTTTGTTCCTCTTTATATATGAGGATGTCGGCTTCACCTTTACATCTTGCTTCTGGTTAGTTGGCGGGTGCTCTGATGTGGTTTGCTCCTTGTTTCCTATCAAATATCTATCATTGTTAACTGTCCTCTTTCTTTTCTTAGTATGTTTGTCTTTAGTATTAGTAGTAATACCTCTAATCTTTGGCACTTATATGACCTATTTGTGTTGTGAGTGCGGTAAAATTCTTTCTTCAGCTAAAACATGTTATTTGTACTTGTAGGAGACAGAAGGCTATGAGGACATATCCTCTGATGAGGAAATGGGTGTCATGGATGTTCCTAACATGATGCAGGTTGGTCATTTACCTCCTTTTTCTTTTTATAAGCAACATCTAAGGTCCTGACTAATGAGATTATGAGAGGGCTTCCACCCTCTGACTTTTTACAATATTAAATGAAGGGATGTTATCTTGGTTTATTGGACTGGACTGTAGAGAAAAGCTGGGTAAACCAGGCAGCTAGGGTTATGGGCCTTTGTTCTAAGTGTGATGGCAAAGGAAAAAGCAATTGAACATTTGAAAATGAGATTTGTATTCATCTGACCATTGCTCTCAAAATTGATAGTTTTTCAGAGCCTTTTGGTTTATTATCTTGTTATAGTCAGTCATTTGCGGCTCAACTAACTCCAACTGATTGGGATTGGAGTCAGAATTGCAAAACTGACAAATAGTGGTGAGGTGTGTATGAAGCACCTTTCATGCTCATTAACGATGCATGTGTAACACTTGTTTACTTTATGTTATTTAAATGAAATAATCATCAGATGTTTCAAGTCTTTCTGACCCTCGATGGAGACGTATAGATTTTCTCACCTTACTCTCATTCGATGCAAGTCATAATTATGGTCCCATTCATATATATATGGCTATGTTTCGATGCAAGTGTAACCCTAAAAAAAACCAACTTACAAATTGTTATATAATTCAGTCTAATGTAGCAGACAGCTTTTCTTGTTTGAATTTAAGGTTCTAAGAGGATAAGATAAACACCAATTTAAATTTTTTTTTTTTGCAGTTCTATCATGTTCAGGTTGTGTTACTTTGGTTGCAAATGACTAACTTTAATGAAATAAGTTGTTTTTAGAATGTAATTTGTTTTTTCCCAGGCCATCACACTATGACTAGAAAGTATCAAGGCCATCTGGTGCCAATTTGAAGCTTGTAGCAAACTGCTTAAACTGCAGGAAGTTGGATCACTTAAGGAATCACAAAATAGTTGTATTTGAAACCTCTAAATTGACTAATGAAATATTTGTTAAATATTTTGGGCATATTCTGTGACAATGGGTCATTTGGTGTGTGTCAGTTGAAAATGAGTTATACCTGAAGTGTTTGGGGTTTGAAATGGAATCCACTTAAATGGAAATCTGCAGGACAGCCAGATTTTCTTTCGTCTAACTGTGGCTTTGGTTTAGAGAGATAGCTCATTTAACATTGATTGTTGACAGTGTAGAGTTAGGAATGCCATGCTCTTGGCAAATTTCACTATTTGAAAGGTTTTTTTCCCCTCTATCTCTTTTAGTTACTGTCATTTGAGTTGCAGACTGCATATTGTGCTTTCTCTTTAACATTGTCAGCCAAACAGTCACACAGAACAGATGAAAGCATAGATCAGCATACACACTCTACTGCACTAGAGAAGTGAGAAAGCCCAATGCTAGTGTCGTCATGAAACACACCAAGTGCTGTCATGTGCTCATATGTAGGGCTTATGTGAACTTACTTTGCAGAGACAATAGGCCATTACCAGCTGAATTCAGTGTGACATGTACTTTCACTATCCTTGTGTTACAAGGCTGATATACAGAGTGTAGGTCTATTGATGTGTAAGATAAACGTACGCAAACAGTACACTGATGATGCCGCTTTCTTACCTGCTATTTATACGTATGTGTTTTTTTGTATCTGTCTTCTCTTTCCCTTTCTTAAAGCACATAAGGCTTGAGGATTTGCAATACTTGAGGAATGATTTTGAAGATTTAGACGACGTAACCATTAACATTTTGTTTGGTTCAGAAATATTTGCGTTTTGGCTAATTGGTAATTTTATTACAAAGACAAAGAAGAAAAATCAGGGATTCTATTTTCTTTCGGTTTACCGTTATTTTAGGATTAACCACGTTTGATTTAGGAGGACTCTTCTGTAATTGTTGTGTTGTTTTCAAGGCTTTGAAGACAACTATTTGTGTGCGTCCCTGGAAAAAGGTCCCAGTTGTTGGAAATACTGGATATTGAGAAGTAAGGGCATATTTTTGTAGCAAATTCAATGCTGAACACGCTGATTAAAAGAAATTCAAATATTTTGAGTAGTTTTAAAGATATGCAACATTTTCCAATGTTTAGTACGTTTTAACCTTTGGTGAAGAACAAAATATTGCAAAACTAATAACAAATGTTTGGACTATTTTGAGCTTTCAATTTGTTATTAAGAAATGGTTAAATGTTTGTTTTCTGATGGAACTACATTTTTGACCTGCTACGACTTTTTTGGCCTTTTTATCTCCGTGGCTCAAAAATAGCTTTGTCAACAAGTGGAACCTTCTTCAGGCACACACACATTGTGCAGTAACTGAAGTTGGTAAGAAAACTGTGTGCATGGTAACACTGGAATATCCTTATAATGAACATGTTTTTGTTCATCAGGTGTTGGATATGTACGAGCTGGAAGAGGAAAGCTGGCCTACTGGTGGAGCTCCGGGCAACCCTTTAGACTTTTACTTGACGCCACTCACAGTATGAATGAATGGCTGTGCCTGTTTTTATGTTTCTCTATTTCAATTTCTCCGTCAATATCATTGTGGAAACTTGATAGATATTTTCTTTTTCTTTTTCTTTTTTTTTTTTGAGAATGATATTTGCAATGTTGGTGATGATTTATTTGTATAATAGTTTTTGCTTTTGTTCTTTGCTGCTTTGTTTTTTCTCAGATTCTCTTTCTTTTTTTTTTACCTAGCCTGTTTGTAAATTTTCCTGTCGTATTGTACACATCCGAAGTTGTGGTGCTTCCTTCCTTTTTTTGTGTTTATTTTCATTTTAATATAAAATATAAAATGGATAAAAGGATAAAAATGTATTGTTGTAGACAGTTTCGTTGTGTTAATCTTTATTTTCTTAATTTTAAAACGTCCTGATATATTAATATGTGAGAAACTATGTGAGTGGTTGGAGAATCCTACCATTGGTATCTTCTTTACTGTCTTTACTATCTCCACTATTTCTACTCGTTTTTTAATTTTTTTTATCTTGCTTTGTACAAACCCAAAGCTTAAAAAACCCCCAAAAACCAACCACTTACCAAAAAAACTTCTTTTCTTTTTCTTTCCCCTCTTTTGTTTCTATCTGTGTGTCTTATTCTTTCATTAGCACTAAATGATTTTTATTATTGATGTGCCTGTCAAATTTCTTCTATTTCTTCCTAAAAAATTCCAGATCTGAAACAGACATCGGCACCGTCATGGTTTGCCACTTATTTCTTGGCTTGAATGCTCTAAAAAAAATCCATATTATCATGATATTTTTCTGTCGTCCATCTGTTCCAGTTGTCTCAGTAAGTTATTCCTTGTCCGCCTATGTCTCTTTTGCCTCTTTATTCTACAAAAAAAACCCCATGTGGATGTTAATTTAGAAACAATGATTTGTTATATTTCAGGCTTTGAACAGTCCAGCCATGTCATGTTATCAAGTGGAGCTGTCACAGTTGGAAGCATCCGGAAGTCACGGCGACACCCCGCGGGAAGCCCTTGCTTTGTTGGATATTTTGTCAAAGTTTGATAATGTGGAACATCAGGACAGGTAAGGGATAGAAGGTGGGAGTCGTGATGATGGTGTGTGTGTCTGAGTGGTAAAGAAAGATTCTTTGAGAATTTTTTTCTGTCCTTATTAAGGCTATCTTTTACACACATCATCTTCTTCTACTAGTACCAGGCCTGAAACAGACATGGCCGATCATGGCTTGCAGCTGATTTCTCAGCCTGAAGGTTCCTAAAAAAAAATCAATATCATCCAGGTCTTTTTCCTTGACCCATCTGTTCAAGTTCTCTAAGTAGATCATTCTTGGTCTATCTCAGCTTCTTGTGCCTCTTTTTATATACGGTCGAACCTGTCATGACGGCCACCTGAATAAGACGGCCACCTGTACAAACTGCCAGTTTCCATTTCCCCCCTTGCGTTTTTTCTTTATAATTTAACAGTGTAAAATGGGCACCTGTCCAACGCGGCTGCGGCCACCTTATTTTATCTCACGGTTAAACTTATCTGTCTCAAGCGGCCAGGCGTGGTCACTCATGGCCCGATGCTTTGTCATAAATTTTGAATCTGCCCCTGACGCTGTGGACGGGCCCCGTCTTAATTCATTCACCTTTTATTATTGTTAGTCCCTCCAATGACTGTTTACCCAATGTGACCTATAGGAAGGCCTAACAATAAATTTTCAACTGCTAGTGAGGGAAGCGTGTGATCCGTCATAACCTATAAAAAGCCCCGCCCACAACTCGTGCACAAATCATGTGTGAGGTGACTGGTCACTGTTTTGTTTACCTAATCTATAACAAAGTTACAATGGACGTTAACGTGAACTTGCGACTTACGCGTCGCTAGTTCTCCGAGTGGTGGTGACCCGTGTGTTTGTTTTACCATGGCACTCGATCTTCATCGTCTACACTTACATAATATTTTGTTTATTTTACACATGTTAAAAATCAGCAACAAAAAGAAAGCTAACCAATAAACAAACCCAACAAAACAACACAAAAAACCCTTCTTACACCACCCTCTCCCCTCTTTCCAAAGAAAACAAAAACCTTTTTGAATTAGCCTTACGGCAGTCCAAAGCCTGAGATCAGCCCCGGTTTGGACCTCAAAAGAGAATGATTTGCTTTCTTAGGACTGATCAAGTCCTGCCTAAGACGACCACCTGTGTTATATGGCCACTTTTCTCTATGACAATGGGTGGCAGTTTTACACAAGTTTGACTGTACATCCCTCTGAGTATTTGCCTTGTTATGTATAGAATATCATGTAAATTTACGGCTCCCCATTTAAGTTTGTATGGTTTGGCTTTCAGCCTTTGGTTTTGAGCCCTGATAAAATGCCCCAAACCTCTATTTTTATACCACTTTGGAGATACCGTTAAACTATGTGGAATTTGGGACAAATCTGAGTGGGATGCTTGCCTAATTAGCTACAATAGCTCTTACGTCTACCTCTACTACTCATTGTGGAGCTACGTATTGTTTGTTTGTCATCTGCTAAGTCTTGTTGACAGATGTACCACTGATTAAACATTGTAATTTTTGTACTTACTTTTAACATGTATGTATATCCTTATGAAAGTCGAATGGGCCTGCTTTAAAAACTTTTAAAATAAACATCTTTGCCTTTAGAAACAGTTAGTTTTTTAAAAAGAGTATACAATTAGATAGTGAATATTTTCTATTTCTTCCTCAGATGGGTAATGGCTATGGAGGAAATCCCAGCTCTTCTTGACAAAGGCCTGCCCTACTTAGTTGGACTAGAGAAAAGAGATGGTATGTCAGCCAGGTCTTTGAGGGACTCAGTATTTTTTTCACTGTCTTAAGTGTCTAAGGTTAAGATTTTAAAAATAATTCCTTCTAGAAACATTTTGGTTTGTGCTCGTCTAATTCTACTTCTCTGAGCATTGCTTTTTTCCTGTTCAGTCCTTGGATAGATATGGCCATTATTATACTAGCTCAAAAGTGAAGTCATTATTCTTTAGAATTCTAGACTCTTTAGGACGAGATGTTCTAAACAAAAAACTTGTACCGCAATCAGATTACTGTCCCAGTGTTTTGAGGATAATTTGACTTGTCTTCATACTTTGAGGCACCCAAACGAAATAATTTTGATGTTATGCTCTTTTGAAAATACTGACAGTATGTGAGTTTGAGGCCATACTTTGCAGCACACAACAAGTTTCCACAAGGTAACAGTTGTGGACATGATACAATTAAAAATGTACAAAAAGGAAAAGTATAGTATAAAGATTATGGGACAAAACTTAACAAGCTTGCATAAGAAACAGAGAACTGAAAGAGTTGGCTTTCTCTCGGGAAAAAGTTATAAATATTTGGAACCCCATTGCATGATCGAGATTGCTAATCGTCCCTCTTGCCATCCCTCTCCCCTTCATGCTGCCCTTACAATTACAATTATATAATGGTCTGTCTTGCGTAGATGTGCTTTCGACGCTGATGTCTTGGGTGATGGAAGGTTGCGATCCAGACCTGGCCATGACTCAACCAGACGCAGCTATCAAAGTGCGGCACCTGAAAGTGGGCATCAAGCTAGCAGGGCTGTTGTGTACTAGCGACGAGGAGATTGCTCTGGGTCTGTTGGTGAGTGGACAATCTTTCTCAATCGAGTGCTATTTGTACGTATTGTTATTTTGTGTTTGGGTATATTATGCGAATAGATGCGCCATTATTAGGTATCACTTTCTTTTTTTTTCTTCTTCTTGTTTTGTTTCCCCTGAGGTGGTTTTTTGTCTAACTTTTTCTTTACACTAAGTGGCTCTTTGATCAAACTAAATTGAAACTGAAACCATATATTTTCTGTGTGAAAAGCTAGTAGCCCAGCAAATAAAGTTCAATTCATTTCAATTCAGTCCCCGTTTTACATATATGATCTGTCTTGTCACCCATACTTGCACTTTCTATCTCACGACCATCGCTTGAGCTCTGCGTATCCTCCACTCAAGGTCTAGTGTTTTTATAAACAAAATTCAATCAGGGTCTGTTTGTAAGCGCCACTGGTAGGTTCTACTTCATATTGCTTGATCTATCTTTTTTTTCTGGTCAATATTTCAGAATGCTGATTTTTGTTGTTGTTGTACTTCCCTCTCTCTTTCTCTCTCTCTCCCTCTTTCTCTCCGTAGCCCTCCTGTTATCCTTTGCCCTGTTGTGCTATCACCCTCATTCCTCCTGTAACCCAGTCCATCACATTACACTTCTACCCCTCATACCTCTTGAAGTCTTGTTACTTCCTTCCCATCCCCTTCTGCCATGTTTCTAATGAACCATCCGCTCACATATATTGCTCCTGTTACAAACACCCCCCCCCCCTCGTAGCAAACCCACCCTGCTTTCAATCTTCCTGTTCTCCCTCCACAGCGTCGGGGTGTCCAGGCTCGCCTCTTGTCTCTACTGGAGAGCCAGTTCATTATGTTCAGTTTCAAGCACCAGGCACTGAGGGCTTTATCACGCACCACTCACTTTCCCGCTGGCATTCTTTGGTTCGTCGGCCGCCACTCTGAGCAGAGCCCCCCAGGAGAAGGGCAGGAAGACACGGGATATCAACGTCTTGTGAAAAGCTTACTTAAGCCCATGGTAAGGATAAGAGCGAAAAATCTCGGAGATCTCGTGTGAAAGTTGCGCTTGTTAAAGATCCCTTGGTGATCTTAACTCTTGTCCTGCGTCTGTGCCGAAATGCGAATCTTATCAACAACCGATTACGTTGGACGTGCCGGGCAGGCTGCCGGGGTCACTTAGTGTGTACTGTTGGTGTACAGCGCGCGCGCCAGGAAACGTGTGTTTTCGCCATGAATACCGCGGGAGTGTGTTAATCGATGATGAAAATAACGCTCTATCTTTCATAGCTTTCTATTTATAAAGTGTTACAAACACATGAATAACCCCCTCTCACAAGCTGATAAGACATTACAAGTAGTTACGCCCATTTGAATAACCTTTCTGGACGCTCTTGTTGTTATGACTGACCTGAGGTTCGAAAGGGGATAATATAGGTAAATTTCCGAATGTTTTACACTCAAATTGTTCTTTGTGCCTGCACAATGGTATTCAAAACTATCAAACAAGCTTATTTTTTATCAGGTAGTATCATTTCATACAAAATCAAGCTCCTTTGAAAGATTTTTGTATAGAAAAATGGAAGTCTTGTTTCCTGATTATCCTTTCGAGCTCCTCATGTCTAAGTGGGTCAATTTCTTCTGTAATTTTATTGGACGAACATCTAGAGCTTCCAACTTGGCATGTTTTGAATGAGACGTATGCCTCGATTACGAACCAACGCAGGCAGTTGTAGAAGAAGGCCACAAACGCACACAAACTCAAGCAGACTGACGCACACACACTTGACCTGCGTGAATGGGGATCCGACTCGGGACCTGAATGACACGTAAGAGGATGCGCGCTGCGCGTGCGCTGAGCGTGCGCTGAGCCAGGGGCTACACTGATTCGGGACCAGAACGTAGGCGAGGTGCCGAAATAGGCTTATCGGGCGACATAAACCCGGCTCCCGCAGGACGAGGGTTAAAATTAATAAGTGTAGACTTCAGCCATCACTCTGGCAAAATTTAGAATTGCAAATTTTCTAGTCAATATAAAAACATACAGAGTACCTTCGAAATCGGAATGTTGTTGCCTGAAGGCAAGGGACCATACTAAGTAGGAAAAACAGTCACATATGTAAAAATCAGTTGCACTGCACGTTGAAGAACCACCAGTTGACTACCCCTGAGATCTAGCAAGGGAACGTAAAAAAGAAGCTGTCTGATGACGTGCTGAGGACTAGCAGTCTTTGGGAATCTTGAGAATAAGCTGTTCTTTGAAAAGTGCTGAAAATTAGCTATCTCAGAGAATGAGTAGAGGACTAGCTGTGCAGGGCAAAAGTGAGTTGAGGACTAGCTGGATGGCTGGATGGTGGAATATTAAGTTGAGGACTAGCTGTACAGTACAAGACTGAGTCGAGGACTGGTCAGGGTCCCCACCAGGTCAGGAAATCGGGGAAAAAGTCGGGAATTTTGAGATGGGTCGGGAGGTCGGGAAAAAGTCGGGAATTTTGTGATGGGTCGGTAAGTCGGGAAAGGATAGGGCCTGTGTAATGTGTAGCTGTCTAGACTGTATGGTTGATGAATCCTGAAGAGGAAACGTAATTGAACCGCTGTGGCGGAAGTGTATGTGTGACACCGAGGCTCGATCGGGAAGAATCAAGATCTACTTTCGCTTTCGTTACTACCCAGAAATTTTCCGGTAATAGTCTGATAGATAACGCAACATTTGTAGCATGCAGGTTGTGCATTATGAACTCTGTGTCGCCTTGAAAATAAATCAGTATTAAAAATTGCCCTCTTCTGTCGCTTGTGGAAAAAAAAAAGAAAAAGAACTTTTCAAACGTCTTGTCAGATTCGCCCTCGTGACCGGTCAATGAACCTGTGAGTACCGGTGGTCCGAGCGCTGTGAAGTAAGGACTCCTTTATAAGATACACTTCTTGTGGAAGGGGATTGGGGGGGGGGGGGATGAAGGCAACGCTAGAGGACAAAAACTGAACTTGGAAGCAAATTTTTAGCATTTTGATAACTACTTTAGAGCTCTCTGCAAAGCGCGCGTTGGTGCAGGCCTTGTGTGGAATCGGGATCCGTCATGCCTTGTTATTGAACTTAAGTGTTCGCATTTCATAGGATGGGTGATTGTAATTTATATTTATATTTTAGCTTTCTGTTCAAGATTGGCAGATTTTCAGTGTCACTGCATCTTTGCCCCCCCCCCCCCCCCCCAGTTCTTACACCTCTCACACTGAATAGGTGTACTTGAGCCATTCTAGTTATTACTAATATTACTCTACTTTGAGTTGCAGCAATGGTTTTCGTCTTCACGTTTATTATATGAATCATGACACCCAGACTGGTTATTGACAGTCGATATTCTAGTTCTAGGTCTTTTCTCAGGCTCAAAACAGGATTAATTTTTTATTTATAGGGCCTATAGTTTGTTATGTTGGCTAATATGATGAGGGGAAAATATAAATAAGTAAGAACAGACTGAAATACCAAAGTCTCTCAAGATCCCAGTGCCACACTGACATGTTGTTGACTGGATATAATGTACCTACATGTGTGTGTGTGTGTATTCACAAACATATACATGTATTATATTAGATATAAATGGAGCACACGCTTTCATTGTTATGTAACGTGTTCCTGGAATATGGATGAGGCCCCTCCCTTGGAAAATTGCGAAGCTGGCTTGGCAGTCGCCCAGTATTATAGTCATCTATTGTTCGAAGACTATACTACAAAATGTACATTTGCATTCATTTAAAGACATTTTGACTTTTTATCATTGATAGATTGGCTTTTTGGGGGATCATTCTTGACGCGCAGCGGCCTGATTTTTCCCTCGAATAGGGGTCTTGAAAATTTTTTCCAGGATTTGGTGGGGACCCTGACTGGTGTACATCAAAGTAATTTGAATATATTATCCACAAAAGGTTGTGTATAAGTTCTATTTGCTAATATATAACATTCCATGCTAATTTGACTTTAATACAACTCTGTGTCACATAATGTGCCACTTTTCTTAAAACAATCAAAATATTGAAATGTTTAGAAGCCAGTATGTTTAGCATTGATTTTATGATGAAAATATGTCATTTTTGTGTTATATAAGCTGTAGATAACAAATGCTATGTGTTTATAAATAAACAAACAAACTTTGAAGCCTTATTTCTAAAATTTGGTTTTGTACTTTGTCTTACACAATCAAGCATATTCTAAAAATTATTCAAAATATTACAATAAAAAACCCAGCTTCTTCTGCATTGAATTTCCTACAAGAATATGTCCTTAGCTCAAAATGCAAAATTTCTGACAACGGGGATCTTTCTCCAAACACATACATGTATGAAGGCCTGTGGGCCTCTTAATGGGGGTGTAAAGTTGCTGTTTCACAATGAAACCTATTAGTAAGTATTTCTTTTTAAAATCTTGGTTTTTGTTTGGCATCTCCCTTGAATAGATCAGCAAGCTGACCATGTCTGCATCAGCTCTGTTACGAAAGATTCATTTTTACGAGGCCCTAACAGACTTGTACAGTACCATTGAAAGGTAAGCTTTGCAGCAGCTCATGATGTTTTCAGAATAAATATCACCAAACATGTGAGCTCTTTCACTGTTCCAAGCACATATAGGATGAGGAGACTGGAAAAGGTCCATGAAATTTAGCTCACTTTGTGAGTTAATGAAAAGGTTCGTTTCCAAATTTTATGTGTTCTAGAGTATTCTCTTGCCCTTTTTAACTCCCAGTGGAGCACAGGCTATCAACGACATTACTCCTGCGAAGCCTGTCCTGAGCATCCTTTTCTAGCTGTTTCCATGATGTCCCCGCTTTTTCAATTTCCGCTGGTACCGCTTGCCTCTATGTCATCTTTGGTCTTCCCTTCTTACGTTTTCCTCTAGAGTATTGCACGAGTTTAATTCCCATTTGAATACTGTTGAGGTATTTTGGAGTTGGGAATTCTGAATTTAACATTCATCTCCTATAAGATAAAACTTTGGAGTGTCCTCAAATGACCCTAGTTCAAGACGTTCCCCTCTGGAGATTTGGACCTGCATTGTAGTCGGGTCGTCTGCATCGCCCCTTCTTCTTTTTTGTGTATGTTTTTCTCTTGTAACACCTCTAATCTTCGGCACTCATACGACCTTATTGTGATGCAAGTGCTGTAAAACACTTACTAAAAAAATAAAATGATATTGTAGTCGGGCCTGATATCAACTGTGTTAACTCACTCACCGCCATTGCCGCACCTGTGTCGGTCAATAGGCGACGACCGCTCACCACTGCTGCCGTACCCCTGTCGGTCGCGTATTTTCCTCTTTATTTCTACTAATTATCGACACATATGCGGCATCGGCATAGCCCAATTACTAGAGTAACGTCCCTTTGACCATTGAGAGCATTTTCACTTTATTAGAATGGTTTCCCTTGAAGTTCTGCCTATTTTTGAAACGGGAGTTCCCTTTGTCCTATTTCTGGGTTTTGTTTTGAACGTCGCACGGCCAAAATCGACAAACGCTAACGTGATGCTCATGCTGGTATGAATTGAAAATGGCTCATAATTTTAGAGATTCTGAATCCATATGATTCAATGAACTCAGATTCAGATAATGAAGTGCAAAATAATAGTAGTGATGGTAGTTAGAGAAGAGAGAAAGAGATAGATCACCTGTCGACAGCAGTAGTCTTTTACTAATACTAGATCTAGTAGTACGACGACTAACGGTGACAGTTGAAAAAGAGAAGCCTAAGTCATCATAAACTGTTGGAAACTCAAGTGCTGATGTGGTTTGCGTCTATGTATGCTAGTGACTTTGTGTTGATACCAAGCTATGTACAGTGGTCTCCGCCTAAGATCCCACCGCTTAGGATCCCGCTTCGCCTTAGATCCGGCTGTTTCGCCTAAGATCCGGCTGTTTCGCCTAAGATCCGGCTGTTTCGCCTAAGATCCCGCACTGAAGGAGCTACTGTCTGCTAAGATCCCGCTTTTCAGGTTTTCAGGTCATAATTTAGTTTTTTCTTCTTCTTTATTTAAGACCAAAAAAAAAAAGAAGAAAAAAACCTGGGCGCGCTCAGCTGATCAACCAAGTAGCAAAGATTTGCGATCCTTATCCAGTCCGTCACGTCGCGGATCATCCACTCTCATGAATGCGATCACACCTCTGGTGTAAATCTCAATAAGTGGTTACAATGTTTGTCCCAGACGGGATTGCACCAAGGTGTGAACTCGTGGATGCCTTGCTTTCCCCTGTCACCCGAGCCGTCCGCCTGACCTTACATCACACACTAGGTGGGGAGGGCCTACAAGCAAGCGTCTGACTGCATTCCATCAAACTGTGAACTCTCTCTCTCTTCTGGCGCTGTGGCTTCATAAACGGTCAGCGATGCCGACACCACGCAGGAACTCAACACTTGCCCTGGGGTCCTTAAAAAGTGCTGAAAGTGGGTTACTGAAATGTCCCAGCAGACGAAACTGTGAACTCGTGGACGCTTACGTTTTCTCGACCATCACTCTCATCTTTTAGTTTTGTGCTTTAACTTCCTAGACAGACTAGCGCCCATTCTCTTGGACTGTCCGATCGCCTTTGCGTAATGGGGTCATCTGTTGGCAGTGAACCTGCCTTTCATTTTTTAAAAATTTGGTCAGTTTGGTCACAGCACAACGATTTATGATGCATCATGACATGGGCGGGGAACTCCATTAGAGATGGAAAGCAATACATTTTTGATGTGGGGCATTGTTTGAAGCCAACTGGTTCCCATCTGGCGAAGTAGTATTTTTTTAAAAGCCCCACCCCCCGTCCCCAAACAAAAAAAAGGAAAAATTTACTTCTGAAAAGAACTTTTAGTGCCCAGGAGTCACGTCACTTTATTTTAAAGTAAAGGAAGATCATTGTACAGATTTTGGGCCTGACGTGAGTTACTGTGGATTCTTCCCCCTGGCCATTGGGCTAAGATCCCGGTTTGCCTAAGATCCAGCATTTTCCTTGCTCCCGAGCACCGTGATCTTAGGCGGAGATTACTGGATTTATACTTAAAGTCTTACAAGCTAGTGAAAGCATACGATAAATTTCTGTCAATTTAGGATGAAGAAACAGCTGTTTGATCTGATCCAAGTTTCCAAGACTAGTTTGACTACAAAAGTAGCCTCAATGTGTTTTTTTTTCTTTTGACTAGTAAAATATTTGAAGGTTTCATAGGAATACTCAACAAAGTCACATTTTTGTCATTTTTAAGAAATAATATCTTAAAAAATTTTCCAAAAAAACCCCAAAGATTTTCCCTTCTTTTTTTCTCGCATATTTCTGTTTTTCTATCTTTAAAATGTTGTTATGTGAGTGGTTGGCTGTTGCTCTGGTGTGGTTTGCTTCTTCTTTCCTATCAAACATCTATCGTCCTTATCTCCCCTCCTTCTTTTTTTATGTTTGTTACTCTCTTGTAACGCCTCTAATCTTCTGACGCTCATATGACCTTAGGCAGTTGCGAGCGCCGTAAAACCTCTACTAAAACAAAAAATCTCTCGTCTTTATCTCCCCACCTTCTTTTTTGTGTTTGTTACTCTCTTGTAACACCTCTAATCTTCGGCACTTATATGACCTTATTGTGTTGCAAGTGCCCTAAAACACTACTAAAACAAAATATAATGTTGTTATGGTAATCTGCATTGAAACGGCATGGAGTATTACTTAAAATATTAGATATTTTGACTTTTGTTTTTATCTTTCTCGTCCTCGCTGTGTCTCTGCGGGTGGCTGGTGGGTGCTCAGGTGTGGTTTGCTCTTTCTTTTATATCAAACGTCTATCGTCCTTATCTCCCCTCCCTCTTTTTTTGTGTTTGTTACTCTTTTGTAACACCTCTATCCTTCGGCACTCGTATGACCTTATTGTGTTGTAAGTGCCGTAAATCACTTACTAAAACCAAAAAAACAACATTTTGTGTCTCTGACCTCAGAGTCATGGATCTACTGCCATCCATTGAAGAGCTTCAGGACAAGGAGGAAGAGGAGGAGGACGAGACTTTTTTACTCAGAGAGGAAGATGAGAACAAAATTCTGGCCAATCTGGAGGAAGTGACCAATGTGCTGTCCAATGCCCATGAGCTCATTGTACGTTCACTGACTGTGTGTGTGTGTGTGTGTCTTTGTGTGTTTGTGAGTGTGTGTGTGTGTGTGTGTGTGTGTGTGTGTGTGTGCAGAGCTGCCTACCATTACGGATTTTTCGTGTTTAGTACGGAAATCAGCTTCATAATACAAAAGTACGGAAACTTCGAAAAAATATGGGTTTTCGTCTAATCGTTGATAATAGCTTCTCCGCTGTTCGTCGACCAACAGGATCGAAAGGTTCGATTTTAAAATTATATGAATATCAAAAACTACGATGGAACTGGAAATGAATTTCTTTCTTACTGTTTACATCCTGGCAGTAGGCCTGGGCATTATTGGTTAAAAAGACTTCCCAAATAAGTAGGTACGTAGTTTTCTTAAAGTCACACGAAAGAGTACTGAAACTTACTGAAAAAGTAGGGAAAGGTACTGATAATTGGCATTGGTGATAGGCTCTCTCATGGGTAGGCAGCTCCTGTGCGTGTGTGTGTGTGTGTGTGCGTGCGTGCGTGTGTGCGTGCGTGCGTGCGTGCGTGTGTGCGTGCGTGCGTATGTGCATGTGTGTGTGTGTGTGTGTGTGAGAGAGAGAGAGAGAGAGAGAAAGAGAAAGAAAGAGAGAGAGAGAGAGAGAAAGAGAGAGAGCGAGAGGCTCTCAGTTTTCATCTGTGTGTGTATGTGTCGCCGTGTTCCTCTGTGTGCACTTCACAGTGTCTTTTCTGTAGATGTGTACTTCTCTGTATTTTTCTGTATGTGTGTGTCTTCCTCACTGTGTTCTTCTGTGTGTATGTGTGCCTTACCATGTTCCTCTCTGTGTGTCTGCTTCACTGTGTGCATCTGTGCATGCACAAATGTATTCATTTTTGTCTCGGTGCTTATATATATATATATATATATATATATATATATATATATATATATATATATATAATATTTATATATTATGTAACTCACTTAAAAGCAAAACCTAATTTTAGAGACATGATGTTTCAAAGTGCTATGATTTAGGCTAAAGGTACATGGGTTTGTCTCTAAAGGACTTTATGAGAAAAGAAATAGAATTGCTTGACCTTTCAAATGACAGAATAGGACCCTCAGTGGGCTCTTTGCTAATTTTTTGTCTCTCAACATCCGAAAATGAAACATATTTCAGGACTGGTATCATAATCCTTGACAGGTTTGTGGTGGTCAAAACTGATAGTCGTGTGGGTTGTAATGTTGGCTAGAGCCAGTCTCTGGATTTCCTGTCTTCCCCAGTGTGCAAACACAAGTGGAAGTCTTGCTGTATTGGGATTGTTGTAGGGCAATTGGATATGTTGACTGTAATGTATGTCTGATGTCTGAAATGTAAAAATGGGAAGGAACTATTTTGCGAATGTTGAAATAATGATTCTTTAATATCACAATTATTTCCCCTTCTTGATACGTCACATTTTGTCTCGTTTTGGAATCCACACGAAATTTCAGCGTAAACTAAACTAAATAAAATCAGTTCACCGGCAGGTAGGCAAGAGAGCGGCTGTGTTTTGTCTTTCTTTCAAGTATTAATCTTTTTATAATGTGAGGCCATATGCAGCCGTCACATTGACCATGACACTCAGTGAGCAGAGACAATCCAGTCTTCTTGAAGCTATTCAGTACCCAACGATTTTTGGTTGTAGTACATTGAAAAGTCATTCAGCGTATGGGTTTGTAGCTTTTCTTGGAATATTTAGAGGTTCAGAAGTCTTGGTAATTCTCACATGAAAATATGTTAATAGGAGGCATGTGATAAAAAGTGAATATGTCTTCCTTTATTATTGTATCAAACATTTTGTTTCAATATGTATTGGTGCATGTGTGCAAGTGCAGACTTGCCTATTTGTTTGTTTGTGTCTCCATTTGTGCGCTTGTATGTATCTTTGTGCAGGTGTGGGAAATGAAGAAATAAAAAATAGGAGGGTAGCGAGACCATTGTATGGTTGGAGGGCACCTCTGACAGGTCCTACCTCTTTCCTCTCCACCTGGAGTTTCTGTCTGTCCTACCGTTTTCCCTGCACTAAATGACTGTTGTTGTTGATGTTCCTCTGCTTACCCAAACCTACAAACAAAAACAAATTTCTCTTGGCATTCTTTCCTCATATTGAACAATAAATCTGTACTCAGGGCCAAGCTCCCAATGCCAACCCTTACAATTTGTTGGTGGACACCAAGTTGTGCTCTCCAGACACGGGACCAGCCGTCTACAATGTGGCGAGTGCTTGGTATGTTTCTTTCCTCCATTCTTCAGTGTTACATTACTGACGGTATGTTTCTGCCATAACGTTTTTAGGATTATGTTGCTGGTATGTTTCAGTCCTTGAATTTTCAAGCAGGTAATTGGAGGGTACCACTGGTAGGTTCTACTCCTTTTCTTTCCGTCTCCTTTTTTTTCATCTGTCCTCTATCTTACTCTTTCCCTGCACTTAAATAACCATTATTATATAGATGTTCTCTTCGTTATTCAATTTCAAAACAGAAATGGGCACTGATAAAAAAGTAAATTCTACCTGTGGTGTCTTCCTGTCACCTGACAAACTTGTAAGCGCTGAGCCTCTTGGTTCTGTGTCAGGTGTAGGGTAAGTGGTAATTAAGGCCTTGATGTTGTGCTAATTTTCCCTGATATGTACAGTTATCCCCTTGTCTTAAAGGCCCCTTGGCTTTCAGCATTTGCCTGCTTTCTTAGAGACACTTTTTGTTTAACATACATAGAATCTAATGTGACTCGTACTTTTGAGAAAGCCCATCTCAACATAGCTCATGGTCTGCTTAGTGTGAAAAACGTGTGAATTTTGTGCTTTCTGTATGACCAGAGTCAGTTTCCCCCTGGATTTGTCAACTCTTCTCTACCTTCTCTTTCCTGTTTTTTAAATTATATTGAGAGTCTTTGGTTAGGTCAGCGGGTGGTTGGAGGATGCCACTGGTAGGTCCTACTTTTTTACTTTCCCTCTGTCATTTTTGTCTGTCTGTCTGCTTCTTTTTTCCTTTCAAACATCTATCGTCCTTATCTCCCCTCCTTTTTTATGTTAGTTACTCTCTTGTAACACCTCTTATCTTCTGGCGCTCATGTGACCTTATGCAGTTGCGAGAGCCGTAAAACCTCTACTAAAACTAAATTAACTGTCTTACTTTTTTCCCAGCACTAAAAATGACCATTATTTTTTGTATGATGTGCTTCTCTTTACTCAAAGAAATAAGCAAACAATCTGTCAGGTGTTCTTTCCTTTTGATCCGTTGTATTGACGCTTATCTTTTTCTTGTTATTAGTCATAATCATGCGTACATGTTTCTCTTTAATTCAAACAAACTTCCCTTTCTCTTTCCCATTTGTCTACTTTCTTGTGTTTTGTTTTCTCTATCTGTGATGTGTGAAAGATTTGAGGTGGCCACTGCTAGGTCTTTCTTTTCTTTCTCTCCGTTGTTTCAGTTTGTGTGTATTACTGTTCCCGCACAAAATGACAGGTATTGTGCAATTGTGGTTGTCTTTGTTTTAGCATAACGTAACCATCAACAAAGTTTGTATTATAGCATTGATATTCTTGTCAGTTTCTGTTGTGAAAGAACTTTTGTTTCCCCGTTGCGCAGCTGTCTATTAGAAAGTGTTCTCGCACTGCTGGCCACCCCAGCCATGGTGAGTCGTCCCAGTGTGTATCTGGCTGTCCAAACCTTGCTCCAGAGACTGCTGGAGAAACAAGATGGTCTTCTGTTCTTGGGGTCTCACCCAGACACTTCAAATGGAATCTTGCGGTGCCTACTGCAGACTGTGGTTAGTATTAAAGGATGATGTTTTGATTATGTGAGAGGGTGTTTGGAAGGCATGGCTGGTAGGTTCTACTTCTGGACTATCCTTCCTTTACTTTCATGCTAATATTTTTCACTTAACTCAGGACAGTTTCTGTCTCTTGTCCTGCAAATGGTTTTAGCACATTTTTTACCTTAAAATGACACAGTATATTCTTCCTTTTCTTCGTCCAGTAGCGAAAGGTGGACTTTCTGTGGGAAGGCTGAAACACATGATTTCAAGTGCAGACATAAAGTGTGTTTATATGTGCGAGCATCATGAATGCGTTTCCTTCAAATGCATTTATGTAAATACACCTCTCCCAAAGGAGTAATTGGGTTCATTTACCGATTTTTTGCTGTGGAAAAAGTTAAGGGGAATGGATGTTAATGAGCACCATACTCCTACGCCTGTCTCAACCAAACCACAGGAAGATACTGAAGAGTCGGGAGAAGAGGTCCCCTCCAGGCAGCTGGGCATGGAGATGGTCTATCATCTACAAGTGCTTGCCTATGTGGACCAGCTACTGACCTGGCACAATTCAGGTGAGTCCTGAAGTTTTGTTTTTGAAAATCTCTTATTGGTTAGGAACTCAGCAAAATAGATAATTTGGCGGGCAGATAAGATAAGATAATATGGATAGCTTAAAAGGATAAAGTCAGGCAAGCTGAGATTGGTAAGATATGGTGAGCAGGTCAGATTGGATACAGAAATCAGGAATGAAAAGATAGAATGATTATTTATAGTCAAGTATCCGCTTCCATGAAAGGCTCAAGCATTTTCACAATAGCTCCCCTGGCGTGCCAGGTAGCTCCAATACTGTCTCAATCTCCCAAGGGACGTACTGTTTTGATGCCTGCTAGAAGTGCTCCTCTGTCATTCATGTGTTCTCAATTTCTTCTCTTTCTGTTGACAAGTATTTCATTTCGGTTTGGTAGACTAAGGTACCCGAGGTAAAGTTGATTTCCCAATGATACAACATCCTACCCTGTGATATCCTTTTGATTGTGAGCTTTTTATTGCTAGGGACTAGCCTCTAGAAAAGTGACAATAATGATCTTGTGTGCTTTTGTATCAGGGTCCAAGGTCATAGATGATGCTGATGTGATCACGGCACTGCATGGTTTGCACACCATGTCCTTCAGTTCAGTGAGTCGAGACCCACTCATGGGTCGGCACATCACAGCTAAGGTCATTGCTCTGGACAAGAATTTGGAGGCATTGTTGCCTTTCTTGGAAAAGAGTGGTAAGCTGGATACTGTAATTGTTTTTGGTGTTGATCCCTTGATTTTGGGGGATTTTTGCTTTTGATCTAATGTTTAATGCTGAATGATGATGATTTGTTTTTTTAAAATTCTTTAGGCAGTAGGCGTTACTTAAGTTGCCCCTCTATGAGAAGAGTGGTAAGCTGGAAACTCTTGTTTTTGTTATCAGTCAGTTGATGTGTGGGCTTTTTCCCTTTGATCTTATGCTTAATGCTGCCAAATGTTGATTTGCTTTTTAACTCTTTGGGTGGCAGGTATTTAATTACTTATGTTGGCTAAGAAAGAGTGATAAACTCGAAATTGTCGTGGAAAGGAGCATTATGTGGGTTTACCTGGATCGTACACTGTGGAATCATACGTCTCAATTTTTGCAGCATACTCTCTGGGAAAGGGTGTCCTTTGAGTCTGTTTGTGTATCGTACACTGTAGACTGGGGCATCAACTGGGTTTGTCTGCAGCATATATGTCTACTGTGGAAAGAGCGGTCACTTATGTCTGCCTGTGGCTTGGACTTCTAAATGCTGTGCAATGAAATGACTATTTCCCTTTCAACTCTTTGGGCAGTATTTGTTACTTGTGTTGCGTCACTCTGTATGAGCCTTGACTTGCAAGTTTGACAAAGGTTAATCTTGTATTCCTTGTCAAAGCAGGCTTTCCTTCTCTTCACAGAATAGCAACCAAGGGGAAAACAACACTTGGATATTTTCCTTGGTATTCTTGTACTGTACTGAAATCTGCTCAAAGTAATAATAGTTTTATGAATGACAAAACAAGCAGCTCCTATTTCTATTCTTTACCTTAAATGTTCTTGCCTGTCTTTTCCCGCCACTGACTGACCGACTGACAGTTTTTGGACTGGCGTTTGTGGTGCAGCGGTCAGGAGACCTGATTTAGATTCCCGAGCAGGGAGAAAATTTGGATCCATTATCTCGGTCTTTCTGCTGGGATATTGTATCCCTTTCAGCCTGGAATGGCTCTGACAGACAGGGTTGAAAGTCTGCTGCCTAAATGATCTAAACTGTGTCGATGGGGGCATAAAAACACACAGTCCAAAAAAGTTTCGTCTGTGATTTTCCTGCTCTGTGAGAAGTTGTTGATTGCTCTGGTTGTCAAGGGCTGCCACTGGTAGCTCATGTTTCTATTCTTTACCTGTCTTTCCTGCTCTTTTCAAGATTAAAGAGACCCTAATTGTATCCATGTGCTTCTCTGTACTCAAATAAACAAACTGTTTTGCTTTTTATCAGCACAAAATGACCATATTTTAGTGTAAATGGGCGTGGCTGGTTGGAAGGCTGTAAGTGTTAGGTCCTACTTCATTACTTTCCATCTGTTGATTATGTCTGTGTGACCTTTTTTCCAGCACTGAAAACTCATTATTTTGACGATTTGCTTCTTTACTCACACAAACAAACAAGTAAACATGTCTGCTGAAACTCAAACTGTTTTCCTCTGGGTTGTTGGCAGGTGCTCTGGTGCAGCTTGCTCCTTCTTTCCCATCAAATGTCTATCGTCCTTATCTCTCCTCTTTCTTTTCCTTGTATGGTACTTTCTAGTAACACCTCTAAACTTTGGCACTTATATGACCTATTTGTGTTGCAGGCGCCCTAGAACTTTTACTAAAACTTAAAAACAAAACTCTTGCATTTTCCTGCTCTGTGAGAAGTTTTTGACTCCCCTGGCCTATTTTTCTATGTTAACTCTCCCCAGGTGAGGAGGTATTTGATGGTCAGCTGCGAAAGTCGGTCAGCGCCAACTACACAGTGCAGCTTCTGCTGATGCTGGTCAAGACGAGCAGCAACGCGAGCATGCTGGAGCACTACGCCCCTCGCATGCTGGCTTTGTGCCAAGACAGTGAGTTGAGATCCGTAACCCCTTATCTCCGGCAAGCTGCTCCCAGCGGCTCATGGTCGGAATCGCTGTGCTGGTGAGCTGCTGGCAGTGGTTCGGGCACATTCCTTGACGACGACTTTGACGTCAAATTACTTTTCGGCCATTGCAAGTCTCTTTTATTGGCAGTTCATTCAGTAGATGAAGAACTATCAAACTAGGTTCACTTGTTTTAATTTAAGGACCAATTTAATGATGTAAATGTCACTTTTTAGATTTCGTACCAAAAGAGGGCCCTGGCATAGTGGGTTTACCCCCCTCGGAGATAAAGAGTTAAATTCTTCTTGAGGAGGTCTAGCTAGGTCTATATGCCAATATTTGCAAGTAAACATCTACCTGTAGCAGAGACCAACTATTTCTATTTTCGTCCTTCCTGGGCAGAATAGAATAGATATGTCTATGAAGCTTGAATGACTTCCCTCGTATGACAATATTGGCGAGTAAACATTTACTTGCGAAATTCGAATGGCTGAATTTATTTGACTATATTGACTAATAAACATTTACTTGGGTTACATTTAGATAGCTTTGATTATATGCCAATACTGTCTGAATAATTCCAGTGACATCCTTTATAGGCAAAACTAAATAATCACATTTGGATGCCACTGTTGGTGAGTGAATGTTTACTTGTAAAATTCCAGTGATATCCTCTTTGGGCAGAACTAAATATAGTCATTCCTTCACCTAAGACCACTTGTACTAATAATTAACCACTTCCAACTTCTCCCCTGGCATTTTTATTACATTGTAATAACACTGTCCAAGGTGACCAGCTGTTTAAGATGGCCACTTTTCTTCTTGACAACAGGTGATTATCTTGAGCAAGTAGTAGTCACATTTATATGCCAATATTGGCAAGTAAACATTAACTTGTGAAATTCCAGCAACTCTCTCTTTGGGCAAAACTAAATAGCCATGTTTATGTTTCAATATTGGTGAATAAGGATTTCGCTACCTTAGAATTACACATTTGTGAGGCATCATGGTGACGCTCGTCAAAATATTGAAAACAAAGAAATCGGCATTTTTTTGCCCGACGTAATTTTTTTTCTTATTTTCTTTTTTTCGCTCAACACCTTTCAGTTCCATTGAAAAACACTTTTCTGTGTGGATTTAACTTAAAAACATTGATTAAAGGCAAAAAATGTAGATTTTCGGTTAACAAGGACTCTCAAGCTAAAGAAGGTACAAAATTTTAGCGCCTATTTTCTCGCTAATTTTACCTCTGAAACCAGGCAACCCTGACCTCATTCAATCTCAAACATTTCGACTTCTATTCAACATAGATGGATATTTTTTTCACCAAAAGAAAGGCAAATGAACAGGCTTTAAAATGGTACCAATAACCCCATATGCCCAAAAATTGATGAGCGCCTGATTCCACCACGTTGTCACACATTTCTATCTGCTCAGTACCTGGTTTTGAGAAATTTGACTTTAAAAATTTTGAGCTTCACAATATGTCAAGCTTTTTCGAATGCAATTCTTTGAATATCTTGATAATGACTCCGAATAATCTTACGATTTTGATAGATCAGGTAGATCATTTTGTTTCTGACCTCATGGTCCTAATTAATAACTCCAAACGGCCAAAAACATCAGATAGAACTTTGTAATTCTAAGTTAGCGATTTGTCTGTGAAATTCCAGTGACTCCCAAACTTGGCAAAACTCTTTAGCTATGTCTATATCTGCCGTTCAGTGTAAGACTCCGCCATTCGCCACTTTTCAAATTTGCCTATGGAAGAGTCTTACACCAAGCAGTTGATATGTCAGTTTTAAATGGCCAAACATTTACTAGTGATGTCCCTGTGACTTTTCTCTTTCTTTCGCCTAATGAACTGAGTACTGTGTGGCTCTGTGGTGTGTGAGCTGTCTCACAGTTATGTCAAGCCTACGTCAGTGTCTTGGCGTTTTGGGTGTGTCCTTGAGCAAGAGACTAGCACTCAAGCTGAAACACTGGTGCTGCATCGTGGCGACCAGCAATAGCATATTTCTAAGAATGTCTATATTAGTGTGGTATTGTGTATTGTGGGATATTGATGAATAATTGTGTGTATGCGCGCGCGTGCTTATATGTGTGCGCGTGCATGTGTGTGCATGCGCACGCACCATTGAATATCGAATTTTCCTAGGAAATCAATGAAAGCTGTGTTTTATTGTATTTTATTTAATTAATTTTTTTGTTTAAATGCTTGAACTTAAATGATAAATGTTTCTTGAACTCAAATCATAACGGAAGCCCCTGACTCAAATTTTAGGTTCTAGTACCAAGCTGACCCAGTTGCAGGAGTGGTTGCTGCCCACAAAGTCCCTGACTAGCTATGACTTGGACGGGCTGCCGGCTATGATTGCTCAGATGAAGCTGTTTGCCGATGATGTGAAGAAGGTGCCTCCTGGACTGATCACTGTGCTCAGGATTATTTCCTCGCTGTTGGATTCCATCTCTGCCGGGGTGGAAACTACATGTGAGAGAGGGAGAGAGAAAGACAGAGACAGACAGAGACAGACAGAGGGACAGACAGAGAGACAGAAAGAGGGACAGACAGAGAGACAGTGATAGAGAGACAGTGATAGAGAGAGAAAGAGAGAGAGAGAGAGAAAGAGAGAGAGAGAGAGAGAGGGAGGGAGGGAGAGAGAGAGAGAGAAGACTCCTTGCTGCTGGATTCCAGCATGATCTAAACAAGATGGATGTTGAAGTGGATATTTTAAAATATTTACTCTGGAGAATGATGTACTGAGTCAAGGTTTTCTTCATGAAATGATAGTGTTGATATTTATTGTGTTTTGTTGTTATGAACTGAAGTGTGCTGATGGTTGAAGAGCACCACTGGTAGATCCTACTTCTTTTCTTTCTCTCCAGTGTTTCTGTCGCCTTTTTTTTTTTTTTTTTTGGTTTCACTGGATGACCGTTATTGTGTCCATGTGCTTCTGTTTTCTCAAATGTGCTAATATTTATGTCTGTTTGTCTTGCTCTTTCAATGCACTGAATTACTGTCCTGTTTGTTGATGTGCTTCTCAAATGAACAAATATTTTCTTTTCCAGCCAGCATGGTTGAAGCCAAGTGTCAGTTTGTGGTGGAACTCTACAGTGCTGACTGCTTTCCCATCTTCATGAACATTTTGCAGGTGTGCACGATGTTTGCTAATAATAGCAATAAGCTAGAGACAAACGCAGTTTCAGACACTCTTGAATCAACATATAAAGGCCTTGAATGTCTCATTGTCACTGGAAAATTACTTAAAGAATTTGGACAGATGGATGATGAGGAAAGACCAATGATATTGGGCTTTTTTTTAGAGCATCTGAGTAGAAATCAGTGCCTGGATTTGCCACGCTAGATCAGAAGAAGCTGCAGTAACATCATACGTTTAATAATAACTTTTCTATTTTTAATTGACACTTCATCGAGAGGACAAAATTAAAAGTTGAACTTTTGCGCATTTCCATATTTATTGTTGATGCAGAATGATTGGCTTATATTGAGAACCATGTCACATATGTCTATTATCACTTTGGTCTAATCTTGTCGATCAACATATTTTGCCTTAAAAAATGGGGGGGGGGGGTTGTTGTTGTGTTGCTTATTTTTTTCATTGTTCTCCCCTTTTGTTTACTTTTATCTTTTCATTTGATCGTAAAGTCTTTGTCTTTTAAAAAAAATGTCAATTTCCCCTTTTGTAGAAATTCAGTGAGTCCCAGCTGAAGGTGTGGCAGCAAGGGGTCCCGTACACCAGTGACCAGTGGTGCACCTATTTCTCCCTGATCCAGCCCACACTGCGCCTGGTGCATGTGGTCCTGGGCCAGCTCATCCAGGCCTTTGCCACCGAGTGTCGCGCTGACGCCGACGCTGCAGCTGCTGGGAAGGCGGCTGTTGGGTCTGGTGATGCAGAGCAGGAACCACTTTTGCTGAATCCGGTAAATGGAATTTTAATAAGGGGATGGAAGATAGAATAGACAAGATAAATGAAAAATATAATAAATAAAATGAATAAACTTATGCTTTTAAATTTAAAAAAAAATGAACAAAAGAAATAAAAAATTTCACTTCCAACTGGTCCTTGTTTGGAAATTTGGTCAACATCTATTTAAAAAAACCCCCAGTAAATAGGCATATCAACACAATAATGATCATTTAATGTTACGAAAAAGCAAGATAGACAGACAGAAACAGAAAAGGGAAAGGAAAGAAGTTGGATTTACTAGTGTCACTTTCCAAGCGCTTAAGTTTTACAATGGCGTGCATACATACATTAATTTGTTAAAATACATAGGTACAATAATTTATGAGCACTTTACAATACCACAAGGAAAGCGTAAGAAGGGAAGACCTAAGATGACATGGAGGCGAGCGGTATCAGCGGAAATTGAAAAAGCGGGGACATCATGGAAACAGATAGAAAAGGATGCTCAGGACAGGCTTCGCTGGAGTAATGTTGTTGGTGACCTGTGCTCCACTGGGAGTTAAAAAGGGCAAGAGAGAGAGAGAGAGACTTTACAATACACAATATTACTTCAATACTGACAACGAACAGGACATTGCTGGTGTCATTGTGCAGAGCTCTGCTTTTTGAGCTAGGGTTACTGGTTATTGTGTTTGTTCGCACCCACTCCAGTGATCATACACTTAAATGTTGTCTCACTGACTTGAGCTTGACATTATTGTGAGCCTGAACTTGCTGACCACACTTGATCATCAGGGACCTTGTCTAACAATTTTGTCGCATTTTTGTTCGTTTTGTTTTAGTGGAAGTATTACTGTGCTCGCAACTGCATAAGGTCATATGAGTGCCAGAAGATTAGAGGTGCTACAAGAGAGTAACAAATATAAAAAAGAAGTAGGGGAGATAAGGACGATGGATGTTTGATAGGAAAGAAGAAGGAAACCACACCAGAGCCCCCGCCAACCACCCACCATTTATGTTCGATTGTCACCAAGCCCACTTTCAAGGCCTTCTTTTGGTTATCCACTTGAATTCGCTTTGGATAAATTTATGGAAGTAGTTTGAAACCACCAGTTCATTGCATTTTGACATACATGTATTTCAGCTGAGGATCAGACAGTACCAGTAATAATTTAATCATCTCTTGATTTTGCCAGTTATTTTCATCTGTCAAATTGCTATTTATAAACCTGGACAAACCATCAATATGTCAATCTGTCATTATAAGCAAATACCAAAACACTTTTTATTTCCATATTTTTTTTTTTACAATAAAAAAAATAATGCACTTGGAGACACTCTATAGGTTGGCAACAGGACACAGATGAAAGTGTTTTTTATCTAAAAAGATACCTTTGTGCTAGTTTTGGATTGTATATTTTTGCGAAAATGTGGATGATTTTTTTGTAGGGATAGTCTGTTATTAGCTCAAGCTACGCCAAAAGACATATAATCTGTCTACAGTAAGCGAAAAATATAAATGAAGAAAATTGGGATTTATTTCAGTTCAGAGATCTGACCTCAGTCCCTGTGCTGCTGGAGCTACACACGGTCATTTGTTCTGTCCCAACCTCCTCTCTCTATAGTGCTGACCTAGCCAAGGTGAGTACTGAGTGACACACTTGTCTTCGCTGCAGGATCCTAAACAGCGAACTCCAAAAATGCAGTTTTAGTTCTTTCCCCCTGAATTCTGACTGACTTCTCATAATGAATTCTGTAAATAACTTTCAGCCAGATTAACATATCCAAATAGTTGCTACAGTGTTGATTCTGAACAGCTGAAATGATTGTAACTGCCTTGTTTTTTTTAGTTTTTTCATTTGCCAGTAAAATTTACAGACAAGTTAGGCATTTAGAATCCTGCAGTGATGGTGTGTTCTGAAGCAGCCTAGCCAAGGTGATTAAAAATTGAGTGACATGCACATGTTCATGAGGGATTTAGCCGAGGCAAGTGACATACTTGTAACACTGCTGTCTCAACCAAGATGAGTAACTCATGTGAGGAGTCCTTGGGAAAAAATGGGCATAGCCACAAACCGGGGTCAATTGTAAAAGCTTGTGGACTCCTACCTTCATACTTGTTTGATTGGTGGTTTATTATGTTTGTTGAATGGGAAATCTTAACAACAAAAATCAACCAACAGTTGAACAGATATAAAGTTATGAGTCAACAAGCGTTCAAAATTGATGCCCTCACGATTGTCAGTTTGTGACTATTCCCATTTTTCCTGTGGACTGCTCTTGTGTTATTATGCTGTCTTAGCCAAAGTGAGTAACACATGTGTTATTATGCTGTATTAACCAAGGTGAATAACATATGTGTTATTATGGTGTCTTAGGCAAGGTGAATAGCACATGTGTTATTATGCTGTCTTAGCCAAAGTGAGTAACACATGTGTTGTAATTTTGTCATAGCCAAGGTGAATAACACATGTGGTATTATGCTGTCTTAGCCAAGGGGGTAACACGTGTTATTATGCCGTGTTTGCCAAGGGGGTAACACGTGGTATTATTACTGTCTTAGCCAAGGTGAGTGAAACAGGTATATAGTAATAGTGATGTTCTGGCCAATCTGAGTAATGTACATATGTTATAGTGGTGTCCTTGTCAAGGTGTGTAGAGCACAGGGGGGAAAAAGGGCATAGTCACAAACTGAAAATCATGAGGGTATCATTTTTGAACGCTTGTTGACTCGTAACTGTATTTCTGTTCAACCGTTGGTTGATTATTGTTGTTTGATTTCCCATTCAACAAACATAACAATAAGTCACTAGTCAATCACATGAAACTATGAGTCCACAAGCTTTTAAAATTGACACCCTCACAAGATTGCAGGGCCTGTCATCGTGACCGGTCAGTGAACCTGCGTTCATTCGCATCATGTGAGATCGGCATGAGTAAGGGACTTGCGGTTGTTGGTGTTATCAAAGTTCATTCAAAGTAGGAGCGTTGCATCAATACAGTTTACCGCAGCAGGATAAGGCGGTGGTGCAAGAAACTGATGCTAAGATTAAAACAATTTCCCTGTTCAATTGTTATTATGTGTACTGGGGCAACGATCATCTTTTTTTTCCTTCTTTGTCTGTGTACTACCTGATTTGGGGCCAAAATACCTGAAAGTGACCCTGAATTTACCTGAAATGAGAACTTTGAGGTAGGCAGCCCTGTAATAGTGCTGTCATAGTGGTGTCTTTGTGTGAGCAGGTGGTTAGTGAATGTTTTGATTGGGTCTGCTCCTTCTACTTCTATTCAGTGTTTTCTATTGTCCCGATCTAGTCTTAACGAATTGTGGCCGCTACTGTGGTGCCTATTTAACAAATGGTTTGACGGCAGCAGTGGTATGCTCTATTTTTTTGTGTGTTCCCCCTGTTGTTTCTGCCTTTCTTTTTTTTTCAGCTGCGGTAAATCACTGTTATTGCGTCTATATGTTCCTCTTTACACCGTAACTCAAGTCTGTGCTGATTTATTATAAACCACAACTTGTGGGTGATTGGCGGGTGCTCTTGTTTGGTTTGCTCCTTCTTTCCTATCAAACATCTATCGTCCTTATCTCTCCTCCTTTTTTGTGTTTGTTACTCTCTTGTGACACCTCTAATCTTCGGCACTTTAATGACCTTATTGTGTTGCAAACTCTTACTAAAACTAAAACTAAACCTCCTCCTCTCTTCCTTTTTTTTGTTTGTATGTTATTCTCTAGTATCGCCTTTAACCGTCGTCACTTATATGGCCTATTTGTATTGCTAGTGCCGTAAAACTCTTACTAAAAGTAAAGCTACACTTATTGTGAACCAACTGGAATTCAAAACTTGTTTCTCCTTTTTTTCTGGTGTTTGTTGCTCCCTTGTAATTCATCCAGTCTTTGGCACTTATATAGCCTATTTGTGTTGCAAGTGCTGTAAAACTCTTACTAAACAAACAGCTTTGACTTGGTCTCTGTGTGTGACAGATACAGCAAGATGTGGTGGACACTCTGTTGACACTAACACAGGAGGAGCCGCAGACGACACAGACGGACGACGGTCAGTTTACTTATTGTTTTGATGGTGGTCAATTTATTTATTGTTTATCATAAAGTGTTTTATGCCCTCATTGGTGTGTGGTTGGCGGATGCTCTTGTGTTGTTTGCTCCTTCTTTTGTGTTTGTTACTCTCTTGCTACACCTCTTATCTTCAGCACTTATATTTGACCTAGTTGTGTTGCAAGGGCTGTAAAATACTTCCTTTAACCAAAGATAGTAAATAACAAGATGGGCCACTCAGCCAAAAAAGTGTCCGCAGGAAGTATGCTCTTTGCTTCAGATGGCGCTGCAGTCTGTTTTGAAGCTCTTTTTTTCGTTTTTCCAGAAGAAGATTAGGAATAGCACCTCCTTGCGTGCGCAGATCGACTGCTGTTCATCAGCAGTTCGGGTACGTTCAGTGCGTAGTTTTAGGTTTTTAAAAATTTTAATGACCTCTCGCCTTTCATTCTAAAGTCAAATTAAACGAAGAAAACCATCACCCTTTCCTCCCGAAGAGGTTTTTTGTCAGCGTAACCATTAAATAAAAGCGTTCTTCCGAAATTTTTCCAAAACATGCTAGTTTCACTTTGATTTTTTAAAACTCAAGTAGGGTAACTCTGTTCGCAAAGAGTGCGCTTTTGTGAAGAGGGCGCCACCAAATTTTGAGGACACTTTTTTAATTGGCTCAAAGAGAGAAGTGGCCCATCTTGTTATGTACTATCATTGCTTTAACAAACTCCGTTGTTGACACAATTTAGATCTTTTTGGAGGCAGGCTGATTCGACCCCTCCTGTCAGGAGGATCCCAAGCTGAGTGTGATGCAAAATCTCTGTCGACAGACGGAGGTACTCGATGAAAGATGTTCCCACTTGAAAATCAAGTTCACATCTTCTGTGTGCAATGGCAAAGATCCTGATGGCTATGCCTCAGACGCTGGTGCAGTCCATGCCCCCCCCCCCCTCCTCCCTTGTGGGTGTTTAGCTGGTGCGCTGGTGTGGTTTGCTCCTTCTTATCCTATTGAACATCTTTCATTCATACCTCTTCTCCTTTTCTTTTATATTGCTTTCTAGTGACACCTGATCTTTGGCACTTGTATGGTATATTTGCGTTGTAAATGCCATGAAAATGCTTTCTAATTTTAATCTTGCTTTTCCTGAACACTAAATGACTGTCATCAATGTTATCACATTGATGTGTGCTGATAAATGAACACAGTCATGTGTCAGTCATGTTTCTTTTCAGTAACGCTTGTTCCTTTTCGTGTCTTACATGTTCTGCTCATTATGTTACTCTACTTGAGTTAATTATTTTCTTTTCAACTCAAAGATAAAACATGTGGGTAGTTGGTGTGTGCTGTGGTGGGGTTTGCTTATTCTTTCCTATCAAACATCTATTGTCCTTTACTCTCCCCCTTCTTTTCTTTGTATATCACTTTCCATAACACTTCTAATCTTTGGTACTCCTATGACCTAATTGTGTTGAAAATGGGGTAAAACTCTTCCTAAGTGGGTGGTTGGCGGGTGCTCTGGTGTTGTCTGCTTCTTCTTTCCTATCAAACATCTATCATCCTTATCTCCCCTCCTTCTTTTTTATGTTTGTTACTCTCTTTTAACACCTCTAATCTTTTGGCGCTCATATGACCTTATGCCGTAAAACCTTTACTAAGACAAAAACAAACTTCCTAGAAAAATGTTTTAAAAAAGTTGACATATGTTTGTGTATTTACATGTATGTTCCAGCTCTCAACAAAAGCCTGTGGACATTAATGCTAAAAGAACTGTTGCGCTACACAATCAAGTCACCGTACACTTACATGAGTGGTCTCCTGGTGCTGTCAGAGCTGTTGCCCTTGCCTTTTCCTTTACACACCAAAGAGGTACTGTAGTTTTGTGGCTCTTCTAGCTAAAATAAGATAACAGCTTGACACCATTTGAAAATAAGTCGGTGGACTTTTGAAATTTAAATGCAGGGGTGTTTGTTTTACTTTTCCTGCTTTAAACTTGGTTAAGGCGCTTTGAGTTTTATTCTGTTTGTCGCCCTCCACTGATTGTGTGAATGAGTTTTCCCATGTTGATTCTTAACCTTTTGTCTCCAATGTTTTTTAGTGTCAGTAATTTGTGTCATCGGGCGCTCATCAGTCTTTGGGCTTGTGGAGTTTTTAGTATAATCTTAAAGCCTGTTTATTTGTCTTGCTTTTGATGAATATAAAAATGCTCGTCTTACTTGAATACAAGTTGAGATATTTACGATTGAAGGAGGTGGGGTTTACCTGGTGTCTGAGGTAAAATTAGTGAAAAAATGTCTGCCAAGGTTTGATGACTTCCAGAGCTGTTGTGTCCTTGGAAACTGCAAATTTATATTTTTGTCCTTTTGATTGATCAAAATCTTCCATCAGAGATGAACCCTTTGTCTTGTGCTAAAGCAGGAATTTATGATGATGATTATTGTCTTTTTATTCCCAAGCTTTGCACAGTCTGTCCAGTATCTCATTGTTACTTTGTCAAATGAGACGTCTTTGGAGCTCTTTTTTTAAAGTTGTATACTCTTCATTGCTTTACTTTAGAGCCTCTTTTGTAAGACTTGCATGATAGATACTTAGAAATGGGTTTCCTATCGAACATCTATTTGTTCTTTTCTCTCCTCCTTTTTTGTGTATGTTACTCTCTTGTAACACGTCTATTCTTCAGCAGTTATATGACCTTATTGTGTTGCAAGTTCCATAAAATGCTTACTAAAACAAAAAATGGGCTGTCAGAAGAGAGTTGATTGGGAGATTTCTATTTTCCCTATAGCTTGCATAACTCTTGGGCAGCATATGAGTTAATCAGTAGACTAATGTTTTCTCTTCAACTCCAGAAATGCTTGGGCTGTATAAGAGTTTGTTACTGGATTGATGAAATTCTCTCTTGTGCTCCATGACCTCGTTGATTACCAACTGGCACACAACGTATTTGTGAGATTATTTTCTCGCATGGATCAGTGCCCAAATACTGAAATGGTTCATGACAAAGAAATACATTTTTGTCACCAAAGGAACTCTCACAAAGCTGTCCCAATAATTTCTCAGGTTTTTCAGACAGGCTGTGACATGGTATGAGTTTTGTATAACAGTATGATGTTGTCCAATAAGTGGCTCAGGGAAGGCTGATGAGACAACTGTGTCAGTGGATTTTGTCTTTTCCACACTTCTGTTTTTCTGTATGGCCTTTGTTCTTGAGTCCAAAAAATTGTTGGTTGGAAAATGAAAATGTATTCATGCAACTTGTTGGTGTAGGATTGTTCTTTTTGGAATTTGCGTTTTCAAGACTGATGACTTAATGTCTATTTGACCCAGGGTTTTTGCTCTCCCTGGTTTTGTTAAATAGCCATAAAAAATTTGTGGTTGAGAAACAAATCATGCGAATAGCAGGTGGCGTATAATAGTTCTTTTTTCTGATTTTTAGGCATTAAGTGAGGAAGAGGTGGAAGCAGCAGTGGTGTCACGAAAGTTGTGGAGCGTCCACCTGCAGGCAGCAACAGCCGAGCTGTTTGCTGTGCTGGACACACTGTCTGGGACTGGCTGCCAGCCGTTGCAGCACCTGATGCGCCGTGTGTGTTGGCAGATCGCCGACCTGGCCGCACCTTCGGCCCTGAGAATTACCAAGTGAGTGCAGCAGCAGCCGTATACTTTGTAATTCAAAGTAACAATTGTGGTCAGTTGAAAAATTACGGTGTTTGACCAAATATTATTGAGTTCTTGTCTCGTGTCCTTTTTTGGGTTTTTTTTTTTTTTTTAGTTCTTGTCTCGTGTCCTTTTTTTTTTTTAATACAAGAAAAGGTGCTAAATGTTGTTAGGTAAAGGAAAAATGCTTAGCAATGCTTGACCAAACATTTTTGAATTAAAGAGACATTAAAGATAAACTTAGTATTTGCAGTAAGGAACAAAAGAGGATGTGGTTGTTTTTCCCATTTGTATTTATTAGTGCTTGTATGCTTGTCAGTTTGTGTTCTCGTCTTTGATACTGAGACTTCTGCCTGTCTTCTTTTCTTCCTGTTTGTTCCATTTTGACCATGCTTTTGTTGGTTTTCTTTCTGTCTTCGGAATCTTGTTTGATATACTTAGTGGGTCGTTGACGGGGGCTGTGGTGTGGTTTGGGCCTTCTTTCCTATCAAACATCTATCGTCCTTATCTCCCCTTCTTTTATTTTTATGTTTGTTACTCTCTTGTAACACTTCTAATATTCTGGCGCTCATATGACCTTATGCAGTTGCGAGCGTCGTAAAACCTCTACTAAAACAAATGACCTACTTAACTTATTGTAAACATTTACTTCTGTCTTCAGAATCTCGTTGGACATACTTATGGTGACTTATGCAGTTGTGAGCGCCGTAAAACCTCTACTAAAACTATACTTACGGTTAACATTTGCTTTTGTCTTCAGAATCTTGTTGGACATACTTATGGTGAACCTCAAACCAAAGAGGCCAACGCAGACAGTAGATGGAGAAAAGAAAGAAGGGGAGGAGGAGACGACCGCGGTGCGCACTGTGTCCATCCACACTGCCAAAACTCTCAACTTACTGGCTTACCTCCTGTCCCACCCAGGCATCAAGGCAGCCTTGTTGCAACTTATTGGCACCAGGTGTGTGTGTGTATTTGTGTGTGTGCTTGTGTGCTTGTGTGCACGCTCACATTGTGTGTGTGTGTGCGTGCGTTGTGTGTGTGTGTGCGTGCGTACGCGCCCCCCCCCACACCAAATTACTCTTTATTGTGCTGGTGTGCCTCTATTTATCCAAACTCAAACGCGGACCATTCCCCATCCCCTCCACGAATGGTTGAAGGATGCTACAGGTAGGTTCTTTCACTCTGTTATTGTTTCTGCCTCTCAGACTTTCCCTGCACTAAATAACTGGTTTTGTGTCAATGTACTTCTGTTAACTCAGACAATATCTCTCACCCCCTTTACTTTGTTTGCCCATTTGCAGCATACACAGTGAGGTGAAGTACAAGGATTTCTTGCTCATCATGCTCCAGCTGTTGAACCAGACGGCAGAGACACCAGCCGAAATACAGGCACAGGAGGGCATTGTGGTCAGTAGTTCTTGTCGTAGCTCTGATTTTTCCTCCTCCTTTTTTTTTTTTTTCGTAGGTCAGGTTTTTCTTCTGATTCATCTCGTTCTTGTTCTTCGTATTTTTTTCTTCATCTTGTTTTCTTCTTCTTGTTCTACTCCTTACCTACCCTTCCTCCTCCATGACTCCCCCCGCCTCCTCCGTCATCCCCCTCCTTCTCCTCTTGCCCCCCCCTCCCTTCTCCTCTTCAATTCCAATACTCTGGTATCATGGCAAGTTGTCCACACAACATGCCTACCTGAACTAGGATTCAAACCAGGTATTTTAGCATGAGAGATGAGCACCTTTCCTTGAAAAAGGCTCCTGAGCTCATGCTTTGTACCTTTTCCTCTTATTTTGTGTTTATCTGATCGATCTCAGGGGTTGGCGACTAGTTGTACAACCTTTTTAGTTTAAGGACACTTATGTGCCTTGTTTTCCCTCTTGAATGTAGATACTTTGTCTCTCAGGCAACCGTACTTGGTTTTGAGTAGTTTTTGTTTGTTCAGAGTTTCTTTAGTTTTTTGGAATTGATTTATCTCAAAGTTATCTCGGTAGCCAGCCAGGACAGGCTCACTCTTCTCAGACTGTATCTGCCGAGGTCTCTTTTACATGGGCATTGTTCTTTCTTTCTTTCTTTCTTTCTTTTTTTCCCTTTTTTTTAATGTGTATTTGTGAATCAAGAACCAAGCTGAAGTGTAAATCTTCCTTGAAAGGCAATATCTTGTATTGTAAACTTACATTTGTTCGATGTCAACTTTGGCAAATACGTTTTGGCAGGCAAGCAGATATGATGGACTGCACAAATGCGTTTGTTTTTGGTCTTGTTTGCAGGAATGCTGTTAATGCTACTCTTATTTTTTTTTTCTTGAACTGTAATATTTGTTGTCTTCATTGGAGGTAGGAAAAAAATTTGGAAGGTCTTTAGGAATACAATACTTATATCCATGTGTCGTATGTTTTAAGATTTTCTTTTAAACCTATTTCAGTCGATGATTCAAAGTCTGTGTGATCTGGAGGTGTCAATGGTGAACACAGAAATGGCTGTCACTTTGGCTGAACATGTAAGTGATGCAGATAGAGCTCCAAATCATTTTGATGTTCAGATACAGCATGGCATAGCTACCAACCAGTACGTAATAAACGAGTGCTCAGGTACATAGAGGCATAGCTACCAACCAGTGTGTAACCTGATTTGCAAGTGATAATGAGATTGAAGCCCAGAAGATGATAACCAGTTTAAGAAATTTTTTTGCAACAGGTCTATGTTAAATAGTTTGATTGAGTTTGTTAAATGTAAAAAAATGTGTGTGAAGGGTTCGTAGGATCAGTGCCCACCATCTTGACCCGCCAATGGGTAGAGTTGAGTGTTTTTTGTTTTTAAGTTGGTTGCTGTCAAATGGTAATTGATAGACTAGTGAAGATCTTACTTTTCAAGGGGTATGATGGTTATGTATCTGCTCTTAATCTTTTCAGTCTTTCCCTTCCTCTTTTCACAAACCGAAAAAAACCCTGAATGGACTCTCGTAGTTTGTCTTGATGGACAAGATCTTCTAAAATTTGTTTTTTAAAAAATGTTCAGCAACTCCCTCTTTGTGAGATTCTACAGCTGTTAGCCATGGTCAAAGACATATCGTCATTTCCACATAAAGAGTGACTTATTATTTTCTTACAATTTGTTCATCATTCAAAACTAGCTATACTCAGCCATATTCAATTTCCTCCCGCTTACTTTCAGTAAAAAGTGTGATTTTTCACCAATTCGATAAGGGTATTGATGAGTAGATGTATTGGAGTTTGTGATTGGAGGAACCTATTTACAGGTCTCAATTATTTCATATTTGAAGTTCATTTCAGTCTATGAAGGCTTTTTATTTTGTTGCTCAGACACATAAATCCTTTAGCACTTCTATGTGTTTCTTTTTGATTCATTCGACAGACTTTGTTGTTCGAGGCGGGTTATTCTGCTTCTATTTTGTGGCGTCGGTGGCCTAGTGGTTAGGCTCTCGGACTCGCAACCGTAAGGTCGTGGGTTCGAATCCCGTCAAGAGCACGACGTTGTGTCCTTGGGAAAGGCACTTTACATGAATTTTCCTCACTTCACCCAGGTGGGAATGGGTACCCGGCTATAGACAGCGAATGATTTTGTCAGTTTGTTAGTGTTTGAGCGCTTAATCGGCTGCTCGCACTGTATGCTTCCCGGGAAGCTGAGAATGTTTCGGAGTGTTCTATGGTCTGCTGAGGTAATAATATAGTGTAAAGCGCATAGAGCCTGCTGCTGAGCGGGGATGTGCGCTATACAAATGCTATCTATTATTATTATTATTTGTAGGACACACGATTTTCATCAAAGGAATCAGACTTGATTCACTTTCTAGACCTCTGGAGTGTGGGTTTTCAAACCTTATTACGTTCTTTTGTTGATGTGTTGTGGCCTCGTGTCAACATAGGAGAACGTTTGAAAACAGCAGAAATGACCCGTTTTAGAACGAAAAGTCTTGGTTTAGTTAACATGTATGTTTTAGAGCACTGCAGCTTGCAAATGTATATAGGATACTTCTCCATTCTGTACACAGTTGGCCAATTCCTTGCCAGAAAGTGTCCTGATGGCGGATGTGACGGCTGCACTCCTAGAGCACGTCGGCAACTCTGCCCAGTCGTACGCCTCCATCTTGCCTTGTCTGCGGATCCTGAGCATGCTGACAGACCACGACTACGGCTTCTTTCACCTCACCATGTGGGTATAGTGTACATTATAAAAGTCTGGGTAAAAATAAAGTAAACCCCCCTCACATCTCCACACATAAGGATCACTGGCCACTAATTCCTGGTCTCATAAGGCATACCTGCAACCTCAGGGAGACCCCCTGATATTGCTTACTAGGTCAAGCAGTTTGAAATGGGAGGCTATACTTTACTTTTACATTACTCTAAGCTTCCTTCAACTTTGTTGCTCCCGTTCAATAAGACTTAAAGTTTTGAAAAAGTTTGATTGCAAGAAGCAATTTTTTGGGACAGTTTCACAACTATGTGGTGGGAATTTCTATGGAGACATATAAAACAAATACATTCTTGGCCTTGATGTGATCTTTTGCAGTAGACATTCAGTGTACATCTACTGTACAATAGTTAATTTTATTCAAATTTTGAGCATAGATGGGAGTCTTGAAAAAAGAAAAACCCACAAGGCTCCTGTTTTTTTTCTCCCCTGCTTAATTTAAGTGGTTAACAGAGATCTAAAGATACTGATTCCAATTCACTGGTTTAGCTACTTGGGTGAGGTCTTTAGGCATTTTTTGCCTTTGTATTCTTTGCTGCTGAGTGTAGTCTAATTATGTCGGCATTTTAAAGTTCATTCTTAGATTTCAGCTCTAGATTTTAGGCTTCTATCGCTATCATACATAAAGCAATAAGTACAGAGATGTATGAAAAGAATGAACTTCTGTGAAGCCTCAGATTTGCCAATCACCCTGAAGATAAATGAGCAGTGATATTATCCATCAGTTTTGCTGTTGTCTTTGACACTTTTTGTTGTGTCAATTTTTCAGGAATCTCGAGAGCAATTTAAGGAGTATGCACAGCCTCTTGAATCGCATCAACAACACATTCAGTAAGGACAGCTCAGACTGCCTGTCTACTCTGTCGGCATCCTTGGAGCTTCTCCGACTCCTCATCACCATCGACTCAGGGGAGGAAGAGGTCGTGACCCGCACCAAGGTCATCAGCCGCAACAAGCTGCGACACTTTCTGTTGTGGAGGCCAGATATGAGTCACCCTCTCGAGGAACTGGAGGTAAAGAGTAGACATTCTCTCGGCTGTGGTGTCTGCAGGACAGTATCTCCTCAGACTGCACTCTTGTGCTGATGGTGCTCTTGATTCTTCTTCTTCATGTGCCAGATCTGAGAAAAACCTCAATGATCATGGTTCTCCCCTCATTTCTCAGCTTGGATACTCTCAATAAACGTACTGTGTCCTGGTCTTTTCCCATCACCTTTCTGTTCAAGTTCTGTAAGTCTTCCTTTACCTTTTTTACCGTCTGTTTTTTTCTGTGAGAGCAAGATGTTCATTTGAAAAAATATTTTGGCTACCCGAACCCACTGCCAACCTTCGTGGCATATAAGGGGAAAAAAATAGAAAAGCTACCAGATCCGGACTGCCTGTAGCACATGCAGGTGTCTTAACTTTAACAGTATTAACACCCTCTTTGCATTGAACCCTTGTAGGTGATCAGTGTCACTTTGCCCTTGGAAAAACATTAGACTTTAGAAGAGCCAAATCCCGGAGTAAGGCAAAAATTAAATTGACGAGGTGTTATTAAAAAAGTCCTACCCTTTTGTATCACCATGCTTTTGTTTACCTTACATTTATACTATACTGGACCCCCGGGGGCAGTGCCATTGACTGAAGTGTCTTTAGGCCATTCCCAAAGGGGGACGGGACATTTCTTGTTCAAGCATAGTAGAATTGTAAATGGGCTGACTCATGTCACGCTCATAACTGTGCCTGATCTACAACAGGGAACTGCTGCTTTTTCCTTCCTGATCCTTACTATTGTCATTTTCCTCTACTTTTTTTGTATGTTTGTCACTCTCTTGTGACCTGCTATTTTGGGGTGCCTTGATAGTCGAAGCTAGAGAGGTGAGCAGTCTAAGTCTGATTCCCTGTAATGACTTCTCTGTTGACACCCACCCGTTGGCGCTCATATGACCTTATGTAATTGCGAACGCCATAAAACCCTCTACTATAAAAAAAAAATGCTATACTGGAATTCAACCCCTGTCCTTGACACCCCATGGAAGAAGATTTTCTATGGCCGTATGACGAATTTTTAAGGCAGTTTACTAATTTTCTACCTGTTAATTACTAAAACATATGCTGGTGGGTGGGCAGCCCTGGTTGGGTCTGACAAGACAGGGTTGAAACATCTTGCTTCCTAAATGATCTTTATTGTCTCTATCATCATCATCCGGTGCCTTGCCGACTAGCGTGGGCGATCATGGACCTCCACTTCCATCTGTCTTTCGAAGCAGCAATGGTGTCTGTTGTTCTTGCTGCTCCCAGCCATGTTGTCATCTTGTCCAGTATCTTTTCCCTCTGTCTGCCTCTACCTCTCTTTCCATCAAACTTTCCTGTTGTTACAATGTTCTCTAATGCTTCTTTCCGCATTGTGTGTCCGAAAAAATTTGCCTGTCGTTTTCTTATATTCGTGATAAGTTGTTTTCTATAATTTGCTTCAACCAGGACTTCATTTGTTTTTCTAGCTGTCCATGGGATACGTAGCATGCGTCTCATGAAGCACAACTCTGCCGCAACAATTGTTTTTTCCAGCTGTTTATTGATTGTCCATGCTTCGCACCCGTATAATAGGATTGGCTCGATGTAGCTTTTCATTACTCTTTTCCTCATTTCCAGTGACAGATTTATGTTTGTTAGTATCTGTTTCATCTTGTGGAAGGTTGCTTTTGCTTGGCAAATGCGGCTTTTAATTTCGGTGTGACATCTACCATCTGATGATATAATGGTCCCCAAATATCTAAAATGTTGTACTTGCTTGAGGGTGGTATCATTGATTTTGATATTGCATGTTGGGATTGGAGTATTTCTGCTTATCACCATCGCAGAAATACTCCAATCCCAACATGCAATATCAAAATTTGTCTCCATGGGGGAAGTAAAACATGCACAATTACAATTTTTTGTATTAAGTATTGTTCAATGTTTTGTGATTATACATCAGCTGTAAGTCGATGACATTCTTCTACCTATGTGACCCATGTGTCCTTTTCTCTCCTTCTTTTTTTTGTGTTTGTTACTCTTGTAGCACCCCTAATCTTCGGCATTTGTATGACCTTATGTGCTGCAAGTGCCGTAAAACCTCTTAATAAAACAAAACTAAACTGATGTGAGGGAGGGAAGAAATGGGGAGAGAAGAAGGGAAGGAGAGAGAAGGGGGGAGGGGGAGGGGAGAAAGAACGAGAGAGGAGAGAGAGAGCGATTAAAAAGAGAACTCTTCTCCATTTACAGGAGCTGTCTCGGGAGGAGGAGACGTTGGAGAGTTTACTAGAGAGCATCACAGCCTTGACCTCTGTGCTGAGGAACATGTCGGACTCTCCCCCTGAGGGAGACACAAGTGAGTGTGTGCCTGTGTGTGTGTGTGTACGTGTATGTGTGTGGGTGTTATAGTTTGTGCCTGTCGTTGTGTGTATGTAGGGGGAGGGTTGGTGTAAGGGAGAAAGAGAGAGATGAAGGGAGGGAAGCAGACAGGGAGGAGAGTATGTGGATGTGTATGTGCGGGGGGGATGTGAGAGAGGAAGAGAGGAGAGTGGGTTTGTGTGTGGGCATGCTCCCCCTTGTATGTGAGAGAGGAAGAGAGGAGAGTGTGGGTTTGTGTGTGGGCATGCTCCCCCTTGTATGTCAAGTCTGAAACCCTGTCTTTATCATGGCTTAGTGGTTAGGGCACCGGGCTCGTAATCATGGGGTTGCGTGTTCTGTGGTTCGAGCTGCAGGATCGATGTTGTGTCCTTGGGAAAGGCACTTTATACGAATTTTCCTCACTTCACCCAGGTGGGAACGGGTATCCGGCCATAGATAGCGAAATGTCTTGTCAGTATGTTTGTGTTTTAGCGCCTATGAATGGCTGCTTGCACTGTATGCTTCCCAGGGAGTTGAGGTTGTTTCATTAGAATCCTCTCAGGTCTGCTGGGGTAATAGTATAGATTGTGAAGCGCATAGAGCTTGCTGTTGAGCAGGGATTTGCGCTATACAAATGCTATCTATTATTATGTTCTGTATATACGCTGATGCAAGAATGGATGAACCCTTTTATGTGTGGAAATGTTCATTACACCACTCTTAAAATCTCGTTCCCCCTCCCCCACCTTTCACCCCCTCCCCACCCCTCCCCTACCCTCCTTCCCCAGATGTGGAGGAGGTCCTTCTCCCCGTCCCAGCCCTGCTCACGGAGCTGTTCCGGCAGCGTCCCGTCTACACGGTTCTGGAGGCGGAGGACGAGCGCCTGAGCCCGAGCTACTGGCTGGCCAATCCAGCCCTGGACGAGCCAGACGCCGAGCCGGAGGTGCTGCGGTGCTCCCTGCAGGCGCTGTGCGAGCAGCACCTGGTGGGCTTCAGCCTGGAGCAAGAGCTGCAGAAAGACGCCAACACCCCGCAGGAGGATATTGTGCGGCCCAAGAGGCCCAGGTAGGGCGAGCTGTGGGATGTTTAGATTTGTTCGCTGTTATATCGTTGTTTATATTACAGTTCTACTGTCTATTTATGTTACAATTCTGCTGTGTGTTCTTTTATGTTACAATTCTTCTGTCTATTTATGTTACAATTCTGCTCCTAATGCTTGGTAGGGTGAATTATGAATATTTCGATTTGTTCGCTGAAATATGGTAGGGTGAAATGTGAATGTTTTGGATTTGCTTGCTGTTGCTAGGTAGGGTGGACTGCTTTTGTTACAATTCTGCTTTTTATTTATGTTACAATTCTGCTCCCAATGCTTGGTAGGGTGAATTGTGAATGTTTTGATTTGTTTGCTGACGTCTGGTAGGGCGAAGTGTGAATGTTTGGATTTGTTCGCTGTTGCCAGATAGGATGGACGGTTTTTGTAACTGTTTTGCTGTCTAATTATGTTGCAGTTCAGCTCTCTATGCTTGGTAGGGTGAATTGTGAATGTTTGGATATGGCTGTTGATGTATGGTGGGGTGAAGTGTCAATGTCTGGATTTGTTCACTGTTGCTAGGTATGATGGACCTTTTGTGTTACGATTCTGCACTCTAATGCTTGGTATGGTGAATTGTGAATGTCTGGATTTGCTAGCTGATGCAAGGGAGGATGAAGTATATGTTTGAATATTCTTGTACTAGCCAGGCGGGATTTAGGATTTATGTTTGGTCTTGCTCACTGATGCAAGGCAAGATGAACCATTTGCATTTTTTTTTTCTTGATGCTAAGAAAAATGAATGGTTTATCTTAAGGTTTGTTTGTTGATGATAGTTAGGATGAACCGTTTGGATTTGTTTAATGATATGTAGTGGATGAACCATTTGGACTAGTTCGTTGATGATAGGTAGGATGAACGGTAAGTTGAAACTAGGTAGGATGAATGGTTAATGTTTGGATTTGATATGTAGTGGATGAACTGTGTTTTTTTTATTTTGCAAAAGCAGTTTATTGTATAAATTTACAAACGTAGACGTAGGGAATTCAACTTTAATTTGAGCCTTATTGTACTAAAAGTATGTCGGCCCTTCACCAATATATCTCATATGTCGTAAAACTCACTTTCGTATTTGATTTTTATCTTTTTCAGAGACCGGCGCAAGTCTCATGAGGTTATAAATATATATAGGGGAAAACCAGGCAGGAAACCTTTTGGTGAGTTCCTGGCTTTATTTCTTTTTTCTGTTTGTATGTCCTTTTGTGAATGATATTTTCATATAATGCAATTACTTCTGAAATTTTCATTTTATGAGACTATTGCTTAGGACAAGATGCTATATAGTTGATAGTGCCGTTATACACTTACTCAGAAAAACAGAACAAACCAGATGCTGTATGTTGCAAGTGCTGAAAGCTTGCACTAATGAAGATCTGATAAAGTCAAAGCCATTTTATAATTTCAGAATAAAAAAACCCAAACTTCTCATCATTAATGTCTTACTTCGCCACCTGTTAAGTCCTCAGTTTTCTCAGAGAAGAGAATTTAGATGGAATGGAAAATGATTCAATAATTTGTGCGTGAGCCTAGTTTCACAGCTGTGTTTTTGTTGTACTTAAAAGATTTTGTTTCAAAATAAGTCTTGTTTTCTTTGAAATTCTTGTTGAATTTTGAAATTGAAGGAAAAATGTTCCAACATTCTCAACAGTTGCCCCTATGAGAGGTCGAGGAATCATGTCACATGGTATGTCTGGTCGTGGGAATGACCTGTTCAGGTCAAGGACACCCAATACATCAAGACCCCCGTCCATGCATGTGGATGACTTTGTCAAGATGGAGAACAGCCAACAACAGCAGCAACAGCAGCAGCAACAGCCGCAGCAACCACCACCGCCTCAGCAGCCATCTCGGCCTCCACTTCTTCCTAGTATTGGGGCTGTTGGAAGGGACAGCAGGGAAAAGGTCAGCACTTCTTGAGATCCCCTTTTTGCTTTATTAATTAGCATATATGTAAAGCATTGTGGTGAAATGAGGCGCCTGTCAAAATATTGAAATCAAAGAAATTGGCATTTTTCTGACGGCCTGGCAATTTTTTGGTAATTTTGTTTTTTTGGCTCGACATGTGTTGATTTTACAGAAAAATGTTGATGAAAGGCACAAAAATGTACAATGCACAGGCTTTAAGATTATACCAATAACTCTAAATGCCCCAAAGTTGACGAACGCCCGATTCCGCTGCGTTTTGACACATGAATTATTTATTCATATTCCTCCTGACATCTGAAGCAGCTTCTGTTGCGTGTTGAAAATGTAAGACGGACTCCCATATTGGGAGGTTGATGTCTAGTATCTCTGTCTGCTTGCAGGGACATATCCTACTCAATTTGGGATGGCCCTGTCAGAAAGGGGCAAAACAGTTGGCCTTGTAATGTGTCAGTGGAGGCATAAAACACTTACAATTACTGTTATAACAATTTTCTATTCTCCCTCTTGGACAATAAAGTATTATCTTATCTCATCTTTTCTTATCTTGTCGTATCTGATCTTATTTGTTGTCCCAAATAGAACCTCGAGGCAGTGATTTATGCCTCTTTGGAGAAGTGATGAAATTAAAAAAAATTTGATGAAAGTTGTTTGGGGCATTGATTATTCCGTGCATCAAGTTCATGAAATTCTAATGGATGATTTACAGTTTCTGTGGGTGTTGGAAAGGTCAATAGGATGTTGCGACAATTATTGATCCAGCAGTTTATTGGCTTTCACCCTTTGTTAACACACACAGGACAGAGTTTTGTGATCAGTGGCATTATATTAAATAGTACAACCTCAAATATATCACATTCTTTCAAACTTGACTGTTTTCCCAGCATACTGTCAAGATTGAGAGCGTTGGAACTCTAGTAATAGAGCATAGACATCAGCAGTTTCAGACCTTCCGTATTGAAGTAGGCCCAGTATTTTAGCTCAGAACTTGATCTTTGTGCAGATGCAGCTGTTCTAAGATGGTTACTCTTCCAATTAAGTAAGGTCACAGATAAACATGTTTTAGTGAGGGAATGAGAACAGTTCTGTTTTCGTAATATAAAAAGCTGTGGATTTTTGAAAAGAGAATGTTGCAATCCAGTGACTGTATTCTTTGAACATTGCAATATGTGCATGTATTCACTTCCGTATTTTGATCATGGTATTGCCTTCTTATATGTCATGCCCAGTAAAATTTTCCATAGAGATAAATGTACTGTTTTTTTCTCTTATGTGAATGTTTACTCTTGCATTTTAACTATTGTACTGCTTTCTCGCTGGTTACACTCAGTAACTCTTAGTATACCAAAGGCTGTTCCTCCTTTGTGTGCAACCAATCTTGCCATCCAATTTTTTGGCATTACAAACTTACCTAAAACACTGTTGTTCCTGTTTAAGCTGGTTGAATAAAATATACACTAAACTGAGTAGAAATGAATAACCCATGTAATGAACTACTGTTTGATTATAGATATGATGGATTAGCTGATCATAAATTTTTTTGTTATGATTGTAAGCAATCAAGCGATATCGTACGCAAGCTGAACTGAATATATTATACTTAGAGTTAAAAACATTCCTTTTGGTTGAAGATATAATGTAACGTTTCTTCTCTTCTGTGCATGTACAGGAACTTGGTCCAAGACTGCGAGGTGGCGACCGCATGGGAGGCTTTGCCATCCCTTCAGGCCGCTTCTTCACTCCGCCGGGCTCTTACAGACGGGAAGCCATGCTTCATGAGCCACATCCTCTACCACCTTTGGCAGGCCACCCTCCGTCACACAGAGGAGGTAAACAGTCTTGCAAGTGTCTTCTGTCTCTTCATTTGTACTTCAACAATGACAAAGACAATGACAATCTTTATGACAATCTTTATTCATCTCGCAGGGAGAAATCCATCTGTTCGTCCATTCTTCATATATACAGGCATGCATCTTGGCTTGACTGCCTTTCAATGTGTCCATATGTCTGTCCCTTCATTTTGCTGTTCAATCCAGTCGAATGTGATTATACATTTGTCCTGCCAGCATTCCAACCCATCAGTATGTCTGTCTAACGATCCATCCATCCATTCATCTGTCCGCCCGTCTTTCCGTCCGTCCATCCATCGATCCATCATTTCCATCCAACTGTGAGTGATTGGTGGGTGCTCTGGTGTGGTGTGTTCCTTCTTTCCTATCAAACGTCTGTCATCCTTAACTCTCCTCCTTCTTTTATGTGTTTGTTTCTTGTTACACCTCAAATCTGCGGCACTTATATGACCCTATTGTGTTGCAAGTGCTGTAAAACGCTTACTAAAATGAAAGCATCCGTTCAATTGTCCATCCATTCATCCTATTATCCATCCCCCTGCATGCCCTTCCAATCCCCTGTTTGTTCTCTAATTAATCAATATGTTCCATATGTCCATCAGCTAGTTCATCCATCCAATCTATTCTTTCATTCAGTTAACCAACCATTGTTCCAATCAATCAAATCACACCATGAGGGGTCTCATGGCCTAGAGGTTAAGGTGTTTGCCTTTCATTCAAAGGTCCCGGGTTCGAATCCGGGTAGCGACGGAAACATTTGTTTTCTCTAAAATTGTCTTCTTTCACCTCCTTTCCTGCTCTCTAGCATTATTCTGCCGTCTGCTTTCGTCTCCACTTTCTGCCCCCACCCCCTCACCTCCTTTGCCCCCCTCCTGGGCTTCTGACTCTCTCTGCAGTCTTGCTACTGCTACTCCTTGGCTCCTTCTTACTGCTGTTTTTCAGCCATACCCGTTATCTTCTGGTAGGAAAGATCTACACCTAGCCTTCTTTGACAAGGGCGAGAAATCTCGTGTGCAAGTTGCGCACGTTAAAGATCTCTTGGTGGTCTAAAATCGATAAGAGTAGGCTTCGGCGGCCACCCGCGCAAAATTCAAAATTTCCTACCAACTGAAAAGGTTTAATGTGTCCCACGCGCTCATATAAACTGATGCTGTTGTGAGAATCGTAAAACACTTACCAAAAAAAAAAAAAAAAAAAAAATCATACTGTGCGTATGTCCCCCATCCTACATTTTGTCCCTTCATGTTTTTCCTGTGTGTTTGTCCTCTTCATTGATCTGCCCAGCAACTTTCTCATTTTATTTCTAAAGATTGAAATATACATTTTGTCAATAAGGGCTTCTTTTTGACTGACCCAAATGCCCATACTGATATTGTGTACTTACAACTTTGTGTACAACCAAGCACCATTATTTTGCAGTGTCTTAAGAATGGGGAATTGAGCCTAAGAAAGGTGTGAACATGTTTACTTGTTTACTGTGACGGCAAGGAAAATGATTTGGTTCTCTTTTGTAGAGGTTGAATATTATTTCCATAAGTTCATGTGTGGAAGTTTGAGTCAGTAAGTGGATGGTTGGAAAATATGCCACTCGTGAGTCCTATTTCTTACCTTTCCCTCTTTGGTTTCTCTGGGTCTGTCTTGCTTTTTCCAAGCATTAGATGATATTTATTGTGTCCATGTGCTTCAACTTACTCTAACACAATTGAGATAATGAAGTAAAACTTACTAGGGATCAGTTCTTGACTGATTGTCACTCTAGTGTGGTCTTTTCTTCCTGTCGCTTTGTTCCGACCTGCTTCACTTGAGCCTTGAGATAGGGTTTGCGATCATTGTCATTGTTGAAGGACAAATGAGGAAACGGAAGACACTTGCTGGACTGTTTACCTCCTCTGTGTGACGGAGGGTGGCCTGCCAAAGGTGGTAGAGGTCAGTCTTACTTCTTGTCTTTCCCAGTTTTGTTCCTGTCTGTCTGTCTGTCTTGATCTTTCACGGCATTCAGTGACGGTCATTTAGTTGATGTGCTTTTCTTTACCCGAACAAACTAACAAAAGTTAATATGGTTGTTGTTGTAGACTCTCTGTGAACTAGGATGTCCATATTTATGTGCCAACCATGTTTCTCATTTTCACCTCTTCTCAGTACCAAGAGGGGGCCCAATTTCCATGGAGAGGAACAGGCCTAACTTCATGGCACAACGACAGTTTTCTCGAGGGTAAGTAGTAAAACTGCCTGTACTTAATATGTGGTTTGATTTGGTTGTATTTTAGTCTTTTCGGTAGCTCAGCATTCAGTTGAATGAATGAAGTATTTACAGGGTTGTCAGACCCAAATGCTGCTTTTATCAAATGCACTTCGTAAACCTAATTGTAGTAGGCTGTTTAGTGTGAACGCGCTCACGGCAGGGCGAATCGGCCGCGGTACGCCCCGTAGATTTTTGTGGCTGGCCGTGAAGCCTCGCGCTACGGTGGGTCTAAACAACTCACAGTTTTATTTCGTTTGTGAATTGCACTACCACTCCCGATACATCTTTTTAAACAGAAAAGAAAGGTCTTCAAAATGGCGGTCTTCGCGTGAAAATCGGTTCAGTAGAACTGGAAATATTTGCATCTGAAAACAAAGCAGTTTTTACAACGCGATAAAATGAAAACTACTGGCTGTATATTTAGGAATCTTTCAGAAGTTATAGATTATCCATTCTAGTTTCTTTTGACATCCAAGTTGTTTAGGTTGAACTTCGAACAACGCTACAGGGCTTCCCGTAAAAATGCATACGAAACGCCGAATCGGCCAATCGGCCGGTCAGCGACCCGGCACCCCCGCTCTCCCCTGCACACTGTGATAACGTGTTGCGCCGGCATCGCATTTATTTGCGCTTTACTTGTTTCTCCGGATAATAATAATACGTGCGGCTATGAAATTATGAACGGACTGACCAAAAAATTCACAGTTTTGGTTTTATTTTACCATATTTGGCTCTTGAATAGTGCAAATGATAGCTAAATCTAGATTCCCTTCTAGAATTCAGCAGTAGTAGGCTAGAAGCAGTCAAAAAGCCAGCATATCTAACTATTTTTGCCTTTGGGCTTTGGAATTGAAATAAAACTTGAATTGCACAGTTCTACTTGATGTTAGATTCAGCATCTAGCTATATATTCCAGAGTTAATAATAAATCTCATCATAACAATTGCTTTTATGAGACAACCTATTTCTTAAATCAGTTTTGCGCAAACTTGCTAGTTAGTAGTATAGTAGTAGAGAACAGAGTTTATCTAACCCTCCTCTCAGTCTTTCACTTTCAGTACCTGATAATTTAATGTTGTTATTTTCTAGATATTTTTACATTTACATTGTCAAATTGTGCCATTAAAAAAAATATAATATAAGGCCAATGAGTCTGACTCAATATTTAAAAGAAAATATGTTCATCAATGAAAATTGCTAGTTGATAATAACTCAAAATGTAATGAATAGTGAAGAAACATGTGTGAAAAAATAATAGAATGAGGTAGACTATAAATATAATTTGTCCAAAAAATTGCAAGTGCAACTTGTGTGAAGATCACAAAATGACTTATTTTTTTGTCATCTTTCCGCAGTTTATTAAATGTTCCGGTGGGTCTACAACTAGGTCTCTGAAGAGCATTTTTCTTGAATTTATAAGCTCTTTTATACATTGGAAAGCATAAAATATAGCTTCACACAAATGTATGTTACAATACTTTATAAAAGAAGGATAGAGAGCTGACTTATGGCGGTCATTAAGAGGTTGTGTTTTTTTTTACGGAATCCGTTATACGATTAGAAAAACACAAAAAATATGTTTTGAAATCTTAAGAATGACCATAAAAATTGGAAATTATTTCTTAATTGGCTTAACTCTTTAATAATTATGAACAGTGAATAAAGACAAAGAGAATGATGTATGATTTGTCTAAATATGACAACTAGCAGCAAAGATATAGACCATTTTGTCCATTTCGGGTTATCCTTGCGGGGGATTTTTTTATCACCCTGAACCTCTTGAAGTACCAAAAAAATATTTCTGTGACCTTGTAAAGAGGTGTTTGTAGTTGTGTGCATTTTGTGTAAAATTCCTTACAAACTGATGTACAACACTTTAAAAAATATGCATTTTGTGTTGAGTAATAGTCATTTGTGTTGTAAAGTTGCATTTTTGTGTCACAAAAACTCAGTGTTAAAAGTGGCCTGAAATTGGCCGGATTTTAGGCATGAAAAATCGCCATAACTTTTTTAACTAATAAAGATATCAACAAAATTTTAAACTGTTTTATGATCATGAAGGCAAGAGCTTTCAAATGAAAGTATTTCAAAGCAATTGAAATTTTCACTAAACTGCCGAAGCAGATTCACATTTTGCTATATTTTTTTCTGTACAAGGAAATCTTTTCCTTCAAGTGATAGATAATAGTATTAATTACAAACCAGGTCTAAATATAGCAACCGACCGCTAAATCTAGCACTACTCTTCATCCCATTTGGGGATCCAAAACTGTGACCGGTGAAGCTTGAACTGGCCCGGAATACGGAAGGGTTAATTTGTAAAACATTATCATGATGTTAGACTTTAAGCATTTCTTTTTTATTTGCACTTTATGAACTAGTATTCAGTTTATGGAAAATAAGAATGTCTCTCAGTCTGAGCTGCTCTCATGCCACCATAAATACGTTATCATTTGGACCAGCAAAAGAAAAAAGGAACAGTCTCAACAAAATGCAACAAACCCCCCCCCCCCTTTTTTTTGGGTGTTTCTTTCTATTTTAAAATTTGTTTATTTCTTTCTATCATCTATCATTGCCCCTGACCAAGGCTGACCAAATTTTGTTGATAGTGCTGTAAAACATGTGTTCAATTAATCGATCGTCCAGGCCATTGCATGTTCCTTGTCCTACTGGTTATGAGTGGATGGCACACATGTGATGTATTTTGTGGGGTTTTCTCTTTTTCTTTCCCTAAACAGGCCAGAGCGTATGCTGCCCCCTCCCCATGAGAGGCATGGTGGTCGGACTGGACGTTTCTCTCCTACTGGCCGAGGAGGTCGAGGAGGGCAATGGGGCAGAGGTCGTGATCTCGGAGAACCGGGCGGGTTAGTTCATGTGTAGACGAGATGAATGTTTTGGATTCTTAGAGTGAAGGATGTTTGCAATGTTTTCCCCGTCTTTTGCATAATTGTAAATGAATGGATGCTTTGAATAATTGTAAATGAATGGATATGGACAAAGTTCAAAGTATTTGGAGTCTCTTCTTTTTACTCTCTCTCTCTCTCTCTGTCTTTCTCTGTCTCTGTCTTTCTCTCTAGCTCTCCCTCCCTATCCTTCCCTCTCTCTCTCTCTTTCTCCCTCCCCCCCCCCCCCCCACTTTTCTCCCTCCCTCCCTTTTTCTCCCTCCTTCCCTCTTTTTCTCTCTCTTTCTCGCTCCACCCGCTTTCTCCAGCCCTTTCTTTCACCCTCTCTCTCCCCTGTGGACACACTAGAGTGCCCACTCCATCTTTTTATAACCCAGATTTGTTTTTTGTTTTGGGTTTCTGTCACTCCCACAACTCGTTTTCCCTCGCACTTGCCTGCCACTTGCACATATAGTGCACTGTTGCAGAGAATAAGATAGATCAAGTCATTCATCAGGGGTATGTTCATGCATGCACACACTCGTGTCTGTAAAGGCCTAGGTCTTTGAAGAAAATTGTTGAAATTTTTGTGATTAGATTGGGGTTTTATAAAAGAATTAAAGTGTTTGTAGCGACGTTACTTTGACATAGTTCTTATCATTTGTGAAAGAATACATAGAGACTTCATGTTGCTCATTAATAGTGGGTGATGGATGGGTGCTCTGGAGTGGTTTGTTCCTTCTTCCCGATCAAACATCTATCGTCGTGATCTCAGCCCTCGTACTGTCAAATCAAGTAGGCTACAAATAGATGTGTATTTGAATGATTAAACTTTAAGACATAATCATGTGATTATGAGTGTCTGAAAGAGTCAGAGAGAGAGAGAAGGGGAGGGAGGGAGGAGAAGAGAAATTGGGGAGGGGGGGGAGGATAGAAAAAGACAGACAGAGAGGGAGAGAGAGAGATAAAGAACTGTTTTCAGGTCATCTAAGCTTTCATTTTAAAAAATATTTTTTTTCTCTTCTTGCAGACGTTTTGCTGGTGGCAGTTTTCAAGGTCGCCGAGACCCTGGCAGACATGTACGCTCCTTCACTAAGTGAACAGTTGGCTCATTTCATCTATTATTCATCCTATTTCTTCATCATCTCCTAGACATGCTTCAAGTGACTTACGACATACACCCATATTGGAGCTTTTATTATATGTTTGCTGTACTGTGAAGTTTTAGTTTTTCACTTCTTGAAAGGGTTATATCCTTGTGCCTAGAGTGTGGTAAGTGACTTTATTGCGTTAAAAAATGGCTTGAAGATGACATTTAGATCTGACATCAGGGTATGCGTTTCAATGTGCCACATGTTTGTGAACTAAAAAATAAGTTGTACGGGCTATTCATATCCTCGATTCATATAAACATTCTCATCAACCACATTATGTCCCAGAAGGATGGGAATGTTGAAGAGCTTGTATTTGACTGTCAAGTTTTCCAATGGAGGTTAAAGTTGTGTATGCAGTTTTCATGTGCACACCTTTCTTCTCTTTCTGAGGAGCAGCCTTTTCCTTTTTCTCTTTGTGCACCAAGGTTTCCTCGGTGCGGGTTTAGTTGAAGGTCAGCCGCGATACAGCAGTCTATTGTAAGTCTGCCTGATTGACCGCGGGCTACTACTAAAGCACAAGTTCTCCTTGATTGGCCACTGTATTGATTGAAAGCGTTAGGGGCATTTAGATCGTAGACTACAATTACCGTGTGTAGTTGGGTAAAGTGCTTCATTTTGCGGTGTCGTTTAGGTCAAAGAATTTTGTAGTGGTTAAGATAATGATTGACAAGTAAGTTGCGACAGCAAGTGACCAAACGGGACTATTTTCAAGAGAAAAAAAAGGAGGTGCCTGTGTCATCCCCCCCCCCTCCCCCCCCCCGGTCAATATATGAAGAAGGAAAGAAATGTTTCAATAAATTTTGAAATTTTTTAGTCTAGCTTTATTATCATTTATGAGGCTTGGAGCTGATTCGACATGTTCTGTGTGTGGAATTTGAAAGTTGTGTGGTTGAATAGCTGCTCTATATTTTTATGTGAGCATATCATCGCTGTCACAAGCAATTCACTTGTCCAAATTTTGAGAATTTTTTATTGTTACACCGTCCCAAAGCTAAACCAAAGATGTACCTCTCAACATCAACAAAATGCAGTTCAATGCTATGGTCAAGGCTTACAATTTTCTGGCTTTTCTTGATTCCTGATAGGAACAACACAACAAAATAATGTTTTTTGTATCTGGTGTAAAATCTACCCAATCAGACTTATGTGGATTGCTTGTGACACCGATGATATGAACCATTGTTTATCAGGTTATGCAAATATAGTGTATTTGTTAAAAGAAAATTCTCTTTTGGTCTTTGTTAGCCTGTTAATGAATAAGTGATCATGCAAGTGTAGAGTATTTTTTAAAGAATTACCGTTTTGGTCTTCACAAGCGCATTTGTGATTAGGCTGGACAGATTCTGCTCTGGTTAGTATTTTCAGATGAAGTGACAGAAAGAGTGTGAACATAGAGACAGGCCGCCATTGTAGGTTGTTGCCTGGCTTTGAATGAAGTGTAACTGAAATTGTAATGAAGGAAGGACACAATGAGAATGATTTGGCTTTTTTATTTCTTTGAAAGTACTGAAGAGTGGTACTGACATTCATCTCAATTTATACATGACCAAGGGGCAATGACCTACAAAGAAGTGTTTGTATTTGTTTCTTTTTACAGGTGTCTCTGATGGAATGTTAAATGTTTTCCTTTACTGATGAAGTGCATCTGTTAGGTTTTCACTTTGGGTGGATAAATTTAGTAGAGTCTCTCCACCTTTCTCCCGAGGTGGCTGAAACAGGCAGGGTAGAACCTCCTTAACGATCTAAACTTGGTAAAATGTGTTTGTGTTTTACTAATGGCTACTAAATGGTTTGGTTAAAATTTGGAAATTGGTGAGAAGGGCCATTGTCATAACATGAACAGTTGATAAGGTGGGGTTTTATTGTATGAGCGAAGAAAAGTTTTTTTTAATGAACCTTTTTGACAAGCCTTGGTTTAAAAAAAAAAAAAGTTGTAAATAAATATGTCAAATAAATGATGACACTGGAAAGAATGTGGGTTGGTCACGTTCTGTTGCATGTTTATTATTGTGTGCTCAGAATCTAGGCTACTTTTTAGAGACTTCAGAGAATTCAGAATACCACACATACTTGATGTTGTGGTTGTTGTTTATGTTGTTGGTTTTGTTTGTGAATGTGCCTGTGCACATGCCGGGGGGAAGAAAGATGAAGGTTTGAATTTTTAAAAAAGGGAAAGAGTGCAAAAGTATTCAATGAATGATGAAGTTAGTGTGGTTGGAAGTGTTGGAGAGGAGGTGTGTGGTCTGGGAATTGTGTGAATGCGTAAGGATGTGTTTAGTATGAATGCTGCTGGAAGAATGCTTGGACAGTTACCTGCACATGTTGACCAATTTAATAAAAATTTGAAATAATAAAAAGACTTGACATTGGGTTCCTTGTTTGATTTCAGGTTGGAATGGGGTATGGTGCGTGTGATTATGGTTGGGGGGCGGGGACAGGTGTAACGGCTTGCTGTTATTGATTTGAAAAGAATTGTTAATGCAAACAAATTCCTATAACACAACTTTGCATAGGGGTGGAGGGTTATCCTTTGACTCCAAAATTGGTCCATTTTAGGTTGCACTAATAATATGGGTGAATTTCTGACAATCATGTGGGGGGGGTATACCTCTTGGGAAAATTGCTTGTATTACTAAAGGTAAGTTTTGTTTATACAGTAGGTTGAAATAATATACAGTCGAACCTGCCTTAACGGAAACCTGTATAAAACGGAAACCTGGCTTAACGGAATCTCCCCGCTCCCCCCTTGATATATTCCTCTTTAATTACCTGTATAAAACGGAAACCTGTCCAACACGGAAACGGAAAGAAAAATCCGCTCCCTTCTGAGGGTTTCACCTAAGACGGAAAATGCTTTGCCCGCTCAGCCCTGACTTGAAACAAAACGCGCAAATTTGGTTCCGTCGGCTCTAAACTTATCGCTATGGTCATGCCGCTGGGCGAGGAAGAGGAGTAGGGGTGCAATTTGGGGGTAGAAGATGTGACCCCATCATGTGAGCCCTGAGCGATGCAGATGGTCAGGGTAGTGTGGGTGTGAAATCTCACGACTGCCTGTGAGAGTGCTGGAGTAGCGAACCACTACGGAAACTTTCCTGGGTAGCCAGAAGCCAGAGGTGTGAAATTAGATTGACCAATGCCTGCCGCCCTGATCGTAAGGCAAGCCGAGAAAAGAGTTCCTCGAATCGTTGTTACAATGTTGGCAGTGAGGGGTGGCATTGGTGGGTGAGGCTAAGGGTGGAAGCAAAGGAGGAGTTCAAACGTTTCTGTTTTTAATAGGTCAAACAGTGGTCCTATGAAAGGCAAGCACTGGCGGTAATTGGATAAGTAAAACTGACGCATGTCATTATCAGACAGGATAGCAGCCGAGAGGTGTGAAGTTTTGACCACTGCTTGCCGATCGGACAAGCGATCCTTGATCCCACCGGCTGGGCCTTTGAATTCCCCCCCCCCCCCCCCAACCCCCATCCCCCCCTAAATTCCCCTGTCTAAGACGGAATTTTTTTCCCGCTCCCTTGCGATTCCGTCTTACACAGGTTCAACTGTACTTGCTTTGGGGAGTGAGGAGTTGACCACAACGATTGTACAATCTTGTATTTATGTTGATGTTTGTAGGAGAGAGAGAGACAAAGACAGACCAAGAGAAAGAGGAAAGACTAATTTTCCATAATGTGTTGAATTATAACCTAGTTCCTAACAATATAATGTTTTGCAAACTGGAAAAATAAATGGTTATCAAGCTACAACTTACGTTAAGAAAATGTGTAATCTATGTAATGCTAGTTATAGTCATTGAATTTTGAGACATCTATACATGAATTATTTTCATCTACTGAATATCCGTACCAAAGTAAAAAAAAAATTTGTGAATTTTTATTTATTAGAATCTTTCAAGAAGTCAATTTTACCCTTATTTTCAAACTAGTTTTTCTTTCCTCAAACAACCCAGCTGGTGGAAAGTGCATAAAGTTCACGAGCAGTAGGACTGGATCTTCATACAAACTTAAAAGTGTAGACTCGATGCATACTTTATTAGAGTACTTAGCTATCTTTGGATGGAGCTGTCAAGCTGTGCCCTCAATCTACTCCAGTTTTCATGTTTGTGTGCGAGCACCGGCTGCACCACACCTTGAATAAAAGTTACCCATTTTTTTTTCTCACGAGGGCTCTTAATGAAACGACAAAAACTAATACAGTATTACACGGATAGCTCAAATTTGTTGGGACCGGCCTCGGTAGTGCGAGGGATATCTTACAAAGATAAAGAAGAAAAAAATGGGAACGCAGGCACAGTTCGATGGATGCTTGATTTCGAATCTTCAGTAGTTATACTGTATTTGTAATACACATTATAGAAAAAAGGAAGTATAACATGTACAAATGGAAAAGAAAATGACATCTTTATTGAACTTATCACGCACAAAATCTTTTTCACAAGACATGATCTGTATTCTATTCACTAAGCAAGATGTAGAATAAATTTGCCACTCAGGAATACAACAGCCATTACTGGACAAACCTGAACAAAGATATAATATCAAACACATTGTGAGAATGTTGTTTTTCCACTTTCACCTAACTTATATAAAAGGAAAATTCTTTTATAATATAAAAACAGGCCAAGATTGACTCGAGTGAAGAATAATATATTGAAAATATACATAAAGTTGGTCCTCATAAAACTGAATAACTTATTGCTTACTTATCAGTTTCTGTTTGCAGTTGTGTGCTTTTAAGTTAAACTGGTTTTTTTTTAACCAAAGCTTCTTTGTTTTTGATTTCAGTAAACTTGAAAATGCTTAGTGTCGACAGTCACAATGATCGCATTACTCAGAACTCAACTCTATCAATAAATTATTAGAATATCGCAGAATATCACAAATATAATATTAACTAAAAATGTTGCTTTGTGAACAAAAGATTTGTATGTTAAAGTCAAATGATTGATTTTGGAAGGAAAGCAGATAATACTGCATCAAAATTTGATCTTCTGTATCCAAAGTAATGGAATAGATAAAATACCTATATATATAATATTGACTAATATCGTGGAAGAATGTAGAAAGCAGATAAAGTGAGTTTGCATGTGGAGAAAAGAAAAGCATACCCACTGGGAATATGAATCAGTCACAGTTTAAGTAAAACTCTGGTGGTAGGCCTATGTACTCTGATAACGCAAAAGTTTGGCTCATACATAGCATGTTTTCCTGTGTTCCAAGTCCGTATGTATGGTGAAATGTACCACATACACAGTTCCTGATTTGAAGAGATAAGGAATGTTTTAAGTCGAGGTATAAACATGCTCTATGAGAAACCCCCCTGGTCCTATAATACGCAAAATAGTTAATGAATAAATCACCCATATCATTTTGTTGTTGTCATTCATCATTGTTGTATGTCAAAATATTAGGTTTTCATGAGAGGCAAAAAGTTGTGCTGTTTTGGGCAGAATGTTATCTGACAACAAAATGTTAAATTTGTCCAAATCCATAACTATTTTAAGTAGAGGAATGAGATTAGGACCAGTTGATTGTCTTCATCAAACTCTACAACCTACATGATTTTCATAAAATTTTTTTTTGACATACTGCAATGTTGACCGACTTAAAACAGTAAAATGACATTGACAAAAGACATTGCTTACAGTGTGTTAAAAAAATAACTAGTAAAAGCGTGCTTTTTGAAGCTTGTACAGGGCACATTGATGACTTGGTGCAACAAATGCTATACAAATACAAAGTATTCACATATATTACATAACTGTAACCATCAATTTAAGGAGCCAACACATTTTGCATAGTACGTTTTTCATGTACTATATATAAGGCAATACAGGCTAGTAAAAGGTGTAAAATATCACAGAAGTAAGTTATTTCACTATTCATGTATTCATGAATTGAAAAATGAAGTACAATGTAATTACAATAAGTTACAATTTACATACGAGTTTATATAGTGAAAGGTGGGTTTGACAAAAAAATTAAAGTGACTTGGCATGGATATGATTTGAAAAGAAAATACCTAATAAGCCTTGCTAATAATACTAACATAATATAAAAATAACTGATGATGTTTTATGAAAAAGATGGGGGGGGGGGGGGGTGGCTCTTGAAGGTTATTATTTATACTAATTAATTGATGGATCTGGTCCCAACTTTGGCTAGATCAATGGTTTGGAGAAAATGTATGAAAAAAAAAAAGATTCTTTAAATTACATTGTTACTTTAATTGGTAGGCCTTGTCATGAAACACTATCATTTCAATTTGAAGTGAAAAAAGACCAATAAAAAAACCCCCCATAAGCTCTTTCAATTTAAAAGTAACAGTCATGTCGTTTAGTTGCTTTGGAACGTCTGTGACAATAATTATATCTAAACTTTAAAGGAGGGGGGGGGGGGGGGGGGGTGTTGTTTACTATGTTGAGTATTCATCTGCCGATGTTTATCTCTGACTTATACTCGTATGATTTTAAAAGCAAACTTTCTGACTTTGAACCCTTATTTTTTTAGCGAAACGAAGAACTATCCACTGTTGATATTGTTACTCATTGTCAGTGGGTAAAACATGACAACGCACTGTATTCATTTATTCTGGAGCTTTTGGGAAAAAAACTAAACCCAAATCATCCAACAGTTGAAATTTGGAGTATATATGTTGGAGTATGTCCCAAGGCGAACTTTGTCACTCTATTTGTTTTAAAATGGTATTCTTTCCATCCTTTGACAAAGTTCACCTTGGGACATACTCCAAACAAATCACACAAATCTTACTGTTTTCTTATAAAAGAGGGAGATTATACAGTAAAACTTTAACTCTAAATATAAAAAAATCTGGTTTTCAGGTGCCTTTCCCACCCCAATAATGTGACATGAAATGAACACAGAAGACATGTAGTCAACAAATTCACACAAGAGTGTCTTAAAACCTCCAAAAACCTTAAGGACTTAAAGTATTTCTCAAACATCAAATTTTGATAAATTATCATCATCATCATCCAGTGCCAGATCTGCGACAGACATCGGCGATCATGGTTCTCCATTCATTCCTTTGCTCGGATGCTCTCAAAAAAGCTACGTTTCCCTGATCTTTCCCTGTTACTAATTTGTTTAGGTTCCCCAAGTACATTGTTCTGGGCCTTTCCGTGCCTCGCTTGCCCTCAACTTTGCCGGTGAGAGCTAGGTGTTCAAGACCCTTATGTCTATTTATGTGTCTCAAAAACTGCATTTGTTGTTTCCTGATTGTTTTTAACATTGAGCGTCCCACGTGGGCTTAATCAAGCAATACCTCATTTGATTTCTTTTCCTTCCTCGATACTCTTAGCAGTCTCCTAAGAAACTACATTTCTGTTGCTTCTATTTTATTTTCACTGTCTTTAGTGATTGTCCAGCATTCACAGCCATAGAGAAGGGTTAACCAAACATAGCAATAAATTATAATTATAATTTAAAAATTCCTTCACAATTTTAGCCTGTCCTTCTTCTAGCCATACAGATTTTTTAGTTAAAACTGCTGCCCTTTTTTCTTTTTGTAATGTAGGCATTTTTACGCCTACATTGACACAACTGTGCAGCCTTGTACTTGTGCAAGGTGAGGGTACACAAAACTCTTAACAATGGGGTGGAAGAACACATGAGTATGTACAGCTGAGGAGGATCACCCATGTGTTTGGCACATCCATGATTTGGGTAAACTGTATGGTGAAAAATTAAAGAGATATCAGTTGGGGAAGAGCAAACTATATGAGAGCTATCCGTGATTTTAACCCTATCCGTACGACGTGTTTTACTATTGTATCCATACGACGTGGGGAACTCTGTGCCACCATTTTCCAAAGAGGAAATTTATTCGTTAATCCGATCAGTACGTTTTGCATAGCAGTCTGTCAAAATGATTTTTTGAGAAATACTACGGTACTGAAAGTTTCAAATTGATCTTCCAACTAGAAGTATTTTAAAATGTGAAGAAAACAACCGCGGGGGTACAAAATGACCCCAGGACGTACAGATAGGGTTAAGCTTTCTGTGTTCATGTTACCTGTGCCCGACTGGACTGTACACTTCTTTCACTCCACCATGACTGGAAAGTCAGTGAATCTAATCACGTAAACCTCCCAAATTAATTTGTCTGTGTCAGTTTACACTAGACCACTCATTTTCATAATGCCACTTCGACACTGATTAATCTTCGAGAGTGGGCGGCAGGTTGGTGGGTACTTTGGTATGGTTTCTCCTTTTTATCCAATTCAAACATCTATCGCCCTGATATTTCCTCCCTCTTTTTGGTGTTTGTTATTCTCTTGTAACTATTACTAACACTTCTAATCTTCGGCACTTATATATATATGACCTTATCGTGTTGCAGGTGCTGTAAAAACTCTTCTGCTAAATCTAATCTTTGAGTACCGGTACATATTGCTCTAAATAGGGTGGGAGAAAATGAGAGACGGACTCCAAAACACTGGACATTGCAGAATCCATCGTTTTAAGAGGCTTGTCTTACTTACAAGTAGGAAGCTGAATGATGAGAGAATTTCTTTCGAGTATTGCAGATTTTTGTAAGTAGTCATGTATTTTAGAGAAACACAGCATCATGGTCATAACGCAATTGGGGAAAGTCATGTATGTGTCACGATGCAGTGGAATCGGACGCTCGTGAAATTTGGGGCATATGAAGTTATTGGTATCATCCTAAACCTTGTTCATTTTTCTTGCTTTTGGTAAAAATAAAGACCATCTATCTTGAACTTGAAAAGAAATTGAGAAATTTGCGATTGTCGCAGGTGGGGGTTGCCTAGTGTCAGAAGTAAAATAAGCGAGAAAATGGCTGCCAAAGTTCGGTGACGTCTGAAGCTGGAAACTGCAATTTTACATTTTTTGTGTCATTGATCAATGGATTTCAGTAAAATCTACACAGAAATTAATGTTTTTAAATGGACATAAAATGTGTTGAGCCAAAATAAGAAAAAAAACAACTGCACAACAGTAAGAAAAAGGCAGATTTCTTTGATTTAATTATTTTGACAAGCGCCTGATTTCACCATGATGCCTCAATTTGTTGTTTTGAGGAAACCTTATTAAAAAAAACAGTGCTCATGATTTTAGTTCACTAAATGAAAGCCTGGTTATATTATTATTAAGCATACGAAACAAGTAACGAGTATTTTTACCATACCATTTACTAGAAACCAGCAACTTTGTTATGACCATGATGGCAAAACTTTTCTAAACCGGAGCTTGTACTGCCATCTGTCGGACCAGATGGTTGATCTCCATTTCTTTCTGGTCCAGCCAGTCCTCATAGTTGACCCCGGCCTTTGAGCGGCCCAGACCCCGCAGGTACTGTCTCAAGGCGCCGTCGTGGTGCAGGGGTAGCATGCTGCTGGTGTCTGGCACAGTGGACGGGTTCTTCACCGGGGACGAGTGACGCGGCGACTTCTCCAGTCTCTCCTGTTCGCGCTGAGCCAACCACTTCTCATAGCCCAGCTTTTCCGTCTCTTCCTTTTTCCTGAGGATGAAAAAAACCCATTCCTTCTGTGTGAGCCATCAAGAAAAGATTGAAACCTAGGAATCTGCATCATCACAAGCTTTTGGTAATGGGTTGGGCTCATCATACGAAGAGAAGGGCAACAACCCCTCCCACCCACACACACACGCACAAAGACACAAAACCCCCTTCTGTCTCTTCCTTTTTCTGGGGGATGAAAAATCTTTTCTGTGTCAGCTATCAAGACAGGATAGAAACCTTGTAACGAACTATAAGAAACTGTCATAAATTGATTGGGCTCTTTATGCAAAGAAAGCTGAATCCATACACAACCCCCTGAATCTCCATGTAGCCCTCAATAAATCTTTAAAAAAAATTGTTTTCAGGTGATTATCTTACATATTATAAGATGCCAAAATTTTCAATTGAAATTCTCTTAAAACAAGGGTGATGACATTTAAGACACTTTTGTTTTCATGGGTCAGAGCGATGTCAAACAGAAACTAATCAGCTAAACCCTGAAGCTCACCTTGGTGCCATCTATTTGATATATCTAGAACATGGTAGAAGAGGTCCTTGGCTGCTGCCCAATACACACCATGGAAAACAATAATATATCAGTAGTTATGTTGTAGCCAAATTTTCAACCCTGCCTAATGCAAAGTGATGGTTGTAAGATGTTGGCAGGTATTACTTGCAATAATTTGACGGACAATTGTATGGTTGGGGTTTGATTTCTGACAAAGCCTTTAACCACACAGAATATATTCACCCTGAGTTCACAAAGCAGAGAATGGGAGAGGTGGATTTGAATATGGTCAGAGACAGTAATAAAAAAACCTGAAAATAACACTTCAGAACTGAACGATGTTGGTTTAGTCCGTTTAGCCTAATAGTTAGGCCACCGGACCTATAATTGTGAAATTGTGAGTCGAGGGGTTTGAGTTTGAGCCTCAGCTTAAGGTCTAACGTTGTCTCCTTGGGAAAGGCACTTAAAACTTATTTCCAATTTTGTTCAGTCCTTTTCAAGACGGATGTTGAACTCAGAGGTCCCCCCTCCTAAATAATCTTAAAGAGGTAATAGGGGAGTTAAACCTATACCATTTACTTAAGAATCAAACAGGCTGTTATTTGGTTTATCCCCACTGGGCAGAGAAAGAATTGGGAATTGGAGAACAAAGAGAAGGGAGAGATGATAGGCTAGTCTGATCAAAATTTCTATTGTCCAAACAAACCCTTTTCTAAACAATGTTAATAGGTTTAGGCCTTTGAACAGTTATAATTCCTGTCTAATTTAGAAGTAGGTGATCTCTGCAGTATGTTTAGTTATAATAGTTATATGACCATTTCCTTACACTCGCAATTTCTTATCATCAAAGAACTGACAGACAGTGAAAAAACTTCACAAATTCTATTACTCACCTCTCTTCCTCCTCCAATTTCTTTTTCATGTCTTCTTCATCCTGGATTTTCTTCTCCAGGGCAATCTTTCTCTCAATCTCTCTCTGTTTTTCCAGCCATTCAGCATATGTCAAAGGTCTCTTCAAGCTGAAAGTCATAAATTTTAAATAATCAAAGAACCCATACAACTTGACATGGGTTGCACATCTGATTTGAAGTACAAGGTTTGTTCTCTAAGCTTTCTCATATTAATTCCAAAGTAAACACAAAGCCATGGATAGTATTTATTGTGCCCCCTCAAAAAAAAAAAAGTGAGTGGTGTGGTGGTGAATAAGACTTGCTATCTCACAATGTCATAGAAAGAAATGATGATGATGATGATGATGATGATGATGATGATGATGATGATGATGATGATGATGAGGAGGAGGGGAGGGGGAGGGGGAGGGGGAGAGGGAGGAGAAAGAAAAAAAAGAGTAAATATGTGGGAAAATATGGCATTAAAGGTTGAGGTGACACTATTACTGGTAACCAAAGAAATTTTTGTATCCCAATATCACCATCAAATTAAAGAACACAGGATTCACAAGCATTCAATGTAAACCACCCTTTAATTAACAGAAAGAATTACTTTTATTAAGTAAAAAAAAAAGTCCCACTATGGAACCAAAAATTCAATAGCAGGTCTTGTCCACAAGTACAACTCACTTCATTTTCTTCTTTTTATGAATGGGTGGTAGAGAAACTCCGGTCTCTGTAGGAACAAAACATGTGAACATTCAGGATTAATTTACAAACAAAAGAAAGGTTTTGTGACAAAACATTTTATATACAAAAAGTGAAAAATGTAGGAAAAGCTGACCATTATTTGATTTTGTACAGCCCTGTAAACCGTATATATAAAAGACTGAATTAAAACAGTGTAAAATCATAGGTGTCAGCATCTTTCAGTGTTCTGATAACCCCACATAAACTAATCTATAGATTGTATTTTGAAATATGGACCCATGGCTTTACATTCCAGAATAGTATATCAACAACATTTCACTGCCATGGTGATAAGATCGGATAACTACAAAATTTTCGATTTTGCTTTTTTTTAACGAAATGTTTCCCACTAAGCATGTTTCATATTCAAATAAACAACCAAAAGTTGACTTGTTTAACATTCACAGTATGAAAATCGGATTACTCTAAGTCGTCCTTTTAATAAATCAGTTGTTTTTTTCTCCTGAAAAATTTGCCCGAATGTCACTTCGCCTAAAATTTCAGAATAAAATACCAACAACATTTCATTGCCATGATGATAAGATCGGATAACCACAAATTTTTTTATTTTGCTTTTTTCACGAAAAGTATTTCACAAAGCATGTTTCATAAGCTGCTTAAAAAAGGTATTTTCAAATAAACAACCAAAAGAGGACTTTTCTAACAGTATGAAAATCGGATAGCTCTAAGCAGATTTTTTCTTCTCCTGAAAAATTTACCCGATGTTACTTATCCAATCTTATCAGGACGGCAACGATGATTTATTTTTAAAATGGATCTATGCTAAGCTTACCATCAGGGAAGTAGTCGTCTAGCTCAGAGGCATTGCTGTCAGGCGAGTCACGGAAAAATGTTGCATTTCTGATGTGCTTCCTCACTATAGAAGGATGCTTGCCTCCTTTGGGAGCACTGAGAGCCGTGCCTTCAAACTCTCCAGGCTTGAGTATTTTCTGGACGTAGATCTGAGCTGAAGCACCTCGTTTCCAGACAGGGAAACTGGAGTCATGGTACTGGTGGGCAAACAGAGGAACCTGGGGACGACAACAGATGGGAAAGATTCTTGTAAAAGTTCTCCCATTGACTCTGTTCAGAAGACGGACTGCTTCCACTCTGCCAGTCAGGGTCCACCCTGGTCGAATAGAACACAGCAGTCCAGCAAAAAGATTGATATTCTTACTAAAAAAAACAACTTGTTCCCAATGTGAGAATCAAACTTCTATTTTTTTAAACAAATAAATATGGCAGAGTCTATTCATTACATCTCATATGCTGTGTAATTTGACAGAGTTGTTGTAGATGTGATCACCTATCCATGGCAAGGTACGGCCTATTATTAATTGGGTTGACTTGTTTGAGAGTCCAACCCAACTCTTTATCCATCCAATATGCATACCTCTGAACTTGGACCCAAGACTTCAAAGACCCATATAAATATTTATATAAGAAAAAAGAAAGGAAAATTTAAGAATTACGGTTGATCCTTCACTAGCGACTATCTGTCCAAGACAATTAGCTGTACAAACATCCGCTTCCCACTTCCTTCTTGTTCTTTTTTAATTAAAAAAAATATTATAATGACACTGTCCATGATATCCACCTATCTAAAACAGCCACTTCTCTTATCAACAATAAGAGGTCATCTTGGACCATTTCGTCTGTAATAATTACAGAACATCAGCTTGAGTTAGCATGTATACAACAATTTGTTGGAAAAGGGATGTGGTTCATGATTCATAATAAGAATATTCCTTCACAATTATGTCTTTAGAAATTTTGTGCATAAAAAGAATCTAACAAGCTTATGAGACCAATAGTTTATAAAGTAGGCCTGCCTACCAAAATAACATTCACAAGGCAATAGATCTAGTTATTCACAATAATGAAACAGTATGCAGCAACAATATTGCTTTTAATTACACATGACAAAGTAAAAAACATACCTCAAACATGTCTAACTTCTCAAATCTTTCAAGGGCCTCAACACTTCAACTGAAATGGCCTCTTTAACAAAGGACTTTAGGTAGAGATCTATGCATACTTTTCTAGACAAAAGTTACCCCTCTTCCCCTTCCCAATATCCTTCATTTGTAAAATACATTTCACAACATCGCTTGAATCTTAGTCCAGACAATGCACAGATGAAAGGTCACTCAAAGTCACAGTCAAAGATTCAAAAACACATGAAACCATTCATTATAAAGCTCTTTTCAAGGATAGAGTAGATATGATTATAATATACAGAGTCGAAAATGTAATACGAGGTAGATATAAAACAGCCCTTTTCATTTTTGAACTCAGAGGCAGTCTCACAAATTGTAAAATAATAGTCCAAGATCATAAATCTGTACACTTTACAACAATAATGTCTCTAGAAAGAGATAACATAAAAAAAAACAGGTGTCAAAGTGGTTGGCTGTAAAATTTGAACATTTTGCTTTCTCTGAATAAACAACAGAAGAATAGATTTTTATGAGAAAATATTCTTAACAAATTAGCTTAAATTTTGAAATTATTGTGTCAAGAATATTTAAAGTTAAATGATACTGATTACTAATGCATTAATAGTATAATTTGTAGATCAAATGTTCTAAAAGATTTACTTGATGACGTCTAAAAGTTAAAATTTTGTTTTTAGGTAAAGAATAAGCGCCATACTTCAGCTCCTTCCAACAGAAAGCAATTTCATGTTCTGTACTTGATCAATAATAAAAAAAATCATAAGCAATAATAGTAGTGGAAATGATTACGAGAAGTAGTTGATGAAGAAATTTTTTTAAGATAACAAAAAAAGTGAAATATTGTACTATGTATTCAAAAGCTTGAACCTGACAACAAGAAATATAGGCCTAATATAGCGCATCAGAACACAGGTATTGAATGATGTTTAAAACAATACCAAAAGCTATTTTAAGCAAACTAAAAATAATGCAAAAATATGGGAACAAATTCGATCATTATATTATGCATTATATGAAACTGCGAATTAAACAAAGCTTCAAGAAAAGACAAAATAAAAGTTAAAAAACCCAATCACAGTAAGGCAGAAACTGAGTGTTTTGATCTTTCTGATTTCTCAAAAAATGAGTGATAACAGATTGGGGAAGAAAAGATACATGTACAACAATATATCATTTTTGTCTCAGTGCTTTCATCCGAAAGAGACATCAAAAGAAGACTAACAGTTTTATAAAAAGAGCAATAATATTGTAATTTATTCCCTTTGCAACTGCAGATTATCACAGGGCATTGCAATAATTGGCAGTTTTCTCTGAAAGTTTAAAATACTTTAAATAGAGATCAACTCTATCAAAAACAACCATCTGCACAAAAATATTCAAAAATTGTGCTCGGCTAAAATATTCTTTTAGCTAGGCCATTGATGCTGTTCATGTTTAGAGATCACCTAATTCAAGGGACCGTTCACAAATGACGTCAGCTAAAATTTGGCCAAAAATCCCTCCCCGCCTTGCATCTTCTGTCAATCCCCCCCCGTTTGCATCTTCTGTCATTTTTTTCATCCCCCCCGCCCCAGTTGACGTCAACCAAATTGTACATGTACATTTAGATAGAACCCGTTCAGGATGAATTTTACATACTTACACCTTTGATCTTTATTTTAAGTAAAAAATCCCCAGCTAACAACTATTGTTTATTAAAGAATACAACAAAGAAATACCTGAACTGTCAAATTATTTATTAACAGCTTCAATCAATCAGAATAATTAACTGCGTTAATTTTAGGCACAGAAAATATGGTCTGTAATATTTTTTCTTCCTTTCTTTTCTTCCCCCCCCCCCCAACCTTTTAGAGCATCATGGGTTCACTGATCCCCCTTCCCCCTCTAAGCTGACGTCATTTGGGAATGGTCCCTTATGTTCAAAGAAAAAGAGACGTGTTCACCTGTCGTACAAGAAAGAGTAAGCGGCAAAAGTTGAAAATGCAGTGCTTTCACAGATATTGACGTGGAGTGAACAATAAAAAATCAAAAAGTGATTCATGAGATGAAAATCGATTACACAATGCTTCAAGCCCCTTTTCCACATTTAAAACAGCACCTCATAGGTGAGTTCTCTTTGTTTTGAAAGAAAAGCGCAGCTCTGTGTTTTAGAATATAAGGTTCTCATATCAGACTATGAGCCATACCATACAACGTTTTAATTTTTTTTAAAATCAACAACTGAAAAACTTACCTTTCTTTGTCCTTCATACATGAGAGAGTGACCCTAAAATGAATTGTGTCCACAAACTGTATTTGAGAATATCTACACAAAATATTTGTTTAGCTGCATGTTGTGACAAGTCAACAGTGTAAAGGTAAGATTTTTCCTAGATTTTAAAAAATAAATAATATGAAGAAGCAGCTTATAAATGTCTACAGTCGGTTGTGGCGCTTGTCACTCAGTTCAATCAAAGTTGAAACGCTGATAAACCTAATTGGTTAACAACATAAGCCAGTCTGATCCTATCTCGTTAGATCACACTATCAAAGTGTGCATGTATATGATCATAAACAAAAAAGGTTTAATTTTCTCATCCAACATCACCTTTTGAAGAGTAGTCCATTTGAGCTCTGCAAATCTCACTTTTATTTCCATCATTCTCTCAACAATGTAAAATGATTTAGAGCTATGCCAGCATGTGTTTTATGTAGTTATATTGCAAGGTCTTTAATTTTTTTTTCTTCTACACTCCTTTGTCCTCAGACAATATCTTTAATTTATGATCATTTAAGGTTTCAACAGAGCATAAAAAATAATTTTTCTTTCCTTTTGTGATACTAAATAGTTTTCTTGTGAATCAAAGCTCACTCGTATCTGTTTATTGTTGGTTTTTTTCCAGCTTATTCTGAGGAGGGCTCTGTGAAACCATAGTTCATTAAGCATTGGTGCTAATTTGTTTGTAATCTTTCTGTATCTTTCTCAGCATCCATTCCTAGGCTCCACTGGACATCTCAATATAAAAAAATGCGAGTACATGTCATTTCACAACTTTTTGGCTTTCGGGGATGTCTTGATACATCAGCTGTCTGACTTCAACGTCCTCAACAGTTTTGTCAAAAGAATTCAGTGGAATCCCAAAATAGTGTGAAAAATCATTTATGTATACCATGGCCCAACACTAGCGAAGATAAAACTGCCATGGTGATTATAATCAATATATATTACAAACTAACCAAGTATAGAACCTTAGTAAATTTTACACAGTCCATACTTTAAAAAATCATGAAAGAATTGAGAGACAAAGCGTGACTGGACAAAACACATCATGAGAGGTTGTCAGCATGATTTATAGGGAAAAGACCTAGCAAGAGAGGGAAAAGCAAACCCACTCATGCAAAGATCCCATCCCTCATCAAATATGAATATATATATATCTAAACAGTGATGGGAAAGTTTTCAGCGACAAAAAGGGAAAAAATTTGCTTTAATTACCTCAAAAGGATAGTGGAGTCGGCATAATATTATAACCACACAGCAGTACATGGTATTGAATTGAAAGACAAAAACATATCACTGAACAAATACCAACAACATTCGGCTCAGAGATTAGAATCTGTTTCTCAAAACCGCTGCAAATGAACACGCCATTTCTGGAGAAGACGCAACAGCCTTCCAACAAGATGTATCTCATTGTCAGGCAGGCCTTCATCCAAAATCATCTCACTCAAGGACTGAATCTCTCCTACACAGAGTCATAGATCTATGTACGTCCCAAAACAGAAGAGACAACATGATATGTTGCAGTTGAGAAGTTGGGTAGGACAAGTAAGATGACAGCAGCTATCATCATCCTCATTATCACCATCATCATCATCATCATCATCATCATCATCATCATCATCATCATCATCATCATCATCATCATCATCATCGTCTTCATCAAATGCCAAACAATTTTCCTTTTTCTCGTTTTGTTTTCCTTGAAGCATAACAACTTGTACCATGTTGGCACATTTTTATGCAACTTACAAATTATACTGGCATCAAATCAGGACACGAGACGAAAAAAAAAAGAAGACAGCAGCTACATCATGTCAGGAAGAGATAATGTCAATGGCAACATTGAACTGATAAAAGAAAGAGAAAAAACAGAGCACACCAGAACACCCACTAACCACCCACACCTCATAAAAGATACAAAGCCCTGTGCAATTCACAACCACGCCATAGTCTATGCTAATACTTTAAAGCAATCCATGGCACTAAAAAGACTGGGGAAAAAAAGGTTGATGTTTAGTCAAAGCAGGCGGCAAAATGTTCAGTTTGCCCACAAAATAAGATACTGAAACTATAAAAAAAAAATTGTTATAACTTTTTAAAGAAAAAAAATGTAACCATTCTTCAACACACTGTTAACCAGTTTCAAAGAAGGAATGAAGCACTACAGACTGCAGATTTTTAAAAAAAATGTTAGGCGTTTCACACCCCCATCTACACAATTTAGATTATTTACTCAACTTTTGTGAAAATAGCTGAAAATCCATGCGCCACGGTCTCGCCAACATATTATGAATATCAATTTTAAACTCAATGGGTGTACATAGAGAGATATGACAAACAAACAAAAACAATGGGTGTACATAGAGAGAAATGACAAACATTTAAAGGAAAATAGATAAGATGTTCTTAACATGACAGAACCTTACCCAGCGTGTTTTTTTTTTTCAACTATAGATTCTCCTTGATCTCAATAATGGAATAGCGGATCAGGATCAAAATACCGGAAATACCAGAAAAAAAATGGAAAAGTGACATCCCTGTATTTAGGAGGCAGGCTTCTGGTCCTGCCTGTCAGGACCAGCCCGAGCTGAGAGGGACACAACATCCCAGCAGAAAGACAGAGATAGGCCTACTCGATTAAAATTTCTCCCCACTTGGGAATCAAGCACAGGTCTCCTACATGTGACAGCTAAGTGCTTAACCGCAACACCACAGATGCCGGAGCAGACCGCTGAGCTTCTCACACGACTTATAAAATAAGTCACATTTGTGAATGTTCCTAGAGGTGCACAGGCAAAAAAAACCCTGCCTAAACGCTACCCACTTGCTTGTAAATATTCTATTACCGTACTGACATTAACACACAATGAAACAATTAGGTAATGTGTATTATTAACTCTATAATCTCGAGTGGACAAAGGGAGCATCCAGTGAAAGTTGCCCAGTCCACGGGTGGTGGTCCCAGCTTCTGGTCAGATCAAACGGTGCATGAAGCATAACTGCCAATGCAATCTCTTACGAATCTGAATATATTTATTTTCACTCAGAAGTGTTAGAGAAGTGTATATATTACTTCCGCTTTCACTTTGACACAGTTTTAGCCATTTTAATAATATTTTTCGTGTATACCCCATTACATGTATCATGCGATCTGGAAAAAATTGCGTCAAAACATGGAAAACATTTCTGGGGTTAAAGAGGTTTAAGACAAAGTTAAAATGCCAAAATATAGGCTAATTAATCCAAAGAAAATAAATTGCTTCCAATAAAATCAGATTGTATTAGAAAAAGTGCGTGAAATTTGAAAGCAATTGTATTTCAGAATTATTTAGAAAAAACATTAAGTTTACTTATAGCTATGTAGACATCAAGCAGTCAGCACCAACTGAAAATATTAGATCGTTACGAATATTTTAAGAACTCAAAATTTCTAAAAGAATTAAGAAAAATAAGTAGTGGCAAAAAACTAACACAGCTCTCTATGTAACTAAAACTTGTCTTTCAAAGCAGATGAACAAGGGCCGACTCACAGATTTGTAATACTTTGCCGAGTGACTGCGACGCACTTGTCTCTGACTTTGACTTTTGAGTTCCTGCTTTGCTCTCTTTTCTTTTTGACTCCTTGTCATATTTTGATTTTGAGATTCCTGTCCCTTCCTGGGTCTTTGAGTATTCTGTCCTGTGGCTTTGTCTGCATGCGACTCATTCACTTTTGGTGTTTCAACTGTCTGTTCTGCTTTGTATATTTCATGTTCACTTTTTGCATTTTTACAATCTTTCTTCAAACTCACTGATTGGAGTCCCTGCTGTGGACTTTGCTGATCGGGTTTTTGTAAGAGTGAACTTTTTTGTATTGGTTCTCCCTGCTTATGACTCTGTTGCTTAAGTTTACCACTCAAATCCAGTTTCAAGGACTCTTTCTTACCAGGTGTCTGATGAATGTAATATAAATAAAACAAGAACTCACTTCTGGTCATCTTAATACAAATGAAGTCTTTTAGCATTCTGTATTTTTGGGTTAAATGAAGATGGGCAGGTTTATGATGAATGCATACAAATTAAATAATTATATGTACCTAATACAGACAGTCGTATGAGTGAATGTAAGGACACACCACAGCAAATCATTTGTGTTTGTGCCTGTCAACATGTCAAACCTAAATTGTCCATGTATTCTTCAGAAATAAAACATTCAAGCATATAGAAATAAAAAATCCCCACCCCCTCCATGCTCAAAATTGAAGGAAAAATAGAATTAAAAAAACAACAAAATACAGGAATAACCCCCTCCTGGACACACATTAAGCGGAACCAATAAATTGGCAAAAAAATATTATTAATCCGCAGACAGGAAAAAGAGGCTAAAACAGCACCTGGACATGGATGGATGGTGCCTCTTTAAATAAATCATTGATGGTCAAGGTCAAGGTCCTGGACACACAAATCCTCCCCCCCCCTCCCCCACACACATGAAAACACACCATTGGAAAAAAAATAATTAAAAAATGAAAGAATACCCCAAGCTCCCACCCCCAGAGTAAAGAAAAATAAAACAAAATATGGCACCAATACCCCCCCTCCCTTACTAGACTACCCCCCACTCCCCCCCCACACACACACTTTTACAGTTCACAGGCCAACTGTCTAATTCATATCAACTTAAGAAGTTACATAGCTAGATTTTGAGAACAAACAACACAATATGAATTATAACAAAGCATCCCCAGAGTAACAAAATGTGTAAAATTGAAGAGAAAAACTTCAATATCCCCCCCTCAAGAACAAAAGAGAAAAAAAAACCGAGTACAAACGCAAGCCTTCTGGTAGATCACACCTGTTCCAAAAATTCTGGTAGATCACACCTGTTCCAAAAATTGTGATAAATAATTCACTATGACCAGGAGATTGATTTTTTTTTATCAAAGTGTCATACAGTCAAAGAACAGGTCTGTGGTAAAACATTTCATCACTATAATTTTGCAGGACTTGACACAAATTACTTTCTCAAAACAAGTTATTGTTTTGAAATTGACATAAAAGGTGTTCAGCAAAAAAAACAAAAAGAAGAAGAAACACCAGGAGGAAAAATGTCGGTTTCTTAGATTTCATTCATTTTGATGAGAGCTCTGATTTCCCCAAGATGACACATAACTGTAGAGAACTCATGTGCTAAATATTTTCCAGCACTTCAAAAGCCAGTACCTTTGAGGAAGCATATCAATGTTAAAGCACCCCTCCCACACACACACATACATACTCACTCACACACACACACACACACACACACACACTCAGAAACTACATACACACACACACACACTCAGAAACTACATACACACACACACATTGACAAACACATCTCTCTTTATAAAAAGTTTTCTAGACATCAATCTGTTACAGATTAAAAATTAAAAAGTGAATCCTCCACTATACCTTTTTCGAAGGCTTTACATCTTTAGCTCTCTCCTGCCACTGGAATTGGAAGAGGTAGCGGGAACAAACTTTGCTGCCAAATCTCTCAGCCACTGATAAGGCTGTGTTCCCATTTTGATCTTCAGCATTGATGTCAGCACCTGATGTGGATGAAGAAAGGGTTTTTTGCTATTGTTGGATAATACAACAGTTGCAAGATTTAAAAAATTCAAGTAAGATATTTTCCAGAAGGTGTTTACTGCCCCGATGAACTGAATCTGAAGCAAAATCAGGAGGTACAAAGATTGCGGACACTGGATATGTAGCTTGTCTCTTATTGTAACACAGTTTTATTGCATGAGGTCCTTTCAAAACAGTTTGAATTGCACTCTGAACAGCTCTCAGTCATGTTTCAAAACACCTGTTACAAGATTTTCTATTCACTTCTTCTTTACTTTATTTTTCTGATAGGGGCCATCTGAGTTTGAGCTCTTTGGCCTGTCTCTTCACTTCTGAACATCTATAAAAGATTGGTTGTATATAATGTCTAAACTAAAACACATATATAATAAGTCATATATAAGTATAATGTTTGGATAGATGATAAGATAAGATAAGAAACATCTTCATTGTCCAGATCCTGGCACCAAACCAACGTGCCAGGACCTAGACAATAAAGATGTATTTTATCTTATCTTATCTTAACCTATCATCTACCCCAACATTATCGACTCTTATTATATTTATATTGAAATATTGTTTCCACAAAAATCAGTACCTGGTAACACTGTAGTAACCACACCACAGTAAATTGATGAATACTATTTATACTGTGCAATGTTGCATTACATTCAAGATCACAGGGTTCAAATATCTGTCGGTAGACTAACAAGCAAAAAGAGCGAAATTCTGTACCTGACCTTTGACCTCATGGTCATTCTCCCACAACTTTGAAAATTCTCTAATTCTAATGGCAAAAAAGTTGTCGACAAAGTTGACAGTAATCTATAGGCAATTACTATTTTTCACTTTTAAGTCAGTAGGTCTATGACTACAGCCTGTCTTCATGTCACCATGAAATACGAAAACTGAAAGGCATTGAGACAAAACTAGGGGACATAAACTGAGGCACTGGGGAAACATGGTCCTTCACTTTCCCTCAGAAAAAGGCACCAAGCATACAGTATTGTATAGTAACACATCAAGACTTGGGGAAAAGTAACATTCTGTCAGTGCTATTAAAAAATAGCTTTGTCAAATTGAAGTAGTTTTTGCTTTAGGTAAAAACTTGGGGGACACATTAACTCCCATAACCCTGAGTGGACGATGGGAGCGTCCAGTAAAACTCGCCCAGTCTCTGAGTTGACGGTCCCAGCATCCGACCAGATTGCAGGGTGCATAAAGCATTACAGCTAAAGCAATATTTAATGAATTCAAATAGATGTATTTTGATCCAGAAGTGTTAGATATGAATGTATAAACTACTTCCTCTTTCGCTTTGACATAATTTTACCCATTTTAAGAATTCTTTGCATATATTCCTTGTAACACGCTTTGCTTTACGAGATGTGGAAAAAATTCCGTTAAAACGTGGAAAAAGATTTTGAGGTTAAAGAGTTTTAAAAAATGCACATTAAATGATTAAATTTAGATCATAACTTTCCCAACTTTATAAAAATAGATCAGATGATTTAAAAAAAGACATCATGTAATTTTCAATATAGCGTTATCAGAGTACGATTTAAGTAAAGTCAATTGTAGTAGTCATAACTCACCATGTTGGAGCAGCGTGTTAACTAGTTCTCCATGTCCCCTTGCTGAGGCTAAGTGCAGGGGTGTCTTGCCAGTGGGTGTTGTTCTGTTTATCTCTGCACCTACAAAAATGTCACAAGGGGCTGTGAACATGCATTTAAGTTGTATCCTATTCAATAATTACAATCCAGTTTTTGCATTTGACCTGACTGATTACAAGATTTACTGTCTTCGTTAGGATCGGGCCAGGTGGATGAAGAACCCTGAAAACTTTCAAAACAACTGATACTCAAGAATGTCCCAAGAGGGATTTGAACCAAGGTCATTCGTACTATAGTCAATTTCAATATCAAAACATGAGCTGTTGAGGCTCCAACAACATATCATCTTACATCTAAGAAAATGTTATCTAAATTAAGAAATATCCAAACGACTGAGTAAATTATGGGAAGTATGGTAGCATCTTCTTTTCAGTTAAAACGAAAAAGAGAAAGTTTTCATTATAATGAAATACAAGTCTCCTACCTGTGGACATCACCTTCTCAGAAACAGTAAGTACCTCTTAAAAGAAAGCTTCAACTGCATTTATATTGGAAGGACGAATCCATAGCTGTCAACTTTTCAAAATAAAAAAACAGACTAGCTATGCACTGGGTCAAGATGGGGGGGAATGGCTAAGTAACCCCCCTTCAAACCCATCACAGACACTTTTCTGCATTCAATAAATTTAAGCTATTCAAAGTAGACTTGCAGTTAAATGTCTCTCCAACTGATTATGGGCTTGGTGCTCATTATTATTAACAAATCCGGTATCGAAAGATCAAATTTCTTCAGCATCAGCAATTAGTCTGTTAAGAGCAATCTAGATATCAGAGAATACATATTTTCAGATACGAAAATGGACTTCCATCCTCAGACCCTCAAAAACACTTTAAATATATTTTTATGTGAATCTGAAATATGAAATGCAAAATACCATTCTCAGCAAGATTTTCAAATAGTTGGAAATTAATTTAGATCCCTCTTAAATTACCAAACAATTTCAAGTTTGACTCCTCATAATATATATAATTATAGAATAATCGCTATAGAGCCTTTATGGAACTAGAGATAAGGAAGCATGGCTCTGGCAGGCAGAGGCCATGAAAGTTTCATATTAAAAAGAAGAAAGATCTTTCAAAATTGGGTTCCCAGAATACAACATTGAAAAAGATAACTGCGGTTTGCTTTTACATCTCTGGTACAATCAGGTTTTTTTTGGTGTAGATTCCCAATGTAGAGTGTTTATGTTAACCCTCCCCCCCCCCCCCCCCCCCCCCCCGCAAAAAAAGAGAAAGTATAGATGAACACAAAATCATAGCATCAAAATTTGTTCCTCAGCTCAACAAACCATTTTCAATGAGTCGAACTGCTAATTCTTCATGCCCTCTATGTGATGCAAGACAAAGAGCTATGAATGCTCGCTCTTCCAACCAGGCTTTTCTTGACCTCTTGGTCATGTAGTCGCTGGCCGGAGTGTGATAATCAGAGGGGTTCGTGACTCCCAGTCTAAATACCTGTTCAAAAAATATTTTAGAATTAATTAGAGATTGCTGTGAGCTACCAAGACTGTTCTTTCAAGCATTAATTATATATATCATTGACGCTCTGATGGAACCCCTTTTACTTGAATTTGGCGAAAAATCATCTTTTTGCAACAAACAATTCCCGATACCTTGATACACAATGTGTATAAATATTAAAACAGATTCAAAATTACATATGATTAAAAATACTCTTTAAATTCTGCTCGACTCTCGCTACCCACCACAAGCAAATCTGTTGAACATCGCTAATGTGATATCGTGAGGTTCCTCCAAGTGGTCACTTCCTTTACTGATTTCATTTGATGTGTTGATGGACAAAATATGTTCACCCATACAAAACGTATAATAGCTCACTAGTCGGCCATCGAGACATCATAAAACAACCCATAGTAAATGTTAAACATGTGCATTTTTTTAAAGAAAACCCAAAAATAGCGAGATTAGAATATGGAGCAACCACAGCTGTATGTTGCTTTGTTCTATCCTTGCTAACACCTTAGCGAGATTCAATGGAACAATGCTTGAGGCGGAAAACCTAGCTAATTAAAAGATGTTTTGTCACTAACTCAGATTGCTTAATAAGCCGCTCTGACAAAACACATTTTTTACAGGAATTTGTCTAAAGCCCCTCACAAGACTTTGACAGACTTTGAGTTAACATTAGCAATGTTAGACAGTTTTTCTTGTCTCTCTTGTAAAATTTTAAAATTTGAGTTTATGAGTTTCCAACAGAGTGATGACGATATAGCTGTCAATCTTTTTTTTTCTGTTAAAAAATAAAGGCACATAGCTACATAAAAAAAAAAAATACACAGTGATCCAAATAATACAGATTTTTTATTTAGAAGACTCAAAATTTTTTAATTCATCAACATAATATTAAGTTCACAAAACCTACAGCTTGATATACAAATTAAAAAAAAACCCTTTTCAGTACACTTTGTGCTGCTGTTCACACACACTTTTGTTTTTTTACTTTTCCTTTTAAAAGACTGCTATAGGCCTACCCAGGCCACAATAAACAGCCATATTTCTTTCAAATCCCTTTTCATATTACCACTTTTTAAATGTTATTGCGAAAACCTCATGACTTTAATGGACATCAGAAATCAGATTAGATGAACACATGCAAACCTCCAACTGTCCCACCTTCGTTAAATTTTCTTACATACTTGTTTGAATAGTCACAAAGTACAAGGTTATGGACAAAGGACATAAGCCTGTATCCCGCACGCCTAAGACATTGGACTGACAAATAAAAGTAGACAGGCTTGCTCACCAATCTAAAATTGTTAACAATTTGACTGTTTCGAGGAGGACTCCGTCATTTGCCATTTTGAAAAGATGGAGCCTTACACGATTCAGTTGAAATGCATAAATCAGATTAAAGTAATGTCAGCATTATTTCTTTGAGTGACTTTTTTTCCTTTCTGCATTCTACCCATTCATTTTGGAATATTTTCACACTGACTGTGTCAAATGAATAACAAGTAATACTTACCATCTATAAAGTGTCACTACAGGGTGGAATCAAGCGGGCATAAGTTTTTTCACATATGGAGTTATTGGTATCATCTGAAAGCTTGTATGTCTTGCTTTCGATGAAACAAATACCCATCCATCTTGAATAGATATGTGAGGCAGCGTGGTGGAATCAGGCTCTCGTCAATTTTTGGGCATGTAGAGTTATTGGTATCATCGTAAAGCTTGTTCACTTGTGTTTATTTGGATGAAAACAATATCCATTTATCTTGAATACAAGTCGAGATATTTGCGAATGAAGGAAGTGGGGGTCACCTGTTTTCAGAGGTAAAATTAATGAGAAAATGGTTTGAGCTAAAACAAAAATTCTATCACACTTGCCCTGCTGGCGGGAAAATTTCCGTTACTTCGATTTAATTCTTTTGACCAGCATCTGATTTCATCACAATGCCTCACATGTTTAAGAAATATTATTGAGTCTATAACTCCTTATGCAATTTGAAAACTCATATATGCCTGGAAGGAATATTCCTTCAAACATTCTTTCTGTTGAAGCAATAGGCATCTGTTGGCTATTTAAGTTGGTATTAGCACGAACAACTGTTCAAAAAGTTTCAAAGCATACCAACCCAATCAATTTCATCAGCAACAATAGCTTCAATCAGCTCTTGATACATGGGCCAGACCCTGAGCTGTACCGTGCTACCTGGTACAAAGTCATTGCCTCGGATCGTAGTGTGATCCTGTAGTTCTCCTGGAACGGTGACAAGATAATTTTGAATAACTTATTGTGATATATCATAGCTCTTGGCTAATTATACTCCAAAGCATGTCTTCATCCTAGAAATTTACTTATATAATGAGGAAATCTTAAAGTAAAAACACAAAACTGATGCTACTTATGAAAAAAACCCATTGCACCATCATATCTTTGTGACATGGTCATCGAATATATACCATCTCGGCCTTTAAGATAGGTGACGAAAAGACTTTTAAGACCTGTCCAAAGTAAAAGTCAGAGACTCTGAGGGAGAGCTTTTTCACACCACGCCCCCTTCTTGTGGAACGCTTTACCAGCTCATCTACGGGAGTCCACCACTTTATCAAAATTTAAATCAGCACTTAAAACGTATTAGTTTCAGTCCAGCTTCAATCTGTAATTTCCGACATTCCCAATACAAATATTATTATGTTCTCTCAGTATCTATTATGTTCTCTCAGTATCGTTTATTCATGCTGTTCTGTTCTGTAAGAATTTATGACTGTGTGAATTCATCAATGTGTGCGAATGTGTCTAGGTAAGCTTTGTAGGATTGTCTTTACTCAAGGATGTACTGGAGAGAGAGAGAGAGAGAGAGAGAGAGAGAGAGAGAGAGAGAGAGAGAGAGAAAGAGGATTACTATAGGATCTGTGCGCTTCATATGTCCTTTGTATTATTGTACAGCACATTGAGCACTTCTTTGTCAGTGGAAATGCGCTATATAAATGCAATTTATTATATTATTATAAAAGACGAGTGGCCAAAAGAAACCGTTTTTCAATCAATGCCCTGATTGCAGCTTACATTTTTATGTAAACTTAGGCAGAGAGTGATTTTTCAACCACCAATTACACAACTGAAAAGAATAAAGAAATAGATCCCCTCCCCTCCCCAAACAATTCTAATGTTCATCATTAATAGTAATTCAATATCTGGATAATCACTGATTGGCCTTGGGATAGCACCTGATGAAAAATTGTTTTCCTTTTTACGATGAAACGAAAATAAAAGTAATAAACGTGGTGCTTTCCGAAATCATTAACATCTGTTTTGTAAAGCTGTGAACTTAGGCCACTGTCCTGATTTTTTAAATAGAAAAAGCCTGATTTAATAAAATCTTCATTCAATACGTGTCCTCCATAACTGACAGAAGAAATTCTAAAGAGGCATTCTAGTTGTATACACTTTCTCACTGTGCAACTAATGGTTCCTCGTCATTTTTTCATATGTTCATACATCAATCCGGAATCAAATACATTAAACTGATTGGTCAGCTCGAAAGAAAAGTGGGTTAATAAAGCAAAGCGAAATTATGAATGAAAAATATTACACTTACCATCATCGAGGTAGCTCAGTCTTTGAATGGTAACTGGAATTCCAGTTGCAAACTCCAAGTCATCTTTTAGCTGTGCTACTGTCATGTCATTATAAACATCATCCACACTAAAGACTTCCTCAGTTGGTGCAACAATGACTCGAATGGAAAATGCATCAGGACGTCTCTTGTATTTCTTAGGCTTATCCCTTCCTATCTTCAGCTTTCCTGCCTTGCTGGGTTTACTCATTTTTCACAGCTTAAAATGATTACTAGATCTAGATCTAGAGGCCTAGCCTAAACCCCAAACAAACAAAAAATGGAAGACCCACTCACACTGGCCAGACAATCAGATAATCATAATGGAATAGTTACTTGACGGGGATACTGTTAAAATATTCAGTTCACATGATTTTAAAAGACACGTCGTGCCATAAAGTGTGAGTTCCATATGAGAATACTGGTTCATTGATTACAACAATCAGCTCAATCACAATCAGATTAAAATAATTGGTTGATTACAAAGGCAAAGCAAACACCAAGTTTTGACAAAAGTCTTCACATAATATACGTCAGAAGAGAATGGAAAAATCTATTCTCAATATTAAACTCTATTATAAGGCGAGACCAATAATTTACATTGATAGGTTTGGTTTGAGACGAAAAGAGATAACTCAAACAAGTTTGGTCGCCATATTGTTTACGCTGCCAAGGAAGTGATAGAAGTCCGTGCCTATTCTCAAGTATTTTTTGGTAAATAAAATCAGTGTAGCATCAACTTGACAAGTTGGAAGAAAGGCATAAGCAAAATCAAATAGTTGACTTAGAATACATTTTGTTTTGTAATTATCCTTTCCTGTCCAGTTCATAATAATATTTTTTTGTGGCGAGACTGTACTTTTGATTCGGCATTTGAGCTTCCGGTGAAAGGCGAAGGTCGAACACTCAACAGTAGAAGAGTGATCCGTTATATTTGAGACGATGTTGTCGGCAGTCTGCAAGTCTTTAGTTTCTTCTACGGTAAGCTTACACTTGCTTAAAGAATGTATTCTAGCAACTATCTCATTCCGTGTCTGTAATATTATTGAAGTTTAGATCTTAATGGGCATTGACCAAATGCACCTGAAGCTGTAATTCGGTCCTCGGTCTGAGTCTGACTGATCCTGCCTGGGCCTGGGGTGGGTTGCCGCTGCGTTGTTGAGCTACCCTACAAACTGAACTACAACAGTAGCCCAAGGACTACCGCTGGCTCTTTTAACCCGGTTTACCCCAATTGAAGTGATGCTGTAGAGAACAAAGTCTGTTTATGTTACTTTCATTTTGGTGACTTGAATGTTAGGCTCCTAAAAAGTCTACAAATGTTAAGTTGGTAATAGACAGGGCAAGGCGATTTAAAAGATTCCTGCGTTTAATTCCGATATGCGTTTTTCATAGCCTCAGACATGTTTCGCTTTGGTCCCTGACCCTGACCTTAACCCTAACCCTGAAAAATGCACATCAGAATTCAACGCGGGAATCTTAACTATCCCAGGTAATGTAGTAATACAGCGGAAATAGGCTATTCGTCAGTAAATCAGTAAATTTAAATGCAATGTTTGTGGGGGGAGAGAGGGGGGGGGGGGGCACTCCTGTACAATTGCGGTCCCGTTCAATTGCGGTCCCGTTTAGGGATACTTGTTTTGACCCTACCAACGATTACTTCTGGTTCTAAACGATTAATTTTTGATGCGCGTGCCGATAAGCCTATGGAGAGATAGCCAATAAAACCTAATAATTGCAAAACATCAAATTATCGTCGTCGATACCGAATATTTAAATCAGTATTGACTTAGTGATTTATTGCTAGATCTAACGGGACCGCAATTGTACAGGAGTGCCGGGGGGGAGTTGCTTTATTATGATATAAAACAAATCTTTCTCGTTTGCTGGGTGGTAACAGAGATGTGAGTAATTATGTAAGGGAACTAGTAAAGTCAACACAACTGAAAAATATGTAACGAGTTCACCGAAAAAAAAGTATCCAGATAACAGAAAACTTGTCACACCACCTCCACCAGCCATCTTAGATTTATTTTATTGCATACAGTAAGGAACATGATGGAAATTTTTAACAGGTTTTTATATATATATATATTGCACCCCAAAAATGTGTCCCGTTTTCTCCTTAAAATGTTGAAACAGAAAGGTAAACACTGTAGATTTTGATTGAATAAACTCTGGTTTTGTATTTTAAAAATATTATTAACTTAAAGGTTAACATGTGTGGATTTGCCTGCCAATCTACGGTGAACTTGCCACACATTTTTCACAAGTTCAAGTATGTGATGAGATAACTGTGATGAGATCACTGGAGGTATGTGACGAGTTAACTCACTGGAAGCCTTAAAAATACCCTTTTAGACTTATAAACAGCAGGCTCATTCAGTTTGGGTTTCCATTGGTGCAGTTCCAGGCCTTTCAGAGTCTCTGTCTCATTTTGTTCTATTTAAAAAGATATAATACAAACAAGCCGCAGAATAAAGCAAGATAAAAAGAATCATTCATTGTACTCCATATTTTTAAAATATGTTCACTTAAGTTGTGTGCTTACCACCCCCCACGCCCACAGCTTTACCTTGCCAACACACCGATATCTTTGTTTTAGGCTCGACAGCTCCGGGCTTTCCATCGGCCGGCAGCTGCTTGCAGTGATAAATTGTTTGTGGTGAGTTCAATTTTTTTAAAATACAACATAGATGGTATATTGAAATTAGTTTCGTAAGTTGTTACAGTTGTGTTTTATTTTTTTAATGTATTTAAAAAGTCCTTTTATTCAGTGAGTAAGGTCTATTAAAAAATAAAGTTGTAGTAATCAATGTTGTTTTGTTTTTTTGCCTATTGCGTTTGCTTTTGAATGATGTATTTTATGGGTATTTCATTTGTTGCTTTTTCCTGTTCCATTGTATTGTGTAAAGCTATACATTTCAGTTGGCTTCTTATAATAGGTGTGGTGGCCGGGGAAAACCGGCTACATTGTCATTGTTTTCCGATTTTAAACTAACACTGCCATATGAAATCCTTTTTATTGAAATCATCTCATACCAAGCTAAAATCTTTAAAATGAAATAAATAAAATAACTCAGTACAGAGTTATGCGTTTTAAGTTAAGAACTCGGCAAAGGGCTATCCTGAGAAAAGCACATTATGGAAGGGATGCATCTATATTTCCTTTCCCATTTTGGGCGAAGATTTCAAATAAGTATAATGTTATTGAAAAGGAAAATTAGAAAGAGCCTGGTGCAAATATTGGACACACAAGAGCACCACTCATCCGTGATTGTGATTTGGAAAGACAGCAAGTGCCCTCTTCAACACTCTTTTACAACACTCTTTTACAGAAAGATCACATTTAGTCTGAGGAAGACGAAAAAGACTGGATGTTTTTCCATCAGTTAACAGTTATGTTGTTTTTTTTGTTTTACGGAGCTCACAACTGCATACGGTCACATAAAAGTGCCCTGGGCTCATTCAGAAGTTGTAGTTTGGAAGGAATTAACTTTGAATTTTGCCCAGGTGGCGGCTGAAGTCTACTCTGACTGATTTTGAATCTCTAAGGGATCTTTAACATGCAAAACTTGAACACGGGACCTCCAAGATTTTTCGCATTTATCTGAGAAGGCTAGGTCTTAGATCTTACCTACCATAAGATCAGGGGTGTGGCTGAAAGACAGCAGTTAGGAGCCAAGGAGTAGCAGTTGAAAGGCTGCAGAAAGAGTCATGAACCCAGAGGAGGGTGCAAAGGGGGTGGGGGCAGAAAGTGGAGATGAAAGCAGACAACAGAACATTGTTAGAGAGTAGTAAAAAGGAGGTGAAAGAGAATTTTTCATCTCTGTCCGGATTCGAACCTAGGACCTATTGAATAAGAGGCAAACACTAACCTCTCAACCATGAGAACCCCCCCCCCCCCAAGTTATTAGTTTGAAGTTCTCTGTAGTAAATCTGTGGTATCTCTGTAAAAAGTTTTGTTTTATAAAATTTGTTACTTCTATATTGAAAGGTCATGCCTCTTGAATGTTACTGTGTGCAAAGAAAAGTGTGCCCTGTAGCATTACTTTGTTCACTCTTAACAACTAGTTATAGGTACTGGTATTTGATTTTTGCTTTACTTTGATTTGTAATTTATTTTCTTTCTTTGATGTCAGAATAGTATCTTTGCTGTTGCTCAGCTTGCTAAATATATTTCATGTACTGATCTTTTAAGTTCTGGATCTGGTTGCTGATTTGGAAGTTTGAATTTTTCTTTTATTTCTTCTTTAGCACCGAGATGAGCCAAACAACAATTCTGAAACTCCTTTCGAGTTCAGTGCAGAAAATATAAAGGTAACTTCAATTGTATGATTGTACTAGTTTATAAATGCAGTTTGTTTGTTTATAAGATATTGTATATTTGTGTGTTTTGTGTTTCAGCATGGACTGACTTAAGTGATTTCAGTGGTTGTAAAGGAAGATTCAATGGCAATTTCTGTCTTTCCCTCAAGTGAGAACAAAATTCTGTTTTCCTATTGTTGAAAATATTGGGTTATTTTGTCTTACAGGTGAAGAGCATTAAAATAAAAATGCTAGTTTTGGGGGTCAAGATAAAGGATCATTTGAAGAACCTGATGGTATAATGTTTTGACATGTCTCTTATAAGATGAAGTGGATGGAAGTAGAGCAGTTTTAGTCCAATTTTGTTTTCTGTATTGTTATAAATTTTCTTTCTTGTGAATGTCTTTTCTTCTATTAGCGCAGCGAAGTGATCATTGCCAATTACCCCAAGGGCCATGAGGCTGCAGCATGCATCCCTTTGTTGGATCTGGCTCAGCGGCAGAATGATGGTTAGTATTGGACTTATCACTTCTTTGTATTCAGTGAAAAGAAATTGTGGCTGTTTTTTTCTAGTAGGCATAGTGTCAGCCCTTTGTGAGAATCAGAGATGAACAGACTGCTTTACACATCTGTCGAATCATATGGATCAAGGACTCCCATTTTTATTTCAAATGGAATTTCAAACCCTAAATGTAAATTATTGTAAATATGGAAATGGGACTTTTAAAAAATAGATTTTTAAAATCCAGGTTGTCTGCCTCGCTGCTTTTAAGAAAGTACTGGAAGTTTGGTCTTCTTGTGACAGTACAAATCTTTCTTACACAACTTTGTACTTGTTTTCTTTCTCTGAACAGGCACCATTCAGAATCACAAGAGTGTCAATGTTCCAGTAGGATCCTTTGCTGACAAGAAAACTGATGATTGTAATGGGTTTTTTTTCATACATTTTTGTTGCCCTCTCTTTTTCGCGTTTTCAGTCAGACAATCCTTTTTCTACAGGGTGGTTGCCCATCTCAGCCATGCATAGAGTAGCTGAAATGCTTAAGATGCCAAGGATGCGGGTGTATGAAGTGGCCACATTCTACACGATGTTCAACAGGTATGTTACCTCGCTAGTCACAGACCCACAAATTTGTTAACAACTAAGGCCTTTGTTTGTATGAACAATGCAAAGGATTTTTTGCTTGGTCCTATAATTATTGTTATGTATTCAAAACCAACTGCTGTTTGATATGAGCGAACACAATAGTGCCCTTTACTTTGGTCACTAATAGCTGAGATAGGTGTTTTAAGTTCCATCCAGTGGGTGGTTGGCGGGTGCTCTGGTGTGGTTTGCTTCTTCTTTCCTATCAAACATCTATCATCCTTATCTCGCCTTCTTTTTTATGTTTGTTACTCTCTTGTAACACCTTTAATCTTCTGGCGCTCATATGACCTTATGCAGTTGCGAGCGCCGTAAAACCCTCTACTAAAACTAAAAACTAAGTTCCATCCTTCTCTCAGGTGGCATTTTGCCTTTTGTTAAAACAAAAATAGCAGTGAGATTCAGACTGGTGGCTGTGAAAAGTGAATGCTGCTCACTTCTTTTCACTGCAAGTAATGAATGGTGTACATAGATATTTTGTTGTAAGGGGAGTATAAAGGTTGAGATGTGTAAGTTGGTATGCTTGTGAAGGTTTGTGTGTTTGCGGAACTGTAGATAAATAAGGCAAATTGGGCATACTCTCATCAATATGCAGAGGTATTACTGAATGACTAGACCTGAAGAAGATAACACACTTATTGAGCATTGTGTATTAGTCAGGACAGATGGGAGTGCCAAACTAAATCAAAACTGGGGTTACTATGATTGCTTTAGGCTTAATTTGAAGTTGTTGTTCCCAAGAGCTCTTGTGTCTTTATGTAGTGTCAGCTTTACTTGAGGTTTCTGACATGAGTTCTGTCTTGATTTTTACTTTATGATGTTTTGTAGGGAGATTGATAAATGTTTGTGAAGAGTGCTGATGGTATTCTTTCTTGTTGGGGTCATAGAATGCCTGAGAGGAACTGAAGTAGACAGATTGTTTATCACTCGTCAAGTGTTGCGATAAAGCTTTTTACTTGTACTTAATATATCTAATTGAGAATGTTACTTATTTGAGTTCATTGTAAAGTGTTAGTATTGAAATGAAAAATAAGTCTTGAACTTGAACAAGGCAAAGTGACAGATAATTATTTTCCCTTTCCAACTTCCAAAGTTCATTTTGAATGATGAAATATTTACACGAAGAATTGTTTAACAATGCAAAGTAACAGTTAATCACTTTCCCTTTCCACCTGCCTAAGTTCATCTGTAAAAGATGAAATAGTTTTTACTCTGTATAAAGCTGTGAAGATGATATTTCATAACAATTATCTCTCCTCTCTTGTCTTTTGTATGATCAGAGAGCCAGTGGGGAAATATTTCGTCCAGATCTGTACCACAACGCCCTGCATGTTGGGAGGTGTTGGCTCTGACGTTATTCTGGAAGCCATCAAGGAGAATCTAGGTAAGTAGTATGGTCAAAAGAACAATCATTCCAGTTTGCCTACTGTGCTCAGTTCTATGAATGTATGGGTTGTAGTCTTTTAAGACAGTGGGATGGAACTGATGATGCACGATTCCTCCTGCCATATGTTCGAAGCAAGAAAAGCATAATTTATGACAGTTATTGTTCATGGGAAAATAAGACAGATTCCAGTCAGAGATGAGGTATGAAGAAGGTGGTGGCAATGGTTTGGGCATACGCTCAGGAAGTCAGGCAGCTGCATAACAAAGAAAGTGTTGGATTGGAATCCGCAGGGTAAAAGAACAAGGGGAAGACCGCATGGAACCTGGAGAAGAATTACAGAAATTGGTGAACAGAAAAGTGGGAAGACATAGAATAACATCAAGAGGCTAGCTCAGAATAGAGAAAAGTGGAAAGTGTTTGTCCGTGGCCTAATGATGATTGTTCATGGGAGCTTTTTGAATATATCTTTATTTTATGTCAACATTCTAGAAGCTATTGAGGAGAATCTTAGTAAACCATATGGCATGGTCAGAGAGCAGCCATCCCAGCTTGTGTACTGCGTTCAGTTTTATAAATATATTCAATGTGGTCTTCTGTGGTTGGTGGAAGAGAACTGCTACTGCTAGTTTGTTCCCCTTGCTTTGTTAGCTTTAGCTTTCTTTTGTATTTAAATAACAAGTGACTCCCATTACTTTGTTTATTTATTTTCTGTCTGTTACCTCAAGTTTTTTCTTTTGTGTTTTGTTGAATAAGACAGCGCTTGTTGTATGATATATAGTGTTAACTCGTTTTTGTTATTCAAAGCTATAAGGAAAGCAAAGGGCAAACGCAAGGATGTTTTAATGATGTTTTTACTATAATGTTATTCAATAGATGATCATTGTGCATTGCCGGTAGCCAAGAATAGTTTTTGTTGACAACAACAGTTGTTACTTTTTTTCTAGCTTCAAAGATAGATGGCGCCTCCTTGACCCCTTCAGTGCCTGGCTCAAGACTTCTGAATTACAGAACAGGCCAGAGTTAATCAGCTGTTGGTCGATGGAATCACAATCTTCTTTGTTAAGATTTTTTTGTTCAGTGCTCAGCATATGTTATCACTCTGAATGCCATTTCATATTCATATATGTCGAATAGCATCTTGTTTCGTATGCCTAGCGTTAAAAGCATTGTAAGCTTAATTGGATTAAGTGTTATAATTCTCTCCTCTTCCTACCTCCCATTCTCAACCCCCCCAACTTCTGTCTTTCCTACAGGTATTGGAGTAGGCCACACCACTGATGATAACATGTTCACGCTAGCTGAGGTGGAGTGTCTTGGAGCATGCGTCAATGCCCCCATGGTGCAGATTAATGATGACTATTATGTAAGTGGATAGGAGTTGGGTGGGATAAGATCAGATATGATGAGATTGACTTCATTAATCTTCCAGAGGAATAAATTGACATTATTATTTAGTGACATAAGCTTCTGTACTGCTGTATACATACTGTTTTATGAAGTCATCCCTTATGAGTGGCATATTTTGTTATTTATGATAAAAAATTCTTTTTTTTTGGGGGGGGGGGGGGGCATTTCTACTTGACAGTAAACTGTTCTATCATTTGAGCATGATTTTTGTATGTTCAATAATGTGTGTACTATGCTTAAAGATATTTTTCAAGAAGGCCTAAATACATTGAAAGTGATCTTTCTTTTTCTTTTCCTGTCGTTTAGCTTGGTAGTGTTTGTGTTTGCTTGCGAATATTCATGACGTGTTGTGTCACAAGATGAATGTTGAATTGCACTTGAACGGCTGAGTGAGGTCAGCTCAGTGCTTTACATGCTAGCAGTCGCGTTCATTTGTTGGTGTTTATTATATATTTATTAAGGGGAAGTTCATTTCATGTCATGGGCAATTTTTGCCTCCTCCTGTGCTGGGTTAAATCGGACTCTCATTACTTTCCCATTGTCTTCTAGAAACTAAAAGTTTGCAGTTTCTGTGTAGTCAGTCCACAAATGCTGTTAGGGGTAAACACTCTGTTGTAAGGCTGGAGACACTGAAATATCTGTCAAGTAGCTTCCACACACTGTTACAATTAGATGCCACCTGAAATGCCTTCTTTTCTGTACTTTCTTTCAATGCTGTCTTCCAAAGTGTGAATTGTCAACCCTTTAATTTTTCTTTGCATGGAAAAGGGGGAGGGGGGAGGGTAATGAAGAGTGCAGTGTTGATTTTCGATCAAGGAAGGGCAGAAGAAAAGACTTTACTAAATTATGTAAGAGTTGGGACAAGAAGAATAAAACTGTTATGAAGCTGTTTAAAAAAAATAAAAAAATTTTATGTGGAACTTTTTTGCTTTGTTGAGATTCGTTTAGTTCTTGCAGTTTGCTGTTATGTACACCTGAGAATATTTATTTATTTCTGTTTGGGTCCTTCTCCAGTCTGATTGTGACTTTGCATGGTACAAAAAACTTCTCTTGATTTGAAAAGAACCTGTACTCATAATGATATGGTTTTAATCCAGATTTGTGATTTTTTGGTGTTATATTCCCTCAGGAGGACTTAACTGTGGACGATATGCATAGAATTCTCAATGATATCAAAGCTGGAAAGAAACCAAAGGCTGGACCACAGTGAGTATAAAATTTATTTTCTAGTTTTTTATCTCTATTCCATTTTTGGTTATAGCTAATCAAGTGTCCATTCAGTTTTTACTCTTTCTGGATGTTGTCTTTTTGTTAAAGGTATGGGAGAGTCATATAGAAAGATTCAATCATAATTTTCAGTCTTGGAATAGTCCCTTGCAAACTTGACAAACATGTTGTGAAGATGTGTTTACCATTATTTTTGAGGTTCATCGCTTAATTTTTTCCTGGTTGTTTGGGATCACCTAAGTCATGCAAAAGGTACTGTTTTGGTAATAAATATACATAGATGGAGTGAATTGTAGTCAATAATTCTTTTCATTACATGTTGTGTCATTATTGTAGCCTACTGTACTGTACAAATTATGAATGGGACCTTGAAACCTACTAAAGTAAGTAGACAAGAATGTTGGCTGTTTTATGTCTTAAGAAGTATAGTATAGTGCACTGTTCTGTATTGTGAAGATCGAGAAGACTTTCTCAGCTTGTGTATCAGGTGTATGGTGTCTTGATTTGGCTCTTCAGCTCCGCATGCAAAAGACACAAATTTAATTCCCATAAAGTTTATTATCAAGTGTTTCCATCTGTCTGCTTCGATGTACCTCTTCTCTGCCTGGGTTGTCCTTGACAGCCAGGGGTATAGTAGCTCACCTCTTAAATAATCTTAACTGTTTCATTGAGGGCCCAAAATGTTTATAATGATGGTTTCGTTTTCCTTTCTTATTTTAGGAGCGGCCAGAACTTTAGATTTGCCTCAGAACCCAAGACAGGCTTGACGTCCCTGACGGAACCCCCGACTGGACCAGGCTTTGGAGTGAGGGCAGACTTGTAGGGCTGAGCTGGCCGCAGACTGTGGCTTTATTTGCTGCCTGAGCTGATCGACTGGCATTCTTGAGGGGAGAGGGGGGGGGGGATATGCTGATGTAGTAATAAGAGGTTGACATTTAAGGCCTACGCTGACAAGGGATACCATGTTAAATGAGCGTTTGCATCCTCCCAAGCTACCTGCATGTGGAAAAGTGATGGTAGACAAGATGCCAAATGGTGGTGCAGATTGGGAGGTAAATCTGAGTGTACATCATTGTAACTATGGATGTGGTTACATTATTTTGGAAGAGGGTCTGTTGTGAATCTTTCTTTTGAGATCAGGAGGCAGTTTCAGTTTGGACTGACACTCTGTATATATAATAGGTAGTGTGGATGTTGCGACAGGCTGAAAATGATTGTCTTAATAAACATGTTTAGAGTACCAAATCAGCATTGTTTTAGAGCTTATTTCTTTTTTGTGTGGGGACAGAGATGTGCCTTGTAAGCTTTAGGCTGGGGTATACTTTTGTAGTTGATGGATGGTATCTGTGTGGTTTTGTCCCCGAAATCTTTCAGTCATAGCTGATGCCTTGTAATACAGTGGAACTCGGATTTAACGAGGCCGCCGGGCCTGACCAAAATTCTCGTTGAATCCGAGTGTTCGTTATAGCAAACACGAGATTTTGTGTAGATAATTACAGGCACTGAGCAAGTAATGTATAAAGAGAATTTTCTTAGGTTAGTTGTGGCTTTTCCCCTGTTCTTCTTTGTTTGCTTTACGTTGTTGGTTGTGAGAGTAAGTATCACAGGTCTGTGGTCCGTGTCGATGATGTAGTTTGGAACTGCTCTCAAATCTTTGGCTGTATGTCCCTGTTTTCTGCGCATCAGAATGAAATCAATTTTTGGTGCATGGTTCAGGTCACTCCATTTGTACCAGGTCTTGATTTGGCTTTGTCTGTTGGAAAAATGTGTTCGTAATCATCATGTCGTGCTCAGCGCATAGGTTTAGTATAATTTCTCCATTGCTGTTGCAGTCGCACTCTGTATCTTTATCGCTGTGGGGTCCCAAGTACTCTTCCCAGGGGGTTCTTATTCGTCCGACTCTGCCATTTAAATCTCCCAAGATAAATATATCTTCTTTGCTCTTGATGGTGTTAATACGGTCACTCAGGTCTTGGAAATATGTGAGGCAGCGTGGTGGAATCAGGCTCTCGTCAATTTCGGGGCATATAGAGTTATTGGTATCATCTTAAAGCTTGTTTACTTGTCTTTATTATTAGGATGAAAAAAATATCCATTTATCTTGAATACAAGTCGAGATATTTGCGAATGAAGGATGTAGGGGTCACTTGTTTTCAGAAGTAAAATTAGTGAGAAAATGGCTGCCAAAGATTAGTTATTTCTTTAGCTTAAAAATTTACATTTTTTGTGCCTTTAATCAACGTTTTTCAGAAAAATCCACACAAAAATGAGTTCTTTAGTGGGCATGAATGGTGTTGACCCAAAAAAAAACAAAAATTTGATAAAAATTCCCAAACCAACAGAAAAAAGCTAGTTTCTTCACTTTGATTAGTTTGACGAGAGCCTGATTCCACCACGCTGATTGTCTCTTCCTCTGTATAGCTGTCGTTACAGGGAGCGTATGTTTGGATGTACGTTGTTGTTTTGCCACCCTCTATGGGTTTTATTCTCACTATTCTCTCTGAGATCTGATTGATTTCATAGATTGTATCCATTTTGGCTGGGTGTATGATGAAAGCTACACCATGTTTGGCTCTCCACACTCTCTCATTTTCAGGTGTTCCGCTCCAGATCAGGAGGTAGCCTTTATGGGTCAGCTTGCTGTGGTTGCCTCTCTTCCTTGTGTCTGACAAGCCCATGGTTGCTATTTTCTTTCTTTCCATGAAATCCACTATTTCTGGTTCTTTGTCTCCAAGTCCACTGACATTCCATGTGCCTATTTTAATCGTTGTTCTAGCTCGCTGTCCGTTCACTCTTCCTGGTCGTTTTCCGTTTGAATCTGTCCGTGTTTTCTCCTTTGATTGTTTCGTAGCAGTAATTATCCGCCGTCGGCTTGCTAGGCCAGTCACGGTTTCACCAGAGCCCCTTTAGCCAGCAACGTTTCAGGGTGACCCGGGTCGGCCTTCACGGCTAGCGTAACGCCTCAGTGACATAAAGTCACACCGTACTTCACCCAGACCCAGCTATCCCCTACTTTGTCCTGTTTCCACCTCCCCCGACGAGGACGAAGGGTTGGACTTTGCGAGGCATTGTTGTAACATTAGTTGAAATTCACGAGGAGGTAAAACCAACTCTTTGCATTCTCTCATTTTGTTTACTGGAGTTGATTGACGAGTGACCTAGCAGGGATTTGATTCTAGGTTGCCACAACTAATTAAGCGTTTTATGTGATCAGTGAGTTCTGCGCAGGTGCTCTGTTGTTAGGTCCCTGAGTATCATGCCGGACAATGGAGCAGATGGCCCTGGTTTAATTCCCAGGCTGGACATTCTTGAATTTGAGTTGTTTTGTGGAGTTTTCGAGACACTCAACTCATTTAGCGTGATCGTATCAGAAACGGACGTTAAATTCAGACATCCTGCCTATTAAGTACTGTAACCTAATAGTGTTTATAGGGGCGTCAAACCCATACACGCGCACACATTTTATTAGTTCTGCACGCTCAGCAATTATTATTGGAAGTATGGATTCTGAAACAGAGTGCTATTACTATTACTATAATAGTTGGTCAAAAAACAGGTTCTCCCAAAAAAGAGCCCAACTGTTGCATTCAAATAACATTCCATCAAAACTAAAACTTTGGACATTTTGGTTACTTCTGGCACTCAGCACTGCCGTCTGTGGTGTAGCGGTTAGGCACTTTGCTGTTGCATGCAGGAGACCTGAGTTCAATTCCCATTTGTGGAGAATTTTTCTCTTTGTCTTGGTGTCCCTCTTGGCCTGGGTTGGCCCTGACAGGCAGGTTAAAGTCTGCCTCCTTTAATTTAAAGTGATCTAAATTGTGTCGGTGGGGGCAAAAAATTAGTAAAAATGCCATTTGAAAAAATGTTTTTTAGAGCTCTCAGCAGATGACATGATTCATGCTCCTTTTCAACACCATTGGTATCTGTAAGAGGGTTACTTAAGTTTTTAAAACGTGTATTTCATCAGCAGGCCTGGTCTGGTACACGGTCATAATATATAAAATACTTCCTGAAAAAGAAATCCTACAGGATACTGCAGATAAAGAGCTTCAGTTCAGATTTTGGGAATGTTAGGTGAGTGTCTTGCTCGGACCATATAAACTTCTACAAATGGATCTTTGCTTTTTTTGGTTGAGTAGTATTAAAATATTTAAGAAGCACATCGAAATGATATATCGGTCATTCAGTGCATGGAAAAAAGCGAGACATACAGAAACATCAGAAGGAAAGAACAGACGTACATGTAGGGGCCTACATGTCAAGTTGTACCAATCAGAGATTCCCATCAACCAACTGCTCCTCCTTTCCTATCAAACATCTATTGACATTATCTCTCCTTTTTTGTGTTTATTACTTCTTGTAACACCTTTAATCTTTGGCACTTATATTATAATATATATGAACTAATTGTGTTGCAAGTGCTGAAAAAAAAACACCTGCACAAGAGGACCAGTTGTGTGTCCTGGTCACTTTTTGGGGTGAAGGAAAAATATTAGCGAAGAAAAGTTTTTCGATTACAATGTTTTATTCTGCAATGATAAAAATTTTTAATACGTGTTGTATCAAGCATTGTTTAGTATGGTATTTCGAGCATTGATATAAGATATATATTATATATGACAACAGTGATACATGGCATTAATATAGTGCATTTAATATTAATATTATATTAGAAAGTGGCTGTTTGTACTAAGATTTGTTATTACTAATATTACAGTCAAACCTATTGTGCCCCCCCTTTCATACCTCCAGCTGCGCTTACTGCCAGGTTTTTGCCATTGTACAGAAATTGCCTACACACCGCCATCAGCCAACTGTCTTGGGTTGTACCAGTCTTAAAAAAACAATTATGCCCCGCTATACCACCAGTGAACTGGCCACCAGACGAAATCCTACTCGTTGGCTGCTTCATCGTTTCTTATCTCTCCCCCTTGTCGCATCGGCCCGCCGGCAAAATATCTAACGTCGCCAGATATCGGACCCATGCCATCAAGGCTAGCGGTCCCTCGCGAGGCTTTTATTTTTTGAGGCTCACGGTCAAGTTTACATGACAAGTCTGAGTCGCCCCAAGGATTGACGGGCATCGGCTAAAAAACAACAACCCAACAACTCCAAACAAAACAAGCTATTGAGTCTTGACATAGCTTTTGATCTGGCCGAAATTTTCGATTTGAATTTACGGGAAAAAAGTTCAGCTGGGGTTAAATTTGTGTATGTGTGTGTGTGTGTGTGTGTGTGTGTGTGTGTGTGTGTGTGTGTGAGAGAGAGAGAGAGAGAGAGAGAGAGAGAGAGAGAGAGAGAGAGAGAGAGAGAGAGAGAGAGAGAGAGAGAGACGGCTTTTAGCTGTAAATACATTTAACACATAGATCACCAACTAAAAGACACCTTTCAAACTCAGATCACACAGCTGAATCATTTCCCTACATGACTGTTGTGCAGTCAGCAGAGCTACTTAACAGAAGAACCCGTTATTTTTCGTTAAACCGCCAGCCCCGCTATTCCGCCAGATTCATTCTCTTTCCAAGGGTGGAATGTAACGAGGTTTTACTATACTTCAATCGATTATATTCTACAAGTGGTCATTTGTGTTGTCCACAAGTCCTCGTGCTTGTAGAAATTACGAGGTGGTGTATTATCTCCGTTTTCTCAACTGTTGAACGTGGGTGGTTGGCGGGTGCTCTGGTGTGGTTCGCTCCTTCTTTTCTACTTGTAGAAAACATCTATCATTATCATCTGTATCTCTACCCCTTATTTTCTTTGCAGGTTAGTCTCTAGTGACACCTCTCATCTTCGGCACTAATACTAATATGACCTAATTGTGTTGCAGGTATCGTAAAACTCGTATTAAACTAAAACAAGAGTTGAACTGTTTTATGTTAACTGTCCCCGTCGTTTTCTGCAAGAAAAATTCTGAAATTATGCAAACTGAGCCCAAAAATGTGAAATTATGCGATTCTGTTAATTTTAACAAAGAATGATAAAGGAAAATAATCAGAAATTATGCTAAAAAATGATCAAATTTTGCTAAATTATGCGGGGTGCATAAAACCACGGGGACAGTGTTAATAGTAGGCAAGTGGGCGCGTCATGGACGTTTTACTTAAGAGAGATCTATATCGATGACCAAGTTACTGGAAGTTCTGCTAACAGACACAGCTTTTGAGGGACTTTTGCTTCTGACGAATGCACATGTGTGAATCACTTGCCTTATTTAGATAATGTGATTTTGTCTAACAAAGCTAGTTTTGTGTAAATTGTAAAGCGGCAGGCTGTCTTCGCAGCAAAGACGCTCAAGTGATTGATAATTGTTTACTAAAAATAATATATTGTAGCCTACTGGTTCTTCGCTTCATGAGAATTCACATAGAAGTGCACTAAAAGTTTTGTACACCATGTAAAATATTAGAATTAAAACGGGCAAGAATTAAGTTTAAATTGTATCTCACTGAGCTGGGGATAACAAATAAAGGTCGGCCCACAACACGCCAACAGGAGGTACAACCCGCTTTCAGGCGCGGCGGACGTACACACTTGAGACATTCATGTTACCACCACACTTCAGCCTTCTTGCGAGGTGAGGTAATAATAATAGTAATGATAATAATAATAATAATAATAATGATAATAATACCCGGTAATAATAATAATGATAAAAATAGAAAATAGATAGCCTTTGTATAGCGCAAATTCTCACTCAACAGCAAGCTCTATGCACTTTACAAAACAAAAACAAAACAACTGCATGTATACCACGAGGTAGGCCTATTACCCCAGCAGACCAGATAGCATTGTGAAACAATCTCAACTTTCTGGGAAGCATACAATGAACTGTGCAAGCTGCCATTTATTGACGCTAAAACACTGACATACTGACAAGATCTTTCGCTGTCTTCATAGGTGGGTACCCATTCCCACTTGGGTGAAATGAGGAAATTCGTGTAAAGTACCTTTCCCAAGGACACAACGTCGGGCCTGCGGCTCGAACCCCCGAACTCACAACCGCACGATTGCGAGTCTGGTAGACTAACCGACGGGCAGGTTTGGAGGTTGGTTCTACTCTTACCGCTGGGTTGTTTTATTTTTATACTGCAAGGGGAAGTGAAATACAGAGATGAAAGAAGTCAATTGATATTTATAGTAGGATGCATTTGGCATTAACAAAGTGATGTCCATGCCACTTCGATATAATGAATGCAGCTTTACGCCACACCAACCAGTGAAGAAAGCATATATTAGCAGTGTTACTGTCACCACGAGCGACAAATTACGTACGTGTACAAAACATATTTTCAACACGTCTGGCGGTTTCATGCTGATAAGCTTTGATAAATGGAAACTTTTTCCTTCAGGTGGGAAGAAATATGCCTTATCAAACATTGTAGATCAGGTGGTCTAGTAAAGGATGACTTCTTATCGTTACCAAATTTTTGCTGCTCACTTGCTCGCTAATCGTCGTACATTTTATAATAATATTCGTAGAGGGTAAACTCGCACAGAATTTAAAAAGCTCTCATCCATTTAAAGTGTTAAAAACACCAATGTGACAAAGCCACAGACAGCATTTTCAGCCATTTGGTCTGTATAAGGTAAGCATGTATGGGCAGGGAGATTTGTGCCGGATAAACTTATGGGTTGCTTTCCCTCTCCTGGATCAGAATGAACATTGAGAAGATGAACTTTCCAAATCTATGCTGATACATATATGCTCTTGTTTGTTACAGCCTGTTTCGTCAAAAAACAAAATGTGTCCAGAATTCCGAATTTGTAAGCTCGAAAAGTGCTCAACTTTACCTTTTACTATGCAAAGCAAGACACAAATTCAGAATTATGTACCAATGGACTTTCTGAGCATAAAATTGCACCACCATGTTCATATTAATTAACGGTACTGGCACTTGCGGGTTATGGTTAGGCTCTTCACCGTGGTTCACGGAGGAAGTGGGCTTATTTTTTGAGAGGAGGAAATATTTCATCCGTTACCTCCGTTTGTCTTCCAGTCAGCCCATGTCAGCTCCGACAGGTAGTGTCGAAATAGCCTGCTTCCTAAATTATCTGAACTGAGTCGATGGGTGCGTGGAATGTTTCCCTTCATTTATGAGGTACAAACTCCTGTCTTACTTCTGTGGATGGTAATGAAAGGACACTTCTGTTGGAACTCTTTGCCTACCTCTAAATCATTATGAGCTCATGGTCAACATTTTGTGAACAGAATGATGGCACCAGACTGTTGGCACAAGGCGGGGAAAGATATAATGTTTGATGCAAACGTAAAAGTGACAGCTCATTTCAGGTGTTGAGCATCGTTTGGACTTCTTTTCAGTCAGTATCGCTTGGAAGAGGAGGCAGACTCCTCGTCTGTGCCACTCCCGATGACTGACTCGTATTTTGCTTGCGCCCACTTCGCTGACCGTTATTTCTCCACGTTCCCGTGGCAAGCTTCCCACCACGAGGGCCGGTGTTCCCCGCGTCCTTGATGACCCCAGCCCCACCTAAGTCGGTTTGGCTTGGGCCTGATTTGTGACCCCCGGTAATGTGATCTTCGAGGCGTGTCAAGCCTCCAGCGGATCTACTGGCATTGTGTGACGTTAGCGCATCACCGCGCCCTCTGTCACCTGATTTGCCTTCTCTGTGGAAGTCGTGTATTTCTACTTTCGGCGGTGGTTTTGGTTTGTAGGGAGCCTTGGATTCCGCTTTGTCAATCTTGGGTAAGTTTGATGTGAAATCCTCAAGAACACCGATGGTGCTGGTGGCTTTCCCTTCTTTACTGAGAAATGGAGAGGCACCTGTGCTACGTCCTGTCAGGGTATCACTTGCAACATTCAATTGACGCAGGTTTGTTTTGCCTTTGCCATGCAAAGGAGGGAACGTTTCGGGTTTTGAATAGTCAGCCGGCGGATTCTGTGCGTTGGAAAGTTCTAGATACTCTGGAAGGAACTGATCGCTGCTCATACCGTGCTGTAGACTGTGTTGGTTAGTTGCCCCAAGCTCCACGTACGGCATGCTTTTTGCTTGAACGCCTGTTGTGGGCGGAAAACTGTTTCTTTCCTGTCCACGACTTACTTGAGTCCGCAGAGGATATGGTATAGAAGGTTTTACACCCATCAGAGCGCTGCCTATGGCCGGTGGGGAAGTATTGGGAACCTCTGAATTTTCCTTAACTGTATTAAGCGTTATTTTGTCAGTGAAAGGAATATAGCTGGAGTGAATTGCAGACGAACCAGCACCTTTGGTAGGAGGGGGGCGTAAGGAAGGATTTTGTTCTTGCGACGACCCTTGAGGCGATCCAGGAGACGGGGAGGGTTCTCCTTTTGATCTTCCTTCCACGGTCACACCAGAACTAAAACTTCCTCTATTAGAAATCTCGTTGACGTAATCTCCCGTAACAGGACCACTTCGCTGGGCTCTCGCAGGGTTGATAAAATACGTGTCGAACGGAAGTGAACTGATGCCCACATTTGTAGCCGTGTTCAACCCAGGCTGGATCCTAGCGACATCGCCAGTTGGGATATACCCGGGATTCTCAACCATTTGGAACCCACCTTTGTTCTCCTGTTCCTTTAGTCCCTCCACTCCTTGGGGGGCACTGTCTCGAGACTGCATATTCACATAGACGTTATGGACCGCGGCTTTGTGGCGTATTTGCTCCGGTTTGTTGTCTTCATCCAGTTTCCCATCGTGCATCGGAGTCATAGACGTTTCTGTCATAGCGTTGTTTCCCCTCCTCTTGGTAGCGGGCTCAGGTACAAGGTAGTCATCCTCAGGGTCAAACCCTAAGTTACTCTCCCCTTCTCCCTTGCCATGTTCGTGCAGCAAGAGCTGGCTCGTCTCGTCCCTTCTGGATGACGTTGCTCTCGACACAGAAGATCGTAGAGATGCGAAAGAGCCCGAGGAGGTAGAGGAAACCTTTCTGGCAGAAGTGCTGGCTGACGCATGCGCCATGGAACTGTCTCCTGTGCGTGGAAGCTGGCGAATTGTGTCGAGCTGAGGCCACGAGCAGTCGTCACTAAGCTCGGCATACGTGCTTTCTGCAAAACACACACATGGGAGATATCATTGGGCTACACTTTACTCTTTTCATGCCAGAAATGTTTCCACGGTTGTGCTAGACAATTGTGTTGTAAATGTTAAAGGTTGACCGCAGCGTGAGAGAGCCCAGTTGCCGGTCTTATTTTATCAAATGAAGTCGACACGTTATCTAGCAAAAGCAAAGACAAAAAGACAATAGACTACAGACACAGAATGGCCTTACACTTACAAGGAAACATACTTTTTTGGGAGACGTTATTACGATCATGTCTGTCTGTCTGTCTGTCTGTCTGTCTGTCTGTCTGTCTGTCTGTCTGTCTGTCGGTGTAGATGATACACTTCTCTTACCCTCAATTCTGTCTTCGTCTGGTTGGAAACCATGATTGGTAACGTGGTCCATAGACAGGTCCGTGTCGATTGTCAGGGCTACTTGCTTCGCCCTGGGGAGGTATATATATAATATATTATATGGTCGCTTTTAAGGACAAGCGGGCTAACCCAGATTTCGGGGGTTTGCAGAAATCTTGACCTTCACCAAAAGTGGACCTTGCCCTACATATAGTAGATGTTTGGTTCCATTAGTGTGTATATTTGTTTGGTTATAGTGAAAACTCTCCTTGTATTTTAAAGAAACTGAACAAGGGTCCAACAACTTTACCTTCGATTTCCTCAAAACAGCATTTTCGGGATAGCCCCCTTGTGCTTAAAAGCGACCACACATATTTAATAAGGAGTTTGATGCCCCCATTACTTAAGAGGCGGGCTTCGACCTTGTTTGTCAGGTCCAACCCGGCCTGAGAGGGACACACATTCTCCCCACACGGGAATCGAACTCGGGTCTTCAGCGTGCATTGGCGAAACGCTTAATTGCTACAACACAGACGCTCGCAGGATCGTCAGAATCCAGTACTATGTACACGCTTTTGGTGACATGTATCCTAATAGTCATTCCGGGGAATTCCAAGTGCCTAGACATGCTGAAATTGATAAGCACAAACTGAGGTATGTTGGTCTCTCAAGCAAATAAATGTATCATGACTGTACATAAATAAAGTCTGATGAAGACAGTTTTTCATGGCGAGGTTGAGGGAAAAAAAAAGAGATTGGCCACTTGCATCTTATATCGCCAACATTACTGAGGTCAGTGGTGAAAGGCGTTTTGTGTGTGTGTGTGTGTGTTGTGTGTGTGTGTGTGTGTGTGTGTGTGTGTGTGTGTGTGTGTGTGTGTGTGTGTGTGTGTGTGTGTGTTTGGGGGGGGGGGGGGTTGGGGGTGAAGGACGTGTTGTGATTGGCAGAAGTGGAGAGAAAAGGCGAAGTACGGCGGAATTAAGTGGAGTGTCCATTATTGACAGCAGCGATAAAGGCAGGTGAAGGAGACGAGCGACAGAGATGGTTAGTAAATGCGATTCTTCCGCCTCAAAAAGAAAGACTGCCGTTTAGTTGGAATTTTATTTATATTATATAACGCATTCATCTGGGAAGGTGCTCATTGCCAATAATACAGAGAACAATGCTCCAATAGTGATCCTTTCTTCCCTACCTCTCTATCTCCCTCCCTCCCTTCACCCCCGCCCCCCTCTCTCTCCCCCTCTCTCTCTGTCCATCTCCATCTCTCTCTTAATCTCCCCTTCTCATCCCACTCCCTTTTTCTTCTTTCACCCCCCCCCCACCTTTAAAAAATCCCACCCAACATGCATACGTTACACCCTCGTTATATTAGATTTATGTGTCAATCCTGAATTTTCTTCATGCCAAAGGACAATTAAAAGTCGATATTAACAATTGCAGACAATAAAATGGAGAAAGGGGCAGTAGTCACAAATTCTGTTTTCTTTCTTTCTTACTTACTCTCTCCCTGTCCCCAGCCAACTCCTCCAATATTGGCACATCTTCATCTAGGCCCTGGGAGATTGTTTCATCCCTGATTGTGCTTCTGTAACTTTCAATTGGCCTACCTCTTCTTCTTTTTCCAGTTGATCTCCAGTTCCATGTCTGATAGGGCAATCTTGTTTCTGGTATCCTCAACACTTCTCTTTGCCAATCTTTATTTATTATTGTTTGGCTTGATCTATTTTGTCCATCGAAGCAATTTTCATCTGAAAGGTTCTTAATCAGACACTGGTGGCATAATTAATACATGTAATCTAAAACTGCGATATCGGAAAGAACGGTTGTTTCCCATTAGGCAGCCTCAATAAAGAAAGACTTGTCCACAATAGATTTCTTTCATGACAACTGTCCTCCCCCCTCCAATGGGTAACAGTCCAATTGCGATCGGTTTGGTCACGAAAGCTACCTTGCGCCCTCAATCTGGCCAGCAAACCGACTCGACCCGACCCGACCCGTCCCGATCGTGCCAATGGGCAGCTGGTATTAATGTTACTTACCGCGTTTTGGCGCGTCTGCGGAGGCAGAATATCATGACGGGAAGGCACAGCAGAACAATACAGGCACAGCTGATGGCAACCGTGGCCCAAACAGGTAACACGCCGCTATCTCTTTGAGGGGCTGGAGGGCAATAGATGTAGGCGTGGGCGGTGGTAATGAGCGAAATATGAAGGGAGAGGAAACTGGATTAAATCTTA